TTAAAACGTCTTTGAAATCAAATGTTATCACACAAAGTGATAATAACTCAGTTAGACACTGAACCCTGCAGCAATTCCTTCGGAACAAATGTCTCGTCTAGACAACTGTTCACCACCCTTTGGCAACAACACAGTGCCACCATGCCCTTACCATACATGCCAGATATGCATGGCAGCAAAAGCCTGCACCATGGCCACACAAACACTGACTTCATCAGTAATTCTGGTCAGACAGAGCATCCACTTTGACCTGCCAATGACTTGCCTTTCAGTACCAGTCTAGTGACATGTTGCCTTGCGTTGCACATCATAAAAAAGAAAAAAATCCAATATGCAAAATACTGGAACAACTCATGTACAGTAAGTTTGCATGAGTGTAGACTTTATACCTATACACTGTATTTCCAAATATAAACGAGTGACATATGAAGTAGAATATCAACCCAGCCCAGAAACAATAAATTAAATAGGCCCATGTATTACTTCAGTCATCTTATGCAGTTGCTTTTATTGTATTTTTTTTAAAATCAATATTAATTTAATCTCATTATATTTTATATCTATCTTTACATACAAGTTGTAACTGAGATCCAAACATTAACAAGTGAAGTTCCCTGTTAGTCTTCTTAGAAAGACAAAAAGTCTAGATGGCCAACTTGGACACTTGATGCACCCCAATGTAGAGATGATGAGCCAAGAAAGAAGCCCCTCGTCATCCTATCCTCTGCGTTCAGGCACTTCACTTTGGGTTGCATACCCTTCATCAGTCTCTGGTATGAAGAACTCAGCACGTGAAACACAAGCAGACTGGATCATGTTGAGACATGATTGAGTTACATGTTTAGCGAGCGAGGCAGATTCTCCTTATTTGAGAGGTCACACACCTCATCTGACAGTTAGGATGACAACAGAGAAGTAGAGTCAGAGGGTTGTTTTCCCTCTGTATCCTGATCTGGCAGGTTATGATCGCTGCAGGAACTTGTACAGCCCTATTACTTAACAAGTACAACACATCAGTCCATGAACTCACTGACTCCAGAAGGATCTAGTCCTCAAAGTCTGCACTCTGTGTTGCCCTAGGCTGGCCTCGCATCCTGTCCCTGAGTTCACAGGAAAGACGTCTCATTAGCCATCAGCTTCCTGGCTGGGCAGCAGAAATGAGACAGGCTCTTCCGCCTCCTAACAAGCCGAGTTACATTTTCACTGTGGATATAGTGGCACAACATGATTTTATATCTGAGGCATTCACTCAGGCACAACAACAATAGTGGCAATGAGTGTTGCAACAATCCACATTATATTCTACTGACATGAACATAAATTAACATCTCTCCCATTAAAATGCAAGGAGTGATTATAAAGCCTCTCCTCAGATTGGAGTAATAACAAACTGCCAGATCGATTAGGCCAGTGGCCAAGGAGTCAGTCAACCAGAAACAGTTACAGACCAGGTGCTGCAAAAGCATATTCACACTGCAGAAACAACAGTACACAGCAAAAGCACAACGCTCTACAGCAGTTACAAGCCATTAATCTTTGTCCCCTAACTCATGATGCTGACTGCAGCACTGCACTATACTCGGGGAAAATAAAGCGCTCTATTGATTTTCCTATAAAAACAGCTCACTTAGTTGCCTAAAACACCACCCTGGGGTGACAGGAATTATTTATTTTAAGCTAAAGGGAACATGCAAACAATAAGAAAATTGTGCCAGAAATTTAGGCAGGTTAAAGTCTTGGTATAATTGTTGTTCCTCTGATAGAACTGTTAAAATCTATACAAGCCACACTTGGCCTTGTGGACGGAACATTAACTGCAGTAAAGTTACAGCTGAAAAAAGCCATTGTGTGTCTTTAAAAATGGCACATCACAAGGCCTGAGTCTGATTGTCACATGTTGTAGTGCAATATAACTTGAAAGCCTCCTGCTACTAAGGCCAGGGTTGTGAGTAGACACCGATCTGCTGCACATGCGTATGAGAACGCATCCTCCAAGCAGCCTCTGAACTATAAAGAAACATTATTTATAACGTGGTGTCTACAACTGTCCATATGCACATCCACAAGGGAGTTAGTATAATCAAAGCTTAAGGATTTAGTGGTTGGCATATATAGTATAACAGTAAACATAAATATGAGTGGGCACTGAGCTGTGTGTTTGGCATTAATTCCTTCTAGAAAACGCTGACAATGCTTCATCCTCATCAACCCTCTTGAAGCGCTGCATTGTTGGGAGCTCCCACTGGCCTGGTGCAGGCTGCCATCTCCACGGTTCCCATGGGACTGTCTTGAAGGGCATACACAAACACAGATGGGCTCTCATGCTATCCAGACTTAAAAGCACTTCTTAAACATGGTTTCTGGCTGTGTTGTCACTGCTGGCAAGAGTATTGAGGTCTGGAAGAAGCAGAAGGCTTTGCAAACAGACGTGTGACCCTGGCACAGTCTCAGCCAACAGCCACATACACAAGTAGAGATAAAGCCAGTCTGTTTCTCTCGACTCATCTATATTCTGTACACCGTCATACAGTCAGGTCATACGCCGGTGGAAAATGACTCACTTGCATGCAAATTAATACAGGAAACCTTTGTCAGGCTGTGAAAAACTAAACGAAAACATACTGAATTGTACTGATTTAATGAGGAGAATTATGCATGTTAAACAACATCCTTATTACCATCCTGGAAAAGCAACACAAGACAACCACATAACTGTAGTCAGAGCAGCAATGTAATTATACAGAGCTGCATGTCTTTTTATCCTTCATGTGAGGGAAATACATTTCTTGACTATCACAGCACATCCATATGTCAGATTAAGGGTTTCATATTCCCACTTCAGTTTACCAATGCGTGGAAGTGCCAAGTGAAACAGACATGGGTGGATGCTAGGAAGCCACCCTCCTTACACACTGGCACTGACTCCTACTCAGGAGCAAAATGAGATCTTATCTGTCGTGCTTTGATGAGGTCAAGGATCAATCCTCCCTCTTACAAAGTCATTATATCATGCTCATATGCAACTGAGAGCAATAAACATAGACAATTACGAACTTCACCTCCACACCCTCTGCAGTTAGCATGTTAAGTGTTCCTATGGTAATGTGACAACTGTTGCTATAAACACTACCGGAAGAAAGAGTGCAAGATCATCATTAAAGCATCTCTAACTTGGGGCAGTTAGCTATTTTTAATGGGTAAACTGTGCTGTCTCTGCACCATCTATACAGACAGACACTGTGGTAAGTCGTGCTCTGGAGGTATAATTAGTCAGCTCTGATATGTGGCAGTGGCCCAACAGATCTGACACCACTGTGTGTGGAGCGCACACACAGTTTGTTATCAGCTGTTCCCAGAGGCCCAGCTCACAGCAATGTGCCTATGGCAACCTGCATGCCTGCCATTGTCCCCCATGACTGTGTTTAATGCAGCACAGTGAGAACAGCATTAATTATAGACGTGGACATGTCCGACGCTGGTACATAACAGAGTCATGTGAGGGCGACAGAAATGAAAGGCTATCACACCTCTTCACAGACATGTCGAGAAAACACACAATGGAAGAAACTTCTGGCTGCACAGTCCAGAGAGGGAGGGGTTGAGAGGGAAGAGCTGGCCACAAGTGTAAACCTTCCAGGCCTCGGGATGATGTAACCTCTCCTGTAGGCAGTGAAAGGTAGTTATAGAAATGGTGCTGGCTATTTTGTTTCCATCTGCTCTGCCTCTACACTGGGGGGGCCTGTTGCTGAGCCTCACCAGTGCCAACCTACAAAGGCTTCTCTCTAAAGAGTCAACAGGAACAATACAAGTGGGACAAAGGTTTATTGTTTTCCTGCTGAATCTGAAAAGCTGACATAATTAATCTTAAGTGAGTTGGATCGGCAAAGGAGGCAGGTTTTCACAAGTCTCACTTAAACTAATCATACTCTCATCTGCTGCATTTCTAAACGTTTTCAGAGCTGCAACCATCCAACCTTCAGTGTTTGCTGTTCTGATCAGAGCCACCAACAACCTCTTCCCAGTCACTTCAGGACCCTACAGCCTCCTCCCACCACTCGCGTCCCCCCTCGTCCCAGCGTGCGTCTCCCCCCTTTTTTTCTTTCCAATGCCATTTTCCCGCCCTGGAAAGCAACAGGCTGAAGAAAGAAAACAGCCATTCACCACCCTCCGTCGTCATCATGGTGACTGCTGAGGCAGGGATGCAGGATTACAGTTTGCGGGAAGGAAGCTAAATATAAAACCATATAAAGATCTTCCACCAAGCTACCTGGTCCATCACCAGAAAACAACACTACCCCTCTGATGGCATTAAATAGGAGCAAGTGTCAGCACCAATACTATTTTGTCATATACATAAGGTAAACATGCAAAACTGTCTTTCACAGCAAAGTGTTCTGTCCCTCCTTGGCAGAATGGATGATGGGAGGGTGACCCAAACATCAAACTTAACATACAAATGACCGGTTTGTTCCAGTATCCATTAATGGCTGAACAAGAAAGAGCACAATCCATCACTTTTGGGGACACTATGGCCAATCAACTTATTTACATGAATCAACTTAGAAGCATTAAAATGCAGCTGCAGCAGATGCTACATGGGTTGATCTGGCTCTTGGTAACACGGAGCTTTTGTTAACGTATTAGCGCCCAGCTTCCAGCATGGCAGCCTTGTGTCGGTGAAGGAGGGGGGGAGAAGCTGCAGTCCGCCCTGCTTGTGACACTGCAGGCTCCACATGGCCACAATGGCAACGAGGGTTTCGGATGTTAAAGCTAGAAAACAAAAAAATAAACTAAACGCGACGAGAAAGCTTCTTCTATCTATGAAATGTACAAACGGCAACATTAAGCTAGCTCACGCGCTCTTAGCTAAACTAAAAAACCTAATTTGTATGAAGAATAACGGGCGGCGGAGAGAAAAAAATAAAGCATCACAGAGAACTGGTTTAGCAAAAGTAACCTAAAAAAATGACAAACTTCCAGCACTTGTGTCGAGGTCTTACCTTCACAAACAGCTCGATAACGGGCTCGTTATCCGCCTTTACTCCGTTCTGCGGTACCGACAGCGACATTGTGACTTTGAAGTTTTTCCTCCACAAAGATGAGTTTTTTTTTCTTCTCCTCGCTACCACGCCCGACTAGTCCTCTCCACCACCACCTTTTCTTTTTTCCTGAAGCCCAAAAGGCGCTTTTTTTTCCTAATTCTTCTCCCCGCAAGAGGACAGGGAGCAAGACCCGGGAGGCTGCGGAGCTTCTGTCGGACACTATTGTTGCTACGTCGCCGCTCTGTCAGGCTACAAAGCGCCGCTGAGCCGCCGGGCTGTGCTGCTGCTGCTGCTGGAGCAGTGAGGATGAGGAGGAGGCTGCTGAGGAGGAAGAGTGGCCGCTGGGAAGAAGCAACGGGAATATTTAAAGGCGTGATGTCACCAGCAAACATAAAAAAAAAAAATGTGGGCGGGTCTGAGGAGGGAGTCACCGGGCTTGTCCTGGAACACATTTTATTAGTGCTTACAGATAAAATCCTTCAGCACTGTTTCACTTTTCTTTTAGAAATAAAAGCAAAAGCTCCAAAGATAATAGATGTTTTATATGTGCAGTCGTCCTCGAATGTATTCACACCCTTCCATTAATGAAAATAAATCACAATAGTCACTCAAAGAAATAGAAACTGAAAAAGTAGTAATAAATAAAAATTTGCTAAATTATAATTTAGTGAAATAAGACATTGCTTTAGAATTGTGGTTAAATAGAATAACTCAAAAAATAAAAAAATAAAATTTCAAATTAGAGCACAATGCAAAATGCAGAAGTCTGACAGAGTTACAGAAAACACTTGATTACAGTGATTGGCTCAAAGGGTTGTTCAACTAAATATTAGTTTACGGTCCCTTCATGCTTATTTTTTTTATAATTTGTTTGTTTTAATATTTCTGTTAAACCACAATCCAAAAGCAAGGTCATGATTTTCATTTACTTTTTTATTTATTATTACTTTTGTCAATTGGGAGGGTGTGGATACATTTGAGGATGACTGTATTTAAACAGTGCAAACATAAATCAGTTCAAAAAAAATTGTATGGAAACAGATTTATTAAAAAAAGATATAGGAATGAAGAGAGGTAATTGTGGGAGGGGATATTGTACTAAAGGGATAGGTGATTATAAAGTATTGGTTGATTGGGGTTTGTTTTTGTTTGTAAAGAATTGGTGTAAATATGTAAATCGGTGTTCAGGGTAACTATGAGTAGTGGAGTAAGGGGTGGGAATTCATAAGCTTTGGCTTCCTGCTGCTCCCTTTCGGACTTATGGTTTATTTATTCAAATAATGTTGGAGAGTACTTTTTCTCTCTCCTTTAGATTCAACTATTCATGGAGTGGCAACAGAATGTATGTGGGTGTGTATGTAGGTATATGTATATATGTGTATGTATAGATACGGGTATGTATGTATGAAGTCTTATTATTTATTATATTTTTTTTCTCTCTTTTTTTTAATATGTTCAAAATAAAGAATTGAATTCTTCCCTTATTTGCTATTTATCTTTACCTAATGCCATTATCAAACTATGTAAATCTTTATTCAATTTTATCTATAGCTATCAGAGAAAGCTCCACCTTTGTCAGTTTTAAGAGACAGTATAAGACATGGCTGATGAACAATCAAATGTGTGAACATTGAGAAAATCAGACACTTTCACTACATGCACTTTATGACACTCTAGAAAGCACTTTACTGGAATAATAGCACTTTAGGGTGGGTTTAAACCAGTCAGAATTAATTCATCATCATTGTCTTTGTCTTACTATATTGTTGTTTTTTGTTTGTTTTGTTTTTATTATTATTTCTACATATGTATCCCTGTTTGTTTTTCTTTTATGTGTGGGACAATGGATTGAAATCCGACGTATTTACTGTACCCTTGTGTAAACTATTGAGACTGTATGTTTATTAATATGCACTGTCCCATCCAAAGAAAGAAAGAAGGAAAGAAACAAAGGGGATTTACTTTATTTATTTATTTATTTGTTTTAAGTATGTAGCATGTATTAAGAAGAGAACCCAAATGAGGTGAATTATTCCCAAGCATGGCTGTAGATCTCAGTTGAACATGGAGACAGGACCTTTTGAGCTTCAAATGTTTTATTTGCTGCATCCTGGTGAGTTTTTATTTAGCAGCTTGTGCCTTTTCGACTTTAATTGATGGTGGAAAAGTCTTTATTTATGTAAAGGACAATGCAAAATTCAGGCACAATAAGGTACATTTTACTGAATTTTAAATTTTTTTTTAATCATATTTGCTTCTTTCAAAGGTTAATATATTTTTACCAATATGGAAAAAAACAAATGTGTTCTAACTGGTAGCTGGATTGTTACTAATTAAGCAGTGCTAGTTTCATTCACATATTTTATACATTAAAGGAGCCATATTATGTACACCAAGTTTTTCATTGTTTTTAAAGATCATCACGTGTCCCCGAGTGAGTCAAGAGACTCACAAAATATCAGAAAACCCCATCTTCTTGTTTCTTTCCCGTCTCCATGGATCCAGAAGGGCTTTTCTGACTAAGCTGTTGAGGTTTACAGCCTGTTATGATGTCACAAGAGAAAAATCCCCGTCATGGCTGGCTCCTGTGTGCTGGGCTCCTCCCTGCCTCGCTCTGAACAGAACAGATGCAGAGGCTGGTTCCAAGTCGCATACTTTTTACTTTCAGTATGTACTTCAGCTGCCCTTACACAGTGTGTACTGTTTCATGCAGTATGTGTACAAGTGGGACACACTATGTAGTCAGAGCATTGTGCCTTAAACTTTGACCAACACAGTCTGTAGTGCAAAATAAGATGTTATCTGTGTGTTCAAGCTGGCAATTCAAGTCAGAATGGCCATAAAAGCATGCTGTCTTGGCATACTACATTTTACATTCCATGAATTGGAGCATACTAAATGGTTTTATGGTGTATTATAAGTATAGTAGTGAGGATATTGGAACACACCCAGAGAGAGGTGTGACTGTGTCCTTCTTCCTGATAGGTGCAGGCAGCTGCAGCTCAGCTGGAATGAAAACTACAGACACAAAACAAACTGTTTGCAACAGGTCTAAAAGCAGAGGTATCATAGGCATAGTAGACTAAACAATGTTGTGTCTTTTCTTCCATCCATCCATTATCTATACACCGCTTAATCCTCACTAGGGTCGTGGGGAGCTGGAGTCTATCCCAGCTGACTCAGGGTGAAGGCAGGGGACACCCTGGACAGGTCACCAGTCTATCACAGGGCTACACTTAGAGACAGACAACCAAGCACACTCACATTCACACCAATTAACCTCATGTTTTTGGACTGTGTGGGAGGAAGCCGGAGAACCTGGAGAGAACCCAAGCTGCACGGAGAGAACATGCAAACTCCACGTAGAAAGGTCCCGGGTGTCCTCACCGGCATGTGAACCGGTGACCTTCTTGCTGCGAGGCAGCGGTGCTAACCACTGCCCCACCTTGCAGAACATGTCTTTTCCTTATCAATGAAATGTTTTTATGTAAAGTAAAACTCAAAATCTGGATAGTGCATAAGTCACTGTTATTTATAAAGTACAAATAACAGTCCAAGTGCTTTCTGATGAAGAAATAAGACTGATGCTGCACAACAACCAATCAACCTTAAATATGGAGCTACAGAGGTCTGTGGCTTCAGTAATTTGGCTGCAAGGACACTTTCCTGGTAGCTGATTAAAAAAAAAAAGCTGCACCTTACCGTCACTACAGGTTGATACTTTGCATATTTATAAGACTGGAAGCTAACGCCCCCAATTTGAATGACTACACAGTAACTGTTACAACCTCCACCCTAAACCCACAAACAAGTTTTATCTTTTCACGACTTGTTCTCCATTAGCCTGAATCTATATTCTGTTAAGTGATAGGCATGAATGACAAAAACTTACTGTGCTTTAAAGTGGAAAACAAAAAGCAAAACAGATCCTATATAAAAACGTTTTAATTCTGAAAGGATGACAAGATGACAAGAGCCAAGGTTACTAAATACAAATCATATACTAGAGCAGTCCCACAGAGATTAGCTTGATACAAGGGTGTCAACATAAATTGCATATCAATCTGTTTTGAAAAAAAAAAATTAAAGCATTTATCACATTGGATTGTTTTAGTCTTCAAACAAGACAATTTAGGAGTCAGAAAAAAGCAGGTTAAACGATGCCAAACAACTCTATTACAAGTTACAATATGGGATTAGACATTCTGTTACGGCCTCTTAACGGTGCACACAGCAGTGTCACCGTTTCCACTACTAAAAGGCAATAGTAACAGTATGTTACTGTATGGTGGTTTTCCCCTACGCTTCATAAGGTCAGTGGTTCATGCACATCAGAGACAATCACTGCACATGCAATCATTTCTCAATGGAGTCTACTGTAGGCTGTGGAAAATATCAGAAACCTGCCCAACTCAAACCTCAGGGCCTCAACTCATTCCCTGCTCAACAATTTAAAATTATGGACAACACAAGTTTCTTTACAGTTTTAGATAATACACTAACCGACAAATCAAGCTCTTAAAGAAACACACTTTTCAGAATGTACCAAACCAGTAAAAAGAAAACAAGACTCGAGATTTAACAATTTGTACATTCTAAAGCTGAACCAGGTTGATGACAAACATCAAGAGTGAGTGGAAAATTCAAGAGGGAGAAAGCCTCTTGTTTTCAGGACATCTGTGATGGAGACAACTGGGCCTTCCTCATGGAGCGCAGGGCCTTCTCTCTAAGGTGCTTCTCCAGATCATCCAAGCTGTCCTCAACTTCACTGTCTGACTCCTGAATAAGAAGCACGACACATCTATTACGCAATTTAACCACCTGCATAGACATACAATTGGCACAAATATAAGAATCAGAATGTTTTGGTTGCAAACGCTTCAGAATCAGATGTTACCTTTCTCGAATCTCCATCTTCCTCTACGCCCTGGATTTCTGGTCCATCCCCACTCGCAGCGGGACCGCTCTTCTCCTTCTTATGCTTCTTGTGCTTTTTGTGTTTCTTCTCCTTCTTATGTTTCTTTTCCTTCTTCTTCTTCTTTTTCTTTCCACTGCCATCAACATCTGAAGCCTGCAACAAAACAGATTTGTTAAGACGACGCTAAAAAGGGACACTAAATAACAAATATTGAACATCACAGCAATGGAAGACGCTAGTAGCTTTAGCATCAAAGAGAGATCAGACCACAACAGGGTTCCTACACACTTCAGGAACTGTTCAGGAGTGATCTTTTGACTTTCTGTGTTTCAGGATGGATTAAAGGAATTCTAGTGTTAAAGATTCTGAAAAATGTTAAAGAAATGTGATCATGTTGTAGATTTATTCTTTAAAAGCCAACAGTGCTGTAGATTTTCAATTTACTGCAGAACTGCTGAGGCCATTGTGTACAATTTCCTGACTAACTAATAGGGAATATTTTACCTCATCATTTAGCTTTAACCCACTGATGCGCTACATTTTTCTCCATTGCTCTTTTCTATTAAAAACAAACCAACAAACAAAAAAATGTTGCAATAAAATGCTGCTTATATAGGTCAAAAAGCACAAACCTTGCTTGGAGACTGACTGCCAGACCCACTGCTGGCCTTTTTAGCTGGTGGTGGAGACCCACTGGCTGAGCGGGACGGTGAGGGGGAGGCAGACGCAGGGGCTGGACGTTTCTGAGCTGCTGGTTGAGGGGAAACTGATCTGGATCTGGAGGGTGCTCTCCTCATAGGCTGGGGGCTCGGAGACGGTCTGTAAAGAAGATAACATAATGATAGGGGACATTAGAAGACACCCAAAGAGTGATACAAACTCTCACTAATCTACAAAAATATATATGTATAACTACATGGACTGCGCAGTAAATACTTGCTGCTTGTTTACCTCTGGTTGTTGCGTGGCTCTGGTGTGCGGGACACTCTGCGGATGAGTTTACTACTGTGTGAAGGGGACTGCTGTCTCCGCTGGTGAGATGGAGATGCACTGGAGGTTTCAAAACGTCCCTGAGGACTGGGGGAACCCCTGACAATGCGACCGCGGTTCGCAGGGGACGGAGAGAGATGCCTGCCTCCTCCCAAAGGTGATCGTGTGTCCCTGCTTGGCCTGATTGAAGGCAACATGGGGCTCCTCCTGTGTCTGGGTGGAGATGTGGAGGAGGGAGGTGAGCGTCTCCTTGGAGCAGGAGAGCTTCTGCGTTTGGGGGACCTGGAGGGACGTCGCTTGATCCCCGGAGAAGAGCGTTTTGGGGGTGAATTTGACAGCCTCCGCTTCTGTGGTGGCAAAGGTGAAGGGCTGTAGCGACGCTGGATGGGGGGAGAATATCGTTTGGGGGTTGGTGATCTACGGCGGGGTGGAGGGGAGGGAGACCTGGGAAGCACCAAAGTCAGTTGTTGAATAAAACTTTCTGAATTGATGTACTATTTAATTATTTTTGAAATCATAGCACTTAATACAAAATAAAAATGCTTGTACCTGCGTCTAGGAGGAGGAGAGGGTGATCTGCGGCGTCGTGGGGGAGAGGGGGAACGACGTCTGCGTACAGGAGACGGAGAACGTCTTTTCCTGAAAAAGTATCAGTAAAAAAAAATGTTTTTGAAAACTAAATGTTAAGAGAATATATAAATGGAATTCTACATGTTAAACCATTGAGATACTAATGTGTAAATGCTGTGTTATGTATCTGACCTTGGAGAGGCGTCCCTATGTCGCCTCCTAGGGGACGGTGTACGGCTACGTCTTCTCCTCACTTCACCATTTCTGGCACCTGGTCCTGCTGTTGGCCTCTTGGGCCCCTCATCTTCTGAGGAGGAAGACCCTGTGTCTGAAACCACAGAGACAGAAGACATCAACAACTGCTCTACCGTAACCTTGACTGTATGCGGTCAGGAAAAAACACCAAGGTTGGGGTTAGGACACAGCTTCAAAAGTCCATGAGACGATGAGTGCAAGATGACATGGACAGAGACTTGGTTAGAGAGAGAGGGGGTTGGGTATGGGAAAAGAAAGTACGGGGATAAAAACGCTTTTAACCTGAGGACGACTGTCGGTTCTGCCTGCGATACTGACGTCGCTGCTGCACCGAATCTGCTGTTGCCCCTTTCTCATTTTTATCCTCCTCTGAAATGTAGAGCATTGAGTGTCTCGTCAGTGTTAGCAAAGCCGTGAAACAGACTGCCATGGAAATGTTACAGATAATACAGTAAACAGACCTATATCCCTGCTGCCTGAGTTTTCAGCCGGTTTGAACATGGTGACTGTGTATTTCTAGTGCTACTCTCACTTGTGTTTGTGTAGGGTGTGTTTTGCCACATTTTTGTTCACTGTTTGTCGTGACACTATAAGTGGGATGAATACACAAATATAAAAAGTTCTCAAAGCAGGTTAAGAAATGGAAACACTGTAAAGGGATCCATTGGCACAGATTGAATCAACCTTTATCTGTCTCCATTTGCTGCTGTCTAAAATAACAGAAAACAAAAACTACAAGTGGAGAGCCGAAAACAGAGGATTCTTTTTAAAGGATGAAATAGGCTTTGGGTGTTGTCTTTATAGTGTATTTGTCAGGGATCATGTACAAAAACATCTCGGATGATTGAGATGCATTGCACAAGGTTCAGCTACTAGCTTATTTCCATCTGCAGTCCTTGAGCAGGTTGTCTGCAGCTGTAGACCAAACTTTAACCATCAGCTTAGCAAACACAACTTGTGGAGAATTTTCACAAATAATCCTCTTTGCATATAACAGGTATGGTGCGTCAAGTTGTTAAATGACTCCAAACAAGTAAACATCTGTATCCTGGCCCTACCTGCTGGAAACCAGGTGAATTTTACCTTTTCTGACAAGTGGCCTGAAACTCCATTCCATCGGTCATCCCAATTTATGACCTGTAAGGTGAAACACGGGTACAGCTCTGTAAACAGACAGAATTTATTGCTTACCTGACTCTGACCCTTCAGAGGGTCTTGCCTTGGCATTATCAGGCGGAGAATCACCCCTTCCTCCTTGTTTTCGCTTAAAACCTAAAAATAAGGCACAGAAATGTATGACAATCATTTGCTTTTGTTTTAGCCTTTGAAATAACCACTTAGTCCTTAAACCATTTGAAACGCGTAGGAATGGTTGGGCTTTCTATAATTTCATTCACACAAGGCATTTTGCCATCACAACGCTAATTCACTTAGGTATGATATGAAATTTCTGATCCACAGAAAGAATCAAGGACTTGAAAATGTCATGTAGTTTTAAATACAAAAATACAAATATTGTAAATAGTACTTAAAAAACTGTACAGGTCATACCTGCTGATCTTGGAGGGGAAGCAGAGCCCCGACCCCTTCTGCCCCGTGGAGACGGTGATCGCCTGTCTTTCCCTGCGGGGCTAATCGAAGTGTCAAGATGATGGGCCTGCTTTCGGGGTGGTGTGCTAGATATTCTTTTCATTGCTTTTTTCGGTGAGCGAGAGCCTGAGGAGCTGCTGCCAGAGGATGAAGCAGAGCGAGAACGCCTCCTGGAGGACACGTGCACAGTGACAACTTTTGTTTTTTAAATCTGCATGCCACAGATAGTGCATACGGCAGCACCAAGTATTGATATGAAACATATGCCAGTGTAAAAAACCAATAACATAAAATAAAATATCAGACATCATAGGCCAAACCCACAAGGACGGTATCTTAAATAACTACGCCACTGACCTGCGGACAGGGGAGCGCCTGTGTCTGTGTCTGGAGGTGGTGGGGCCACGTCTTGGGGGACTCCTCCGACGAGGAGACATTCTCCTTCTGGGGCTTTGTCTTCGACGAGGGGAGTAAGACCTGACAGGGTAGGTAGGGCAAATTGAGAAAGTTTTAGAACCTTAAACTCTTGAAACCCTAACACCTGCGCGTAACAGAATAAACAAGAACTTACCTTGAACGGGAGCGTCGTCTGCGAGAACGTGAGTGAGAACGGGAGCGGTGGTGAGGTCTTTCCCTTCTGGTGTCCTTCTCTCTTTCACGAGACCTCGGCCTTTCCTCTTTTTTATGACTTTTTTCTGGGGAAGGTTCCTTGACTTCAGTCACGGAGTCTGCTTTTACCACCTCCACAACTGCATCACTACAAAATAAAGCAATACAGTTGAAGAAAGAAAGTCTAAGTTCTAAATGTTACCTGTCAAACTAAAATTAGAAGTCAGAGCAAAGCAAGCTTTCTACTAACCAGGTGGATGAAGCTTCTTGGATAATTGGTTCAGGCATTGCTCTTCCTGATGTATCCGGCTCCACAAGCTGCTCCAAAGGTTTTGTGGGCAGCTGCATCAGTGGTGGAGGAGGTGAGCTGCCACTAATTGGACTGGCTTTACGTCTCGGGGAGCGCGAGGGGCTGCGTTTCCTGTCTCGCTTCACCGGCGACCTTCGCCGTGGTGACGGTGACCTTGTCTTCCGCCTGTACAGAGAAGCGAACATAAGTTTCCATGTTCTGCACTGAATGCATAAATTCAACTTCTGACTGGTGACATTATTAAAAAAATATATAAAAATCAGACCTTCTTGGGCTTTTCGACTGAGCCCTCTCTCTGATGTCCTTGTCCTTTTCCTTCTTATCCTCATCTATCTTCTTCAGAGAAGCAAGCTTCTCCTGTTCAATCTATCAGAAATGGAAGAACGGAGGACAATGTCACAATGACAAACCATTCATCGTCCAACTTGCAACATCCATGTACCATTTTCTGTGGTGCTGAATACAATTGCAATGTTATAGTGTTACTATTTCCACATACAATTCCATTCAGATGTAAAATTCACCCCCTGAAAATAGTATTTTACAAAAACGCTATCTCCAAAGCTAGAGACACTTCCTACTTCAGGCTGTTTTGCACTTAGATCGTTGTCTTATCTTGTCCAGGCAACTACACCCCTGTACAGACAATCCATGAGCCATCTCCCTACCGTATGCAGACGCTCACCTGTCTCTGTTTGATTTCCTCTTTCTTCTGTTCCAGAAAAGCAGAGGGGATGCCAGCAATGTTCTCCTGGGCACTCAGCAGCAGGGGCCACAGGTCCTTCATGAACTCCCGGGCATTCTTTCCATTCAGAAAGCCTGTCAGGTTGATCTGCATCATCTTGCTATCCGGGTGCTGCAACACACACACGAAGGGGGGAGAGAAAAGAAAAAAACCATATGGTCGTTGAAATAATTGAAACCAAATATCTCAGGGAGGTAGGGTCCCACAAAGGGGGCTTCCTACCTTCTACTCCTCTAAACTACACCTGAGACTATTAGTTAACCATATTAAAGACATGTAAGACACTGACAAGTATATTTAATGTCCCTGGGTCCAATATTGGACTCAATTACCATAAAAAAATCAAAGTGTCACTAATTTAAATTGCACTCACAAACTCATAAACTGAGAATGCAAGCTAGCTGAGGGGAGACATATCTAGTGATGTTAAAAAAAAATATGCATGCAATACTTCTGTTGTTAATCCCTGGATATACTATCTACTATTACTGAAACTCCCATAACACAATTTTTATTTTGTCATTATTTGATTCCCTCAGTACTACCCCACACTACATTACATTCCTGTGTCACTGCCCACCCCTTGTTTTCCAGTCTCCCCACAGTCTACACTTCAGGAGTTAAACAAATAGCCACAATACAGAGTGCATTAAAACCCAACACTGCAAGTACAGTTCCGGTGTCTTCAGTGAGTCCCGTGGGATCAGTGGGCACGGAGCTCCCTTGGCTTGCTTCCGCCTCCCTACTGCTTGAGACTCAACCACCTTGAGCTTAATGTTATATCATTTATCTAAATTGCAAGAGACGAACAAGCAATAATGAGTACACAGTTACACAAAAACTGAGTTTTATTTCAACAACTTATTGTGAGATACCGTAATCTCAGTTCTATTACCATTTCTTTCCATTATGCAACAGTACCCTTTAAACTTAGCTGTGACAGTCCACCCCACCCACCAAAAAGCTATGGCAAGCAAAAGATTAAATAAAAAGATCAGAAAATAATATATTCATGTGTGAAGCTGGTGTGACGTATGCAATATTTGATTAAAAACATGTAAACATATTGGAAGATTAAAAATCTTTAGGAGGGTTACTGGTGCCTAAACTTGGAAACTTACTATGGAAATAAAAAATACTGTGTGTAAATTTCTTTGGTTTCTTCATCCACATTTTTTTCTATTGCAAAAAGTAAGTCTGTGCAATGGAAATTACCCATTATCCAGACATCCCAAGTGGTTTGACGCATTAGTGGAGCACAGAGTATGCTTTACAGAAAAGAAAACTTTGTGCCATAATGACTTTATTTAAGCAAAACAGCCTACGGGGTGAAGAACATGCACAATTTAGTCTTTAGAAATGAAATATACAATACCAGCGGGGGCTCTGCATTATAGCTTTACTGTCAAGAAGCATTTTGTTAAGGTCAAAAATATGACGAATACAGATATTTCAATGTAGCAGTGAGCTGAAAAGCACTATTTCTTGTCAACAATCTTATTTTTGCTGACCTCCAGTGGTTGAAGTTCTCAGTTTGGTACAGTGATGTAAAGACACACTCTGGTTGTGTTCTTGGCACCCTCGCATCACTGTAAGGTGTGATTACAAGTGTAACCAGACACACTACTAACCAACTCCAACAGAGGTGCAAAAGACTTGAAACCTTCAACCAGAGGTGGTCAGTCAAATAATAATAATACGTCAGTTTTGGGTTAAAACTACATGTCAAAGAAAGTAAAGATATAGAGTTTCTTTTTTTTTTAAAGGCTGTGATAAATAATCAAATGTTTCCTGTTTTGAGCCTATTGTTCCAGTTACAATCAAAGGGATCTGGGCAGTTTATCGATGCACTGCAAACTACCTACGAAGAATATGATTATGGCATTGTTTAGGTGTGTCTTTCACTGACATGACATAAGTGATCCCTGCATATAACTCACCTCAAACCACACACTGCATCATGAAGGGAGAGTTGGGCTCAGTGACTTTGGGCTCAGGAGAGAGCTAATTAGGTGTTGGTGCTATACTTCTGATGCAAGGTATAACATCCATATTGGTTCAGGCCTTTTAAATCATAAATCACATCATCATTAGAAGACTGCTGAATAAAGGCACTTTGTCACATAACAGCAAAACATGGTAATGTCATAATAATTCAGTTTTACACCAATTGTTACTTTCCCCATTCAATTTCAATTTGACTAGGATGTGTAATTATTTGCTTATATATCCGTTCTTATTGACAAGCAAATTTGTCCTCAAATTTATCACAGTTCTGAAAGAACGACAAAAACAAGTTAAGACATTACCTTCTCCTCAAGCTGGTTAAATATGAACTCTATGACGACGTCATCCTCGAACCCCAGGATCTCTGTCACTCGCTGAGTAATCCAAGGTTTGATGACTTCTAGGTTCACTTTGGTCATGTCCACCTGAGCGGGAAACAAGCAGCCAACAGCATCCAGTTGGTAAAGACAATCGGTGACTTTATATCCAGTGGCGACATCAAACAAGTTCAGTGCTGTCAGATACATGTCTCTACATCCAACATTAGCTGGTACAGTATCCCAAACGTAATCAGCCTTTAACACTGCATCCAAAGAATCACATTAATATTGATGCTCACATACCTTCTTGTCCAGACATTCTGCAAATTTCAGCTGCTTCAGCAGTTTTTTCTGCTTGTTGCTGAAACGGTTGTCTTGCTCCGCACTTGTACCCTGAAAAGTCAATCAAATATTAGTTGGGTGTGTTTTGCTGAGAATCACAAGTACACACACATAAAAGCATGACTGAAACATGCTTTCCACATCATTTGGTTCAGAAAACATACTTGGTATTTCCCCAGCGTTGCACTACTGCACTCTAGCTTACCGTTGTGCAAAAAACTAATTGTCACCCAGTTTATGTGTGGGGCTGCTTTTATCTGGACCAGTCATAATGTGTAAGTGCATAAAACTTCATGTCTGTGGCAAAAGTAAAGGTTCACCTTTATGAAACTTCCCTTGTGACGGCATAATTGCGACCAAAGAAATGTTTGCAATTTATAGTGCAATGAGATACAACATGTAAGATTATATTAGAGCGACAATGATCAATCAATTAGTTATAAACAAAACAATAAAATGCCAACTACTTCAATAATAGAGTAATCGGTTTCATAAAGTCTAAACCAGGGATCTCCAACTCCGGTCCTTGTGAGCTGCTGCCCTGCAGGTGTTAGATGTTTCCGTACTGCAACATACCTGACTCAAATTAATGAATCTCCAACAGCTTCTTGTCAAGTTCTACACAAGCCTGTTAATGATCCATTAATTTGAGTCAGGTGTGCTGCAGTACGGAAACATCTAAAACCTGCAGGATAGTAGCTCACGAGGATTGGAGCTGGAGATCCCTGGTCTAAACTGTCCGACTCCAGCTTGTTGAATTAGAACATTTCATGGCTTGTTTGCTTGACTGTAGAAGTACAGAAAATGTGTTTGGGTTAGGCACAAATCAAGATATTTAAGGACATCATCTTGATTGTTTAATTAAGCCAGAAATAATTGACAGGTTACTCGATAATACAAGTAATTGGTAGGTGCAGCATGAAATTATAAACACTATTATAGTATTAATTTTATGTCTAAAATTCTTGTTTGAACTGTAATTGTCGTTGTGTAGATAAGGGTTGTATATATACAATAAAGATTTTTTTTTGCCGTTGTCCCATATAACCTTTAAAACACAATTCTCTTAAATTAAATTAAATTAAGTCATTTTGATGCAATAATCAAATTTACGTTTCATTGTTGAGGCTGCAGGCACTTCTTGGCAAACAGAAAATTGCATTATATGAGTAGAACCAGTCCATTAAATACGTTTTAACCGGTAGTAAAAAAAAAAAAACACTGGAGTGGTTGTAATCTAGGGCAGGGAGCAGGTAAAATAATACAGACATACGGAGAAATGCTCCCACGGATCAGTTCTGGGCAGACTGACAGTTTTTGGAACAACACGTGTGTTACTGACATCAAAACCAAAACACAGAGATTCAACTTTGTTTGAAAAAATCTCATAACCAGATGGTAGCATGCAATAACTTTACAAATTCCACACGTTAGCTCCAGAAACAACAGCATCGTGTTGATTTTAGTCCGTCAAGCGGAGACAGATATGACATTGATACCATTAGGCTAACATTAGTCAAGCTAACCACCTGCTTAATCCTCCAAGGGAAACTGACGGACTAATATTAGCTGCAGAATGGAGGCTGTTTTGACCGGCAACGAAACTGGCATAGACAGAATAATAAAATATACATAAGTGTCGTTATTAAATAAACCTTTACGTCTACTCGTACGAGCTGGCGTCGGCGTAGCAGCAGTCGTGACTGGTTCGCGGAGACAGAAGCTATGCACCGCCCGGGCGCCATCTTTAGCCAATGCTAATAAGTTAGCTGTAGTTAGCTAGCTAAGCTGCGACGTCTGTTTCTTGCAAATGTGCCTGCAATAAAATATCAAAAGGCTATAGCATGTAAGCAAGATAAGGTTACGTGACGCTACAGGGTAACAAATGTATATTTGATAAACAAAGCGGACTGATGGCGACACCCAAGTGTGTTTCTATCAGGTGATAGACGAAGCCCTGGCCGTACAGTTCTTGACTGTATGGCCCTCCAGCTAAAAACATATGGCACATTAATGTTAGAAACCGCGTGCGTAGCTTCGTGCGACTCAGCAGGAAGGCAGCGAACAGTCAGAAAAAGGTAAAAAAGATCTTACGCGGAAGAATCCCGCGTCCATTATCGGTGAAAATGAATGGTAACAGGCGCTGTCGAGAAAGACGTGTGCAGCTCCGGTGAAATTGTGAGCGGCGACCCGGATGAAGGGAGCGCCCCCGTAGGTAGCAGCAGGTACTGCAGCTGCTGTGATGACAGCGCAGAGAGGAGGCCTCTGACCTGACAAACAAGAAACACAGCGAAAGAATAGTTGCATTTGCATCATCAGCAAAATGCCCCTTTAATGGAACTACCAATACGGAATGGTCCCTTTCTGAGTCTAAAAATACTATACATTTTATAGGTTTACAATCACCCCACTTTGTAGTTTGTCTTCTTCTTGTTGTCATCATTGCCAGTCTCAGGCCAGCCCTAAACTGCCACATGGTTGTGTTGTATTCAAGGCCCAAAAATGTAGTATTTGGAAGGACACATTGTTCAATTACATTTAGTTTTATTCATAAAATTTACAACATGTTATTTGCCCATCGCTCAACATTCTAAGGCATGTGAATCACATCATCCATCCATCCATTCCTCCATTATCTGTAAACCACTTAATCCTAACTAGGGCTGCGGAGGGGCTGGAGTCTATCCCAGCTGACTTACGATGAAGGTAGGGGACACCCTGGACAGGTCACCAGTCTATCACAGGGCTACACTTAGAGACAGACAACCAAGCACGCTCACATTCACACCTACAGACAATTTAGAATCACCAATTAACCTCTACAAGATCTCAACAAGATCTCATAAAAAGTATGGCCAGCATTTTAAAAAANAATGTAGTATTTGGAAGGACACATTGTTCAATTACATTTAGTTTTATTCATAAAATTTACAACATATTTTATTTGCCCATCGCTCAACATTCTAAGGTACATGAATCACATCATCCATCCCTCCTTTATCTATAAACCACTTAATCCTCACTCGGGCCGCGGAGGGGTTGGAGTCTATCCCAGCTGACTTATGGTGAAGGCAGAGGACACCCTGGACAGGTCGCCAGTCTATCACAGGGCTACACTTCGAGACAGACAACAGGTACACTCACATTCACACCTACAGACAATTTAGAATCACCAATTAACCTCAACAAGATCTCACAAAAAGTATGGCCGGCATTAAAAAAAAAAGCAGTCTTAACACTGTACAGGGCTTAGCAAGAAATCTCTCCATCTCATTGATTATTTGTCCAATCATGACAAACTGGATGTTTGAAAATAGATCTACCAAAGTATTTAGAACCCAACCTAAAGCTAAATTAAGTGAGCTTTAGGGCCATCCCTGGTGTAAACTTTAAGTCGCTTTAGGGCTGAGAATGTTCGCTTGCTTAACTTTAAAAAAAACCAAAAAAAAGCCTAACACTTTTACAATAAAGTTTTAGCTTGTGCAGGTTGCTGCAGATACGAATCACTAGCTTTGGCTCAGCTCTCTGACCATCCAATCAGAGGACGTGAAAGTGCTGACGTCATCGTAGGCCAGCTAGCTGGCCCTGGGACCACCAACTCTAAATCTGACTGGTTAAAGCAACAGTTTCATTGCAATGTATTTAAAGTTAAAGGCGCTTCCACTTTTGATTCTGCAGGCCTCAGCGCAGATTTCTTTGATCCCGGCAACACATGACGGCTGAAATATGATTGGATAAAAGCTCTGATATAAACATACACTGCTGGAAGCACCACAGCCCAGAGACACGCTATGACATGAAGAGAATAGACTCTTGGGAATAATGTAAGAAGATTAATGGGAAAAATATTATTACGTAAGTCAGTGAGTCTGATAGAGTTTAGGCCAGCAGAGAAGGCCAAGCAATCCTGATAAAACTCATACGTTCTGTGTGATCTGCACTTACTTTATATCGTGACACTGTCAGGATTGAAGCCCATTTGTTGCTCGACGCTTTAATTTTGGGTAATTATGCTGCTTCCACCTGTTGAAAAAGGTTCGAACTGCAATTTACCTTTTGCAGCTGTATCTTAAGTGTGCACAAAGTTAAGTAAATAACAATAATCAGTGTTGTTTGGGTAAATAACAGCTTTATTAGTCAATGTCTGATTCAAAGTACACTGCATTTTTATACATTGTTTTCCAAAGCATATAAGGCTTCATTTGATATTGGTACTCATTCATAACCAAAGTCACACTGCTGGCAAAAAAGTAAAATAAAGGCTTCCTCTTAGATGCCACAGCAAGGGTAGTGGGGTTGCATACATTATGTGGTTATCATTCGATAGACTACATCATAAAAGGCTGCCAGAATACATGATGTGTCATTACAGTCCAGGGTTAACTGAGCTATTCCAGATGATCCTAGAATCAAAGTATACAACAGATTTGTTACTCTAACTGTGCAACAGGTCCAAGTAGTTTTCGACATTGTAATAAACATTGTCACAGACTGTCGCGTCCATGCATGCGATTAACATGACGTTTGGAAATCTCTGAAGCTTAAGAAATGACTATTTTTCTGTTCAATCTGAGGCAACATACCCATGTGTAAAGTGATGCTCATACCATGATAACAATTAAAAACAACAAAGATGAAGAGAAGGTTTGACAGTATATGATTTCCTGAAAAAGACTGAAATGTGTGTGTTTGTGCACGTGTGTGTGTTCCACTGTATGTTAAGAGGCTCTGATGGAGAGGTCTTACTTCACAATCAGTGCCCAGCACATCACTGTAACGTGCCAGAGAAACAGAGGATACTGGTTGACAGTTTGTAAGAGTGAAGTGAAAGGAAGTGTGTTGTTGGTAAATGGCAGGCAGAAGAAAAGACAGCCGCGGGGCATTGGTCAGTCTTTGTGGAGCAGGTTTTGCTAGCTGACCGGCAAACCCTCGTCGGTCCTCTTGTCTCGAACGGAACGCAGCATGTCCGACACCAGCTCTTCAATCCCGAAGGCTGGTGCCCAGCCCCAGTCCCTCCTGGCGTTGGAGTCATCAAACCTCACAGGCCAGCTGTCTGCTGCAAATTGACAGGCAAGACGACCACGTTAATACCAGTGATTTTAAACTAAAGGACAACAGGGTTCAAAATAAAAACTCAATCTCACAGAAGACAGCTATAATCATACTGATTTTTAAAATGCAACACACTTTAAAATTCCTCTCCAGTCATTGATTTGATCCATTAAATTCTGCATATCAAAGTTATATATATCTAGTTTTTCAATAAAAATAACCCCTTTCCATCTTAAAAGGACTCAGATGTGGCTCTACATCATTGCCTCCTAGAATGTGTGGACCACTAAAGTTCCTGCGTCTCTCTCCTCTTACCTTTCACTACAGCTGGAGCACACCAGCTTACCGAAAACTCTGTTGAAATACTGTGAAACTATTCTGTTACACACTGCAAGTTGTAATATTGGAGTAATTCACCCCACACATGCTGGCACCAGAAACCAAAGACACTGAAGAAGAATAATGACAGAGAAACCCCCAGTGACAGGATTGGTTCCTTATGTTTGTGACATATGAAACCCTGAAAGTCTGAATCTGTGTGATGGCTGATGGCTTGACTTTTGCTGACCTATAAACCTGAAAGTAGTTTTTCAAATGACAAACACGGTGTCATTTATGTCAGCTCTAAGTAGTATATATATTTGTAGATGACCTCAAAGCATTGCAAAGGTCTGTCATCCCACTTTGGTTTTGTATTTGGGTAAGTTTACCGATTGGTGCAGATTTTGGGGGGAAAGCAGGGGATACGTCAGCCTCAGTATTTAACACGTCATCCCAAAGCACAGATGTGTGTGACATTTGGGCAGAAAGTTTTGAACATGAGCTATTAAAGTGCAGGCTTTTGTTAAATAATCACAATAAATTAATTTATAACTGAGGCATATAGATTCCATGTGCACATTTAAAGAGGCTACTGGCAAACAAAAGAACAAAAACAAAAGAGGACAGAAAAGTAGATCCTGCTATATATGTGTGTTCATACAGAGGGGATAATATTAAATGAGAAGAGTTGAGAGAGAGGAAAAATAAATATTTGAAAGCAATACAGAGTGCCTCAGAGCCTTACTGTAGAATATTCTTTTATATTTTTAATTGTTAACTGCAGCCTGGATTTTGTGTTTTCCTCCATAAAGCCTAAATAAATAAAATTCCTCCATAAATGGATGCAGAAAAGGCACACTTTCGTGCATTAAAAATGTTTTTGACGTTACATTATCCAGGGGTGGATCCACAGAGCCCCTGTTTACGGTATTCCCAAATCTACACTCACAAGTGTACCATAAGTCGTACCGATAGTCTGGCGGACAGAGTCGGGATTGTAGGTGACTTTGAGGTGAGGGAGGTGCTTGCGTATTTCTTGGGCCACCTCCTCTGGAGTGAAGCTCATGGCAGCTATGTTGTAGGTGCGCAGGGACAGCTGGCACTCAGGAGCCTGCATGAACTCTACTGTGGCACGGTGGCAGTCAGAGATATGCATCATGGGAAGACGGGTGTCGGGTCGCAGGTAGCACTCGTGGTGACCTGTGCTCAGGGCATCGTGGAAGATTTGAACCGCATAGTCTGTGAAGACAGAAGTCCGCACTTCTTAGTCCAGCTGATTTTGTACTAACACAACATAAGTAGATGTGAGGTGAAGCCATACCTGTTGTTCCTCCACCAGGAGGTGTGTTGACTGATATCACACCAGGGTAACGTAGGCAGCGGAAGTCCAAGCCGTATTTATGATGGAGATACTAAAGAAATAGAAGCTGATTGCTACTGAGATTTGGCAATTGAAATATACAGCTAAGTCATCATACATGTTTCTATATGCATTTTAAGATTTTACCTCCCCCATCAGTTCACCGTGCACTTTAGACACGCCATAGATGGTTCGAGGCCTTTGGACACAGAGGTCAGGGGCCGGGTCACGTGGAGAAGAGGGACCGAATGCTCCGATGGTGCTGGGAACAAAGAGGCGCAGGCAGTTCTCTAAGGCCAAGTCCAGCACATTATGTAGGCCTGCATGAGCAGCAGAAGATCAGGGAGGATCAGTTCAAACTCTAATGACCCTTAAACACTTGGTACATGTCAACTGTGTTGATTTCAAGCAGACCTGTGATGTTGATCTTTCGTGCCAAAGCCACATTAGCCTCACCCACAGCACTCAGCAGAGCGCTATAGTGGACCAGCCAAGTGATACGATTATTTACAATCAGCTCTCGGAGGTGTTTGTAGTCCAACACATCAGCGTACACGAATGGGCCTGTGGGGTAAAGAGAGTGAGTTGAGGATATCATTAGAGCAGTAGTTATACATTCAAGGAAACTGGAGAGAAAATGAAAAGTAGAAAAAAAAAAAAATCTGACTAAGATTTGGCATACCACTGGTGAAAACATGAGGCGGAGGCTTCTTGATATCTGACAGGATCACATTCTCTGTTCCGTACTGTTTCCTAGACATTAATAAAGATATTAGGACATTCAAACTTCAAACACTGTAATAAACTTTACAGTGATATCTCAACATCTCACCTCAGCATCTGTGCAAGTCCCACACCTAACTGCCCCAGACCACCTGCACACAAAAGGCAACCTTTAATATTTTATATAAATGTTATTTAAATGTTTTGAGATGAGAAAACTGTTGAAAATAAAATCCATGTTTTTAGTGGGCCATGTTTCAGCTGGAAAAAAAAAAGCTTTTTGTTTGTTCCAAAGCTTTATCCCAGGACAAAAAGTGATAACAGGCTATTATTCTCCTCACAGTCGCTCATTGGCCCTTTTATGTCGCTAGTACTGTCTGTACGCGCCCTATTGTGATGAATCAATACAGGGTCCTGCCACTAGTGCACAGTGAAAACAACTCAAAAAAAGGCAGCACATGTCTGTAGTATTCCACCCGAGCCATTGATGATAGAACGACAGGAATTCTTCACTCTAATACTCCTGCATTTCATTCCATTTAAAAAGATTTTGTTTGGAAATTATCTGATTCACTCTCATTTAGCAAAAAAACACAGCATCTATTATAACTGTGGCCAACAATGTACAGCAGCAGCTACACAGTGAAAGTGGTAGAAAACAATGGCAGCTTCACAGGTTCAGTGTTTGGGCAGTTGTGGAAAAGTCCATTTTTCCCTGTTTGCTAATGACAGAGAAGTCTATTTAATCACCTGTGATGAGAACACGGGGGTTTTCCTGAGGGGGCAGGGGGTTGCAGGACTCCTCGCTGTTCCACCTGCTCATCTTCCTGGGCAAAGAAGTAAAGCTGCGACCGGTCCAACTCCGCGTCCTGCTGAGGCAGCCTCGGCAAAACAGGCCCAGCACGGGCGCACTGGGCACACAGAGCCGCATACTCGGTTGCATGTCCAGCAGCAGTCCTTAGAGAAGTTACATTCATCAGACCAAAGTGATCACACTGAACTTCTACATCTCTAATGATAACAAGTAGTTTAAGAAGATAGAAGGGGAAAAAATATTACCTGTGTGCTGACAAATTCAGAAATCCCAGACAGGTGATTGTTGATCCAAAGCCAGCAGATGCAACTTAACAAATCCAGAACTATTCCTCTTAACTAAACTACGAAATAAGAGCCGATAAGACGGCATTTAAGTGTGAGAGTTAAAAGATTACCATCCGATTGGTCACCGTTTCAGTTCACCCAGTAAGCACTGGATAAATAAGCAGGTGTAGAAAGTCATGCTGGGCTATGTGGTTCCTGTCCACTTTGTGTGTAATCACCGGGGCTTGTGGCTCTTGACTGAACAGGACTACAGTCTCCAGCTTGCAAAGCTCCATGTGCGCAAACATGCTGACTTGCTGTGCACAGGGATTTGTATTGTAAAGAGTGTTTAGCTGAGCTTAACAGGACTGGGAGGTGTGTTAGTCATACAGTCTTCCTCTATTGATAATATTTATGAGTGAATATCTGTCAAAAAGTATTGACCCCATGGCAATTATGATTAACCCAGGCTGTTATTAGATAAAAATAACACTTACTGAGCTCTGTAAAGCAGCAAAAATATAATAAAATAAAGAAAGCTAAACAATAGTTTTAATGAGACAGTTTGGGGGAAAAATGCTTGTTTGTAGTCTTATGAATAGGCTGATGAGAATGTTTTGTCACTTCTGTCCTTAACATATGAATTTGCAGCCAGGAGATACTAAAAAAAGCTGAAATTTGGCTGATATTAAGTAATCAGTAGGGATGCACGATATCTTGGTGATCACATCGGTATCGGCCGATATTAGTGTTTTTTCCGATATATCAGCATCGGTCCAATGAACAAATTTAGCCGATGTGACAACCCATGATTGTCTAAGATTAGCGCCTTCATCTCTACATTTGATTTTACCTAAATGGTTCTGGACTTGAACGTTAAATATGTTTAAATATGTTTTACTTCTGTTATGTAATAAAGAAGACTATGTGGTCTAATTTGGGCTTCTTCTGAGTAGTTTCTCACAGTGCTTACTTCTACTCATTTTTCTGTGTGAACAAAAATCAAACATCGACATCGGTAATATCGATTATCGGCGATATCAGAAATCTTAATATCGGATATCGGCATCGACCAGAAATCTTAATATCGTGCATCACTAGTAATCAGGCTATGTCTAAAGGTAACAAAGATCACTAATGCAGTTCTAGAAGTCAAATGTCAAGTTTGAGGGACTATTTTTCAGTCATTAACTGAACAGAGTGTTTCCCAAAATATCTTCAATATTAAATGACACAGATACCGTTTTGGTATTACCATTTTTATAAAAGAGTAAAAAATACTGTACAGCAGAACACAGTAGATTAAAACATGTTCAACACATTCAGCTTAACCGTCTTCACTTGTTCATACACGCTGGAGGGGCGTCAGCTGAGCGCCAACTTGCCCCACTCGATCAGCATGTTCCTTATTTCCTCCTGAGCCTCCTCCAGGTGACGAGCCTGCTGGGTCCACCTCAGGAAGAAGCCTGAGGGTTCAGAGCAAGGGAGTCAGAATCCTTTTTAATGTCATTATGCATACGCTTCCACACACATGACGAAATTGTAGTTGGAAGTCTCGGCTTTCAGCAAAAAGAAGAAAAACGGCATGAATAGACTTTCGAAAGTATAAACACAAATAAGAAAGTAATGAACACAAATAAAGTATAAAATATATAAATATAAACATTGTAAACATTCTTAAAAAATGAGTGAACACGTACAGCAACAACACTGTGATTAAACAGGAGGCCACAATACTCAAAAGGCATCACTGTTCATACGGACCACAAGTGTTCAAGTTTGTGCCAATCGAAGCTCACCTCTCCAGAGCTGCAGGGACTGAGGGTGAACCGAGGGCCAGATTGCCAGCTCAGTGGGCTCATACAGCGGGTTAGAGTAGAAATCTCTCTCCCCGGGCCTCAGCAAGGCTTGGAACAAACAGTGAGTCTTATCTTTTATTCCCATAGCACACCTGAATGGGAAAGAGTGCGGAGGAAGGGAAGAAGTTTATACGACTTACACCACAATTCAATTCAATGATGGGTAACACTGTAAAGTTAACCCGACCTTTCCTGATCGCTGTTACACAGGAAGGTGCCGTAGTCAGAGGCGTAGACTTCGGTCGCCAGCCTGATGAGCAGAGCCTCGGAGAAGCCCAGAGCCAGAGGGAACTGACGCCACAGCTGCCACACACAGTCCAGCAGCAGCAGGAACACCGGAGACTCCTGCTGGAGACGAGCGTGGGAGTAGGCCGAGCGGGCACACCGCTGCTGGAACGGGTGTCCGGCCTGCAGAGGGGAACAATTAATCATGTAAACATTCAAACAGCACACACACAAACACACTTTTTCTGCTTTCTGTGTAATGTCAACTTCAGACGTTGAATTTACTTTGCAGCAACAGTCATACACAGTAGTATGCTCAATTTATACAGCTGGGCTCCGACTCGAAAGCAACTCCAAAGCAACAACACACACTTTCCCATCTGCTTTTATGTCTTTTAGTTAAATACATCTGTGTCGTTGTTTTAAATTGAAAATACCACTTCATGGTGTTTATGTGGATGCAGTCAAACAGAATGATGGAAATCTAACACATCATCTAATCCAGGGGCTCCCAAACTGTTCAGCCTCCAGCTCCTGAAATAACAGCGTCAGAGAGTGTCGACCCCCACTGTCCTCGGAGGATGTGCGCAGTCGTGCACATGCACTAATAGGCCTATTCAAACACAGGCAACACAAAGGAACACAAGAGCCTCACAACCATAATATTATTTAACAGTAATTTAGTATAAGCTAGTACGTCAGTTAAAGTAATCTCCATGTGCAAACTGTAGTACTGAGTTAACACACAGCATGTACATGTACATTCAGAGTGCTCAGAGTCCATTGTTTGAGTTGAATTTCATTTCTCTTATTTGGTTTTAATTAATTAAAAAAAAACTTTTTTAACAATTATGCTACAATTATGCTTAAAATGTGCTATTTTAAAAAAAAAATTTAAATTGGAAATCATCTCACAACCAATCTAATACATAAGGTATACTTGTGTTTTATGTATTTTTCTTGTATTAAAAAAGACCAGTTTTCTGCATAATTAAGCAAGATAGCTCATTAATTGGCTTTTTTTTCAACAGCCTGTCTGTTTTTTTCATGCTACATGTCTGCTATCAATTTGAACTGAACTGTAAAGGAGTTATTTCTGTAATAGAAGTGTTACTTCATTATTATGCAAATCTATGCAGCGACACCTAATCAGAACATCTGCTCCATATGGGGTACCTCTGGGGTAAATATGACATTCTGATTATGCATCCTTGTCCTTGAGTTTTTTTCTTGTATTACCATATTTACAGTGTTGCACGCTTTAACAATAAATTTGTTGTAGGAGGTACGGGTCAGTTTTGAAGCAAAACCATCTGTTTGTACCATTTTTATCCACAGCTGAAGACTGTTGGCAGCTAAAACACATGTGGAATAAAACAAACGGAGAGCTGAGGTGATTGACCAACATACTGAAAGTACAGGACGGTGAAGACGACTGTGAAAATGAGTCCGAAAGGGAAACAATTTCCTTCTGAAACACTGAGAAGTATGTTTTATTAAATCTATGCCCGCTGCATGCAGCAGACTGAATATGACTTTTTTTTCTTTTTTTTTTTTTTGTCAAGGCATTTCCTGGCAGGGTTGGACTGTGGAGCAATATCCTTTTAGAAAGAGATTTGGTCATACAGACACGTGAGCTCAGCGGTTAGCTCTGCAGCAATATCGAAAATGTTAAAGTAAACAAAATACCACAACATGCTCTTATGTTGGCTGTATGTGCTTTAGTTAGGATTTATGAACCGGCTTTTATTTTTTGAAATACTTCATTGTGATTTAAATCAGTAACTTATTTAAATGTATTAAGCAATTAACTTTATTCATGTTTTGTATACCCAGTTAGACTGTTTGCATCATATAAAAACCCAATAAAAAATAGTAGGTTTCACGAAATGTAGATGAAAAATAGAGATTTGCAGTCTTTCCTCATGTACTGTGACACCCCTTTGTTATATTACATACAGTTGAAACCAGAAGTTTACATACACTGTATAAAAAGACATTTTTTTCTCACTATCTGACATTAATTCAGACAAAACTTTTCCTGTTTTAGGTCAATTAGGATGACCAAAATAATTTCTATTTGCTAAACGCCACAATAATGAGAGAGAGAATATTTTAGATAATTTTTTACTCCTTTCTTCAAAGTCATAGGTTTACATACATTTCCTTAGTATTTGGTAGCATTGTCTTTAAACTGTATGACTTTGTTGTCCTGAAGCCTCTTTGTAACTAATTTGGTGGTATATTTAGGGTCATTGTCCACCTGGAAGACCCCCTTACACCCAAGCTAGAACTTCCTGGCTGATGTCTTGAGATGTTGCTTCAATATTTCACCCATAATGTTCTTTCCTCATGATACCATCTATTTAGTGAAGTGCACCAGTCCCTCCTACAGCAAAACACCCCCATAACATGATGCTGCCACCCCCGTGCTTCACAGTTGGGATGGTGTTCTCAGGTTTGCAAGTTTCCCCCTTTTTCCTGCAAATGTGTCGATGGTCATTATGGCCAAACAGTTCAGTTTTAGTTTCATCAGATCACTGGACATGTCTCCAAAAATGAAGGCCTTTGTCCCTGTGTGCATTTGCAAACTGTTATCTGGCTCTTTTATGTTGCTTTTGAAGTAACGTCCTCTTCCTCTCTGAGTAGCCTTTCAGCCCATGTTGGTACAGGACTGGTTTCACTGTGGATAATGACTCTCTCTGACCAGCTTCAGCAGCATCTTCACAAGGGCTTTTGCTTTTGTTCTGGGGTTGATTCGCACATTTCACACCAAAACACTTCATCTCTGTATGATGAATGTACATTCCCATGGTGTTTATACTTGTGTATAATTGTTTGAACAGATAAACGTGGAACCTTCAGGTATCTGGAAATTGTACCCAAGGATGAACCAGACTTGTGGAGGTCCACAGTTCTCTTCCTGATATCTTGGCTGATTTCTTCAGATTTTCCATGTTGTCACACAAGGAAGCAGTTTGTTTGAGGTGTGCCTTAAAATACATCCACAGGTGTGCCTCCAATTAACTCAGATGTTGTCAGTTAACCTATCAAAAGCTTCCAATGGCATGACATCATCATCTGGGCTTTGCCACATAGTTTGAAGGCATAGTAATCTTAGTGGATGTAAACTTCTGACTTTGAAGAAAAAGTAATAAAAAAATTCTGTCTCTCATTATTTTGGCATTTAGCAAATAGAAATAATGTTGGTAATCCTAACTGACCTAAAACAGGAAAAGTTTAGTCTAATTTAATGTCAGACAGTGAGGAAAAAAAAGGCTATATGTCTTTTTATAAAGTGGATGTAAACTTTTGGTGTCAGTTGTGTTTCTGTTGCTTTTGCTTCAATCATTTCTGTCCAGGGTTTTACAAAAGAGACATTTTATCATCCTCCCTATCAAATTGGCTTGATATAGAGGTTCCGTTTTAGTCTAGTGATCCATTTAACTTATTGGTTATTTCGTTTTTTTCATATATTTTCAACTAAAGCAAGCATTCTTTTACAATTTGTTTTGGTCTTTGCTTTTTATTTACATTGATTTGTTTATACCTGTAGCCACTCGCGCTCCAGCAGGGCCAGGAAGCCATCCAGTGTACGACAGCAAGGGTCCATGATGAGCTGAGCCAGAGTGCTGATGAGCAAAGAGGAGTCTGTCCCTTCAGAGCCGTGAACCAGAACAGAATGCCCGTCCCTGCAAAAAAACAATACGTACACTACAGTCCTGTTCCTTTTCATGTACAATAAAAGGCCCACATGCATTTATTTTTAAGCAAAACAACCACAGAAACGTCCCTGTTCATGCTGCTGACAGGATTGAAATGTTTGAGTTTTGTTGGTGCTGGAGCTATTTGTTATGCAGCCCTCACGTCTTTGTCCAGCCTTTACCTGTTGTAGTTTTGGAATTTCCTGGTTTGACAGATGCGATACAACTCACACAGGTTACATGAACACTGTGTTGTGTATGCGTTACATTAATAACATAACATTTTTATATTATTTACACATTCTTATTTGTGGACTTTAGTTCCCTCCTATCTAGTTTTCAAAGTGAGTACATATTCAAACAGAAAAACACACAGTTACAGTTATACAAACATGAGATAAGTGCATATTAGTCAAATAAAATGTGTTTTTCAGGGTCGATACCGATACAGTTATCATTAATCAAGCTGACAGATATTTAGAATTGATTCACATTTGCAGAAAAATTAAAATCCTGGTGTCAAAATTTTTAAAAACACCAACTTTATGTTTTACACATATTTAACTAAAAGAGAACTTTTTAACTCTCATCCGTCAATGCGGAAGGTCATTCTGGAGACATTTAAGGCAGGACATTGACACAGAGGGGAACATGGAAGCCAAAGAATTGGTTTTAAAAGCACCAATACCAATAAGAAATCAAAGAAAAAAAGTATTTCTTTGTCGTTCCTACCTCTCAACACACTCCGCCAGCAGGCCGGCGGTCGACAGAGCAGTCTGGACGTGAGACAGCCACTTTGAATTCTCCAGCTTACTGAGCCAGCGGTCCATGTTGTTGGACTCGTCGCCGCAGGCCTCCACCAGTTTGATCAGACTCTCCTGGAGGGCTTTACCTCTGCACACAAACATGATCAACGTGATCATCAAATGAAGCATCCACTTCCATTAAATGGTAAACGGGCTGCACTTATATAGCGCTGTCATCCAAAGCGCTTTATAATGTGTTTCTCATTCACCCATTCATACACCAGCTGACATGCAAGGTGTTGCCTGTCATTGGGAGCAACTTCGGGTTCAGTGTTTTGCCCTAAGACACTTCGACTGTGGAGGGGATCGAACCACCAACGCTCTACCACCTGAGCCGCAGCCACCCCATTATACACTGTTGGCCATAAAGTTGGAATAATTTCTGTTATCAGACTCATTTTTCTTTTTATTTCTGTTTATACATATCAGTAATGACTTTTGACCAGGTGCAATGATTACATACTGAGTCCCTGACCAAAGAGTGGGACGTCCTGCCCATTGATACCATTAACCAGGTTGTGGACAGTATGCCACGATGTCTTAATGCATTGATCCATGTCAGGGGTGGCCATGCTTAATATTAGTGACTCAGTGACATTTGAAAGAGTAATATTAGACATCCCCTTGAATATGTGTTTCCTGTTAAATTGACCAAGATTGGAAAATTGAAGCAAAACCCTTAAACCTATTGATCAACACCCCCAATTTAGTTTAAGTCTGAATACACAGTTTGCAAAAATTAATTGTGGTTTAATGTCTACTGTGATATATATTGTATGTATATTGCAGCATCAATAAAGTTTTCAGAAGATTTATACTTCATCTATCAAGAACAAATCACATTGTCACAATCATTTCATGAGAAGAGGTAAAAAATTATTTTAATGGTGTATATTTCCCTGCATACACACCTGTCCATCTGCCTGTGCAGTCTCTTCCAGTGGCTGTAGCAGGACTTGGACTCGAACCCTCCACCCGTCATTCGGGCCTGTTGAGCCTGCTGACTGGAGCGGGTGTCGATGATGTAACCTTTGTCTGAGCCGTCGATCACAGCCTGGAGGAGGAGCTCGTCTTCCTTGCAGCGCTTCCTATTGGCTCCCATCAGCGGCTGACTGCTGCGCATGATTACCTGAAAAGCGTTGGCCCGGTTAGCAAACATCAGTTACATCAGTGGGCTAACGGTGACCATAAAAACACCTCACCATGCCATTCTTCTTGTGGTAGTAGCAGAGGACAGGGAAGCGTCCTCCCTGCCTGAATTTGGCGACCTTCTTCAGCGTGCTGTCATCGATGCTGTTAGGAACAATGACTGCTGAAGGGTAGGAGGGACACACCGAGTAGTCTCTGTTCACGCTGCTCAGCCTCCACCTCTCACACTGCAAACAGACGAGAGAGAAGGCGATGAAGGACAAGGGCTCACAAGGGGGGACTGGTTGGAAAATTTTGACTTTAGTACCATGTCAAATGTAACAGGAAACTCCCTAACGTTGAGGGTGGTGCTTCAATTTAACTCGTTACTTCATGTAGAAGTCCACATAAGTGCTATTTTCAGGGTAAAATGATTAATCTACAGCATGCACTTCTGCACTAGGCCAGGGGTTCTCAAACGTCCATTCTGCGACCCCCCGGGGGGTCCCGAGGCCCCAAGGAGGGGGTCGCAGAATGGACTTGTTGTGCTCCATGCGTAGTGCCCATCCATCTCATTAGTTGAGCTCAACACTGAAACATAGTTATTTCCAAAACGTAAATTTGCACAGCAACGATGTTCACATGTTCACTCAGTGTCACATGTCGTGGCTGTTACTTTGACTGAGATATTCTTCTGCTTACATAGAAATGAAAGTGTATAAGTCAGTATTTTGCACACGACAGCACGTTTTGTTATGTTTCAGTCACCTTCGGGGATAGTGGGGGTCATCAGTCTCAAGAACCGTTACACCCCATGGGGGTCGCGGGCTGAAAAGTTTGGGAACCCCTGCTCTAGGCTAATCCTTAAAGACTCTTTAGACTAAAGCAGTCAACACTTTTGGTAAATAACCTTTTCTGATTTCTCTGTGAAAGACAGAAACTGAGAAATCAGAACTAATACTACTGTATGATAAATAGAGTAAAGAGCAAGTTAGCTTAGCACATAGACTATAAACAGAAAGAACAGACAGCCTCACTACCAGAGCCTCTAAAGTTCAGTCTCCTTACGTGTCTTTTTGTTTACTGAAGTGTCGAAACGTCTTTCAGTCGCTGTGAATTTGACAACAAGCAGAGACACTTCCAAACAACCCACAGATGACTGTTTTTAGACTTTAGCATTTGAACAGATAAAACACAGACGATATCATATACAAAAGCAGAATGTTTGTGGCAAATTAGCAGCAGAGACATTCGATCGCCAATAAATCTGCCAATGTTGCCCACAAGTGGTAAACTTCCAACACATATACTGACAAGTTCACCATTAGTGCCAAACATGTTGCTGGTGGTTTGCCACCACAGTCTGCCAGTATTTCTGCTTTTAGCCAAATTCTACGGAATTGAAACTTTGATTGCCAGAGTTATGCAGACAAATATATCCGTCTCCCTCGCTAGATGACTACATCCACATTGACTCATTGTGTCAAGAGCAAGAGCAAATAAATCTTTGGATGAGCACGGGCTTGAATTAAATACAAACAAAACTTAGATCAATGTGTTTGGTGAAAAAGAGAAAACAACACCTTAAAGCTTCAGCATTGAAAAGCAAAGACCAAGTCGGAAATCTTGGTGTTCTAAAAGATTTCACCTTCACCAGCCAAATCAAAGAGATGACCAGAACAGCTTCTTAAACATATAGTCGGAGTTGAGGGTTGAGGGTACTGGAATTTTCTCTGAATGGGGCTTCCAAAAAAGACCAGCTGCAACTGGTTCCTAATTCTGCTGCTACAGTGTTGCCCAGAACCAAGAGAACAGAGCACGTTACTCCAGTGGCTCCCAGTGACTTACAGGATAGAGTTTGGCTACTACTGGTATAAAAATCATTTAATGGTTTAGGCTCAGAATACACCTCTGAGATGTTTAATGAATACAAACCAAGCAGGGCTCTTGGATCTATGGACTCAGGTCATCCAGTAGAACTCAGAGTCCAGGCTAAACATGCTGAAGCAGCATTTAGCTCCACGCAGATGGAACAAACTGCCAAAAGCTCGTAGATGTGACCCATGTATAGCTGTTTTTATATCAAGGCCAGAAATGTTTCTCATTTATTGTGTTCATGATTGAGCTATACCTCAGTCCACATGTACTATAATGTTTATTATTGTGTATCTTTTATTAATATTTTTACTTTATTTTATTTTTTATTGTTATTTTTTACTATTACGTTCTTTTGCCATTAATTATGTAAAGTACATTGAATTATCTTTGTGAACAAAATGTGCTGAATCAAATCCAGATTTTTGATGCTGACATTATACACAGTTTGGGCCATTTAAAACATTTTTTAGAAAAGTTAATCAGTATTTTTTTCTGTAACTTTGTTAGTTTAACAACACAGAGAAAACATGTAAAATTGCAGCTGAAAATTCTGTGCCATTTTTCAGTCCTTAATGTACCATTTTTTCTTTCAAATAACAAAAAATATTTGTAAAGCAGTGCTTTTTTACTGATTTAAATACAGTAAAAATATCATAATTTTATATTCAAACATACAAAAGAGCAAATAACTGTTCATGTGTTTGACCTTTTTTTAAATTTGTAAATTAATACCCTTTTCTATGATTTTACCTGTAATTAGCTGTAATTTAACAAAGCAGGATACATCTTTGAAATAACAGTGAACTGTTTAAAACAATACAGGCTAAAATGTACTTTTTCTTTTAGTGTGGATGGATTTCTCACCCTTGGGCAGAGCCAGACTGCTGTTTCCTATGTTTATGATATCTAAGCTAAATGAACTGGCTGTACCTGTCCAGATCAGCCTGATGAACAGTACAGATATCCCACATTCTCTGGGCATTCTGTGCCCATAAAACACATCCAACAATGCTGCCTTCAGGGCCCACCCCTCACCATGGCAACATGTTATTCCCAGAGGAAGACGCTCATGTGTTAAGCACCGATTCAAGCTGTGTGCAGCACATTCTGACGCTCAGAGAAAACAAATGAAAGCTAAGCAACGGGGATATCCTGAATCTCGACCCCTGCATTCAGCTTCCCTGGCATTTTCCTGTCATGTGGCTTTTAGATCATTGTTGGAAAAGGTTGCCTGAGAGACTTTTTCATCTATAGGTTCTATACAAAGTTAGGTTCCTGTAAAGCGGAAAGACAGTTTTATATGACGCTTACAAGCTCCTTCATTTGGCTGTAGTGCTTTTCAGGGGTTGAGAGACCCCACTGGTCCTGCAGGCTGAGGTCAGCAGGCCTGTAAAAGAAAGGGTACATCTCCGACACACAGTCCAGGCAGGACAGGGTCTGCGGAGAGTGGAAGAGAGACTGGAGTGAGACATCAAAACAGATTACGAGACGCAAAGCAGAGATGAAAACGGATACAGTCGTTCAAGAAATAACAGGAAATGCAATGAAATTATACTTTAAGACAGAAAAGCAAATACTGATTTCCTTATTTGTCTGTGCACCTCGCTCCAGGGCTCAGCTGTGTTGTGTTACTGTTCAATATACCTCAATAGAGTGCGCGATGTTGAGACACTGCTCCATGCCCGGGATGTCAAGCTGGAGCACACGCAGATCTTTACACTTGATGGTAATCGTGCCTGACGATCCAGACATCCTAAACACACACAACAGTAGGATTCATACACGGAACGGAAACAAAACCCCCCTCGAAGGCCCACGTTTAGACTCTTTAGCAGTGCAGGAGGCTTGACTTGCAGCAGAAAAGGACAGTCAGCTGGGCCCTAAGGTGTGTGCATGTGTGTGTGAGGAGGGAGATTTCTCTTCCTGATAAATGGGTGTTTGACACCTGCTCTCAGAAATAGCATCCATTGGTTCCAGCAGCGCTTTCACAAAGCTGAGAGAAACCTGTTGTTAGCAGCAAGGTGACACACGACATGAGCGATGAGACAGAAGAGGAGCTGCTGTAATCTTGTTAGCAAATTTCCTTCTGCGCCAGCATGAGAGCAGCAGCAGCAGACACAAGGCAACACCGAGGATGTCCAACCTTTCACTGAGACCTGCGTTAGAGAAGAAGCCCGAATAGCCCAAAAGGTTTTCCACACTGGTTAAAAAAGACGTGAGGGAATCATTAGACAATGGATTATACAGTTATTATTAGTGTGATTATATGATTGATCATGCAAAAGTTGCAATCTTCAAACTAAATCAGTCCTAAATGATCCATAAATACCCCATTAAACATTGTAATTAGGTTTTTTAAGCAACTAAAACATCATTGAGGCTGTTAATTGAGTTGAATTGAGTGTCATGTTTTGGCAGTTTGGCACCAAATGGAACCAAGTGACTGGAGTTTATGTTCTAGTTTGTGATCTTCAGCTCAACTACTTGATATAGTGCCCAATCACTCTTCTGTCCTCTCCTTTCACTCACCTTTTCTCAATTGCATCGATGTTCCTGAGGAGCAGCAGGACCTGCCGGGAGCTGCCCTCCTCCCTGTCCGAGAAGAGCAGGTGGTGGCCGGTGATGCACAGGGTTCCTCTGCTCGGCGGGTGGAGCGGCTGTCTGAGCACAACATCCTCCACGTTAGCCGTCTTGATGTGCTCAGAAAACTCCATCAGCTCCCCTTCAGACGCCAAAACACCTTCAGTAGACAACTTTTTTTCCTCCTTTCTTTTATTTTCTCTGATCAAGCACAAGTTGCCTTCACTCCAAATCACTTCCACGCCTCTCTGGTTAGAAAATGAAAGCAAGCTTCCTTCTTTGTACGCACAGCTTTCTGGGCTGCGCTGCTGCAGTTGCGCACTGTTTGTTTGACGATAATGAATCTAAAAATAGAAAAAGGCTTCATTTTTTCTCTCTCCTGAACATCACCGTCCCCTCCTGTGGCCTTACACCTTGTTTTACGCACGCAGCTTGGTGAGCAGGAGACGGCTCTGGAAATGGAAAATGTGTTGCTTGAGGCGACAAAAGACGGAACTGCACGTTTCCTGAGAAACAGAAATAGCGAGATGTGTCACATATGTTGCTGGTGAAACTTGCGCGCACTGTAGGGGGGTGAGAGAAGGAACAGCGATGTGCCTGTGATATAGAAACTGACCACCAGATGGCAGCATGCGTAAAGCTAGAAAAGCTAAATCACGACCTGTCTGACAAAGTGCATGTTGCAGTGGTGCAAGTATGGGGTTCAGAGTTGGATTAACGTTTGTTCAGTTTTTGCACGTTTCTTTTAAGCTATATTTTTTAATTTAATGTGTCCACCTGCAAAATAATAGTAAAAGAAGGAATGCACAAAATTGGATTTTTGGGGATTTCCATTTTGCCAAAGTTTTCCAATTTATTTTAACCAGTTGCCACAGAAACTGAGCTGTTCTTTTGTTTGTTTGTTTTGCAGAGAGTCTTTCCTGTGGTACAAGTAACCAGAGATGACATAAGGGGGAGATTTGCCACTTCAAGAATCGTGAATATAAATCTATGCAAGAATTCCATTTCACCAAAGATGGTGGTTGTATGACTTCTCCTAAAATCACTTTTCCACCTTATTTAGTGGCAAAGTCAGCAAAATTAAAAAAAAAACGTTTTAATCAGATTTGGCTTGTGATCATATACATGCAGTTCTTATGTCCCTGTGACCCCTTAAGTTGCAGTCACGGCTCTCTCACCACTCATTTAGATATGAGCCTGGCTTTATGAGGCCCAAAAATAACTGCCTGGAGGTGTTATCAACGTAGCTGTCAAGTGGCGAGACCTACCTATAAGGACTTTGATATCATGATGTCAACTCTTCCCCTGACGGCCCACTGGCAGATGCACACAGAGAATACAGTGGTTTGTAAATGTATACATTCACTGGGGAACATTTAAAAAAACAAATCCTTTGACTTACCTGTATAACAGCCATGTTTATTTTAATGAAACATTTTCTAACAAAGCTGTAATCTTTTAGCCTTATAGGTTGTCAGTCTGTGTATCAGTGTTCTCTTTTGGGTCGATGCAGTGTTTCATTTTTGAGCCTTTATCAGATGATAGCGATGATGACCCCACTGACCCCTCCTGCCTCCTCTATGGAGTGTATATGTTACATTAACGTGTTACTTCTCTCTTTGCTCATCATCTCATCATCTGCAGTGTTATTGGTCATGTTACACTTCCACACCTTCAATTTGCACTCTGTTGATAATCTGTATTCATGTAAATATCAATATACCCTCAATATTCTTGTAAATAATACCAAAGTTTTGTGGTTCTGATTTAAATTTAACTTTAATTCTTCACTTCACAACATTTTTTTGCTTTCTGCTTTGCACTATTATAGTTATTTTTTATTTTTAGTTTCTTTTATTTTACTCTTTTTTTATTGTTGTATTGTTGCGCCAACCCACCAGAACAAATTCTTTGTGATTGTGTGAACTATACCTGTCAATAAATCTGTTTCTGATTTCTGATTCTGATGATGCTGATATGATTGTGCATCCCTTGTAAAAACAATCCAAAAAAAGTAAAATGTAATTACATGCAAGCACATTCAGGCACATACTGTACAGTGTTATTCTGAGGTTCTTGTGTCTCACTTGGCTATGTCTTTGCTTCTTCATAGGCAGATCTAATCTTTAATCCTCCACCTGTAGCTGTTTGACAGTTGTAGTTATTTTACTGAGTGAAGATACCAAACACATGGCAGGTTTTTAAAAGTCAAGTCACTGTTTCAGATGAAACTACTCAGAAAGGTGAAGTAGTTCAAAACAGAAACCAAAAATACTTCTTTCACATTCTTAAATTGTACCCCAGCTATTAATATATGGTATATATAGTAACAATATAACACAGACAGTGACCATTTAGTTGCTTTATGAATGTATATAATAAGCTGTGTAAGGTTTCTACACTCTTTTAATGCTACTTAAATAAATGGTTTGAGTACTTCCTCACAAATAGTGGGGAAAAGTAACTAAGTACATTTACTAAACCACTGTACTTTATTATAATTTTGAGTTACATATATTATACTTAAGTATTTCCATTTTCTTCTACTTCATACTTTAATTCCATCACATTTCAAAGGCAAATAATATAGTTTTTACTCCACTACATTTATCTGATAACTTACAATTACTTTGCAGATCTTGTTTGATATTTTAAAACAACCTAATTAACAAATAAATTAGGATGTAAAATGACAGATTAGGGTCAAACTTTAATGATTACCAAGCTAGCCAAAAGATAAACTACGTAAAGTAGTTCAATCACTTTTACAAGCTGCACAATTAAAGAGATGAACACATGAATGCATGAATAATTATAATTTTAATAATAAGGATCCTGACATATGAAATTCTGGATAATGATTAGTTTCACTTTTGGTGCTTTTATACTACATTGAACTGAATTACTTTCACTTTTACACTGTGTTACTTGTATTTTTATGTAAACACAGAACTTCTTTCCACTCCTCACACCTTTACTGTCAACATAATACGCACGACAAGTATTTTAAAGTTGGAGTGGACAGATACAAACGCAATTAGACTCGAAAATCTCCGAATAACTTTAATTCCATGAAATCATAACCGATCTTCCATCATTATGTGAAATCCAGACGGTGCTCTAAGCTCTTAATGTTTGCCTTTCTCACACACAAACGCGCATTAATCAGCCAGCCTGTCTGTCCTCTGCGGGATGGGCGGTCACTGTTCCATTCCTCCCTATAAAGGAGGAATGGACCTGTTGCGCTCCAATCGCCAAGCTGCCACAGCAGAGACAGAAAGCCCGACGTGAATCCCAGAGGTTTATCCATTACCGCGTAATCGATGGATTGTAAAGAGTTTGGAGACGAGTCCTCCGAGGGAGACACGGAGGATCTGGACAGCCTGAAAGCGCTGACGGAGAAGCTGAAGCTACAGACCCGCAGACCATCCTATCTGGAGTGGCAGGAGCGGGTACAGAGTGGACCGTGGAAGGGAAGGAATTCCGCAGAGAGCTCGGCCTCTGAAGGACAAGTCGTTTCCATGCCTGCGCTTCTGAGAAACGAGAAGTCGGAGCTGGTTGTGCGCAACATCTGTGGTTTTGAGACTATTGATGATGCTTTGGAGTTTCTGAGGAAAGAGCTGGTGAGTTCCTCCTGAGCGTTTCGTTTCATTATCACTTAAAGATACATTACACTGAAAGAGGATAATATTAATTAGAATTTAAAGAGCTGCCATCTCTGACAACTTAAGAGGCAAACTAAAAAAAACCAACAGATCCATTCCTGAGAATCTTTCTTTCTTCACCTCTGAGGTAGATATCCATCTCTTCAGGTGTCAGCGATGTGCTCTGCATGAGTGCTTCGCTTAATTCAAAAGACAGGCTGATGTCATGCAGTCCTCACAGGCAAAACAAACAGTTTGTGAAACAATAAGATGCCTGTTTTCTCACAGTCTCGGCCTGCAACCCTTATATTCCACATGCCAGTAATTTACACCCTCTGACGAGAAGATAGAAACGATAATCCGAATCCAAACTTTCACATAAGCTTTTTCCTTATGTTTCCTTCCCCTCAGAGGGAGATGCAAGTTCAGGACAACCGTCTGGCCCGCCAGCTGATCCGTCTGCGTGGGGAGATCCACCGGCTCAAGGTGGAGCAGGTGTGCGACCGCCACAAGGAGATGCTGGACGACGCCACGTACGAGCTGGAGGAGTGCGGAGAGGAGTCGGACCTGCTGTGTGACATCCCCATGAAGGCCGCCTTCGCCCTGTCCACCCCTCTCAAACACCTGGGCCTCACCAAGATGAACATCAACTCCAGACGTTTCTCACTGTGTTAAAACCACAAGCCTTACTCACACTACCGAGGATGTGCCTCCTCTGTGTTTGTGTAGCCATATAATTAGGGTTGTTTCCTCTTTGGGAGGTGTTGTGGGGTCAGAGTGAGGAGGTGGCTGCCAGATACCGGTGCCAAGAGTTAAAAATTTAATGTGTGCCTTGGCTTGATATGCGTGAGGAAGCCTCTGCGTGCAGGCCTGCAGGGGCACACACCTTTACCACGAACACAGCTTCCTGCTGGACGGAGTCTGGGCTGCGCTGCTGTTGACTCATCTTCACACAGTGCAGAATGAATCAGAGAGGATGAATGAAGACGAGACTGAAATGTCAAGTGGAATCAGCATTATGTTTAAATACCTTACAGCAATAAGGTCATTCGGTGTTGCAAAAACAAAGTTTTACAAAGAAGTGCAGAGGGAGAGTAGATCTGTTTTGGTAAAGAAGTGTCATAAAAATAAGATAATGATCACTTCAGGATGTAAAACAGTGTCTTGACATTTCTGAGACGGGCCACATTATTTTACATCAGTGGTTCCCGAATTCATTCAATTCACTTTGAATTCAAACAGCTCTAAATCCCACCAGACGTCATCGGAGGGCACGTCCCATGGTTGGGTCAAGACCTTGTATTAGTGGGAAGCAAAAACATTCACTTTCAGCTACAAAAACCTTCCAGCAGAACCAGGCTCAGGGTGGATGGCCATCTGCCTCGACTGGTTGGGACGAGAGAGAAAAAGATAACAAAGAGAAGCAGATAAACAATACAGAGAGAACAATGGGGCAATGGGGATCAGAAACATGCTAACGATACCTCCACAGAGGTTAGTGATAGTTAGTGATATGCAATTATGCCATATACTGTGTCCAGAGAGTGAAGGAGATATAAATTGTTAGGGTCACCTGAGCAGCTATCATTATAACTTAGGGGTCATGATCCTAAACTGGGAGGTCTTGGGGTGATTACCAGATTAGGAACTCCAAAAACCCCAGATGTTTTCCTTCAAGTTATATCATTTCACTTCAAAACTCTGGTTACATGCAGCGATCAAGAGCCAACAGTAAGACGTTGCTTCATTTTAAGAGGTCAAAAGTGTAAAAGTTGGGAGCCACTATGATGCTATGATGAAATCAAAAAGTTGCTTCTGCTCTCAAACGCTCAGCAGCACTTTAGCATAAACAGAGCCCTTTAACAGAGAAACATGCTCCAAACCTTCATCAGGCCATTGTCTCTCCCAGTATCCTCACAGGAAGCAGGAGGTCACTCTCCAGCATTTTTACACCTCTTCTTCACAAACCCAAAAATATCCCCCTCGCCTCGCTACTGCAGTGACAAGACCCAGGAGGCTGTGTGCCTCATGCATTTTGCATTTTCCATTACCGTGTCCAGATGCTGCAGAGAACAGATTTCAAGCTATATATGGCTGGACAGTGACCAAGTGTATGTTGTTGCTCAGTGGAAAATGTAGTACAAGATAAATGATTTGCTTAGTAAAAACAAGTAGGAAGAATGAATGAGTGTTTCTTTCTTTTTGTTTTTTTCTACATTTGTAAATGTATAAAACACCTAATGAAATTTTTTACGACCGTATGCAGATTGTTAAATCATGCTACTGTAACATGAATGTATCTACTCGACGAATGAATATAAAGAAAAACGCCTTAAAATGTAAACTGCCTTTTTCTCTTTCTTTACATAAAGTTTAGTTGATAAAGTTTTAATTGTTCATTATTACAGGAGCTGACTTTGAGTTGCTTCTGTGCATCTTTCTGTTCAATCTAGGCTAGATGTCACAACACACTCCATCCCCATCATCCATCTTCAGCTCACGCACAATGGAGTCTTCTTTCCGTCCTCGAGACATTCATGACCCGGTGTAATATCCAAACATATGAATGGGGCCCTAGAGGCATATTGTTGGACGTAATTAGTCAAACAAGACACCAAATATGTGTTGGCAGAGAACGCTCTCTGTGTGAAATGAGAGCACAACTAGGACTGTTGAATGTGGCTAACTTCGTATGAGCTCATGCGTGACGTGAGACCACATGGTAATGAGTATCATATGGAAAATGCACAGAGGCCTAAGCGTTGCACCTTGAGGCCTTATTCTACAGTGAACGCTTTTACAATAACGTAGCAGCGGACTTGTGTTTCTCATGCCACTCAGCTTCGCCCTGCGGATAGTTTCCCTTGACCTCCATCATACCGCGTGTCACCCAATGAGCTGAAGCTGACGTTACAGCGTAAATAAAGTACGCATCTGTGCGTTCATTGTGTACCTAAACATTCTTAGCACATGAGTAAGCATCCGCAGCCTCGCTCGCGATTCTCGAACGAGGCCAGCACCTGCACCGTGAAGCGGGGCTGGAAAACTTACTGCGTATTGATAGCATCTCAGTTTGATTGCGTAACAGAATGTGATTTCCAACCACATTTGGAAGTCGTGACAACTGTGGTCGAGAGGGAAAATAGGAATACCCTCAAAGCCTCGCAGGGCCTGCCAGAAGCTGATCTCCAAAGATGGCGGGGCCCTTTCTGGTATGCTCCTATTGAGTCACAGCGTTGTTCATCATATTAATGAACATCTCTTCAGCAATGACAATGTTCCCCTCAGCAACTCACAACAAGTGCACGGATCTTCTTATTTGCTCAAAATCAGGTTTTCTAACATATATTGCTACGAAAATGTCACAGAGCTAAAAACGACTTCACACATCCCCCTAGATTTACCATCTCTACTTTAACGGAAAAAAGAGTGAACTCAGGTGGTTTTCGTCGCGAGTGAGGCTTAATCTAAGCTTTCGCAGTCTTCTGAGCACATATTTCTGTGCACATCCTGTGATGTTTGGACTCGTTTCCTGCCAGTGCACGCTCTGTAGCAGCAGCCGTTCACCACAAGAGAAGCGATGCGGTCCGCAGCTACAGTTGTCTGACATGTCGACAAACGCGGCAGCACAGGCGCATCGTGTGTTAACAATCTGAGAAACTCGAAATTTCATGCCTCCCATAATGTCTGAATGTGACCGTGGTGCGGCTCTCTATCAGCTAAAATAACGATTGGAATTTTTCTGCCCTCGTGTGATATTTGTGACTTTTTTTGTTTTGTTTTCTTTACACTTTTAGCAACAGAAACCATGGCCCAAGACTATTTTTAATGCTGGCCACAAAGTAAAACCACATGTTGGACAAAAGAAAGCTTATTGTCTTAATGCGTGAAACCTCCAAACAACAAACACAACCACTTTACACACAATATAACGGAATACATCTAATTATAATACTGCTGGCATACATTTGATGTGATTTACATCTCCTTGAATAAACTCAGCCACCACCTCAGCTGCACATCGGAGGTGTTCTTCACCTTAAAGGTCGCTCACATGCACGTAGCACAGCGAGCAACCAAAAAGCATACAAATATAACCTCCCATCAAAGTCTCCTTTCTTTTTTTAAGCTGTATTGGTTGAGGTGCTGTCCTGACCCCTTTACCGTAGAGACAATAACGTTTCCCCCCCTCTCTGCTCACACAACACAGCTGCACAGTAAGCACCTGTTCAAAAGTCTGCAGAGCAACCCTCAACCTTTCAACGACAGGAAACTCTCTGGGTCGCTCTCCTCCATTTCTTCACCAGAGTGTGTGCATGTGCGTGAACAGACACCACATCACCGCTCATACAGCTCAGAGTTATAAGAAGAAGCGGATGATGACATCTTCACACCTAAACTCCGCTGGTGAAACAGTCACTTCGTGCTAAATGTAAGCACCCTTAAAATATATATATAAATATATAACAATTTCATAAAGAAATAATATCTATGGCGGCTCCTGAAATCTGACAGTATTGGACGCTTGAAGAGAAGTTTCAACAGTTCAAGAGGTGAGTTTTAAAATTTGTGATTCTTTCAGCCTTCGAAGTTTGTAACGTAGAAAGCTGTGATAAAATATGAAGGCAAACATTTTCATTTCTTTGTAATTATAAGGTGGTAGAGCAAATATGCTCCACAAATCAGATTTGATCTTTTGATTTTTGTATGAAATATAGAGAATTTTTTAAATTTACATAGAGACAAAGAACGACAACACGGAGAAATAACGTCCAGGCTGCTAAAGATCATTATTTGTTTCCATTTGGTTTAACATAAAGGCTGGTTATAGCATATTTAGATAATAGCTGTGTGATCATTGTTGTTGAGATAAATCAGTATTACCAAAAAAAGATGCATCCACACGAGAGCAACAGTGTACTCCCTAGTGTAATTAAAATAAGAATTGTGGCTTATTAACTCACTTTATGTGTTTTTAATCAAATCTGTTGGAGGCTTGGTGACATTTATGTGCCTGTAAATGTACACCTGTGACACTGACATGTCTACATTCTGAAAATAACGACAACTGGGTGTCAAGCACAATTCAGAAATGATTATGCAGCGTCAGTTTCAGCATCACAATCAGAAAAGCTTTATCGATCCCCTGTTGCTCCCATTTAACAGCTTAAAAATGTAAGCAGTACAAAAACATATAAGATAAACATGATGAGAAAAATATGTCCTAAAAATATAAACATGGTTTTAAAAAAAAGCATGAACATAAATATAAAATGTGCATTATTTTAAGAAAATAAAAATGTAAGTATACAGTGTAATAAATAATAATGGAGTTGTATTCGTGTTGTTGCAGAGAAGTAGTGATTGCACATTACTGAGTGTTAACTGCTTGCAGGTGAAACATAATGAGTCTAGAGTCGGCCTATTTCTAGTGTAATACTAGTGCTACAACAATTTACGTAAAAATGTATAATAATATATATATTTGTTGACAAGGAGAGGATTATACGCTAGAAGCTTGAGCTCACTGTCTGAGTAGATTTCCCATCTACATACCCATAGGACTCTGAAAACAATAACAACCATCAGTATTTGTTTGGAAAGGCCTTCAGCTGCAGATCATAAAAAGAAGAGGGCAGCCCCTCAATGGAAAACGCTGACTTGTATAACTCTGTGAGTGCAGGCCAGTAAGCGTAGGCGTGCTGATAATTTAACTTCTTCTTAGCCCCGTGATCCCCCTGTGATTCCTTCAGTGGGGTCTCGGCGCAGCGCTTGGTTGTTATTGCCGGGTCAGGCCTCTTTGGATTTTTCTCACGGCTTTGAGCCTTTGGGACAGACTCGCTGCTGCGATTAGCCCACTGACCCTGTTCCACGACTGGTCCGATGGGAGCAAAATGAGCTTGAGAAAGCTGGTTCATACAGGGCACCAGTGTAAAACACAATACAGAGCACGTGCAGACGTCGGATTGTACAAGATTAACGCTGGTGCAGCTCTGCATGGCCCAGTGTTCAGGTCTGAATTAGATCTAGAGCCCATGAAGGCCTCTGATGTGTGGCGCACTGTAGCTGTCACTTCTGAATGGGATTTTATCATATTGCTGTGTGTACATGTGTTTTCAAAGGTGTTCCTAAATTTAAATCTTGTACACGTCTTGGCCCTGTTTCATCACTGATCCTCCATTTTGAGACAAAGCTCTCAGCCACATCCGACGAAAGCAGTTTTCGGAAATGAAAACATTTTAAAGTCTTCTCGTAGCTTCGCTCACTTACTGATCTTCAAATTCAACCTTGAAACATATCTTTTTGGAAACTTAATAAAAATTTCAATGATTTCCCTGAGGTTTACACCGAAGGGATCAATAAAGTTTTATTCTATTCTATTCTCATAAAAAGTATTTGATATGTGTCATTCCAAATGCAGTAACTAAAATGTGAAAACTGCGCTGAACAAAATTTATGATCTAAGACGACAGTAAAAAAAAATCATTTTCAACAACAATATTTCGTCCATTAAGAATGAGAACATATTATTTTATGAATATTTGATGTCAATACAATGCCTTTTGAATGATAATTTCACATTTCAAATTGCAGAAAAGATGGGATGTAACTGCAGTTCGGACTCTTCAGAAGGCTGGGTCGAGTACACGGATGACATCTGTGAGCAATGCAACTGTCCCATCCCTCCCCAGTTATGCAATCAAGTAAGTATGTGATACACACAGGTTTGTGTTACTGCACCGCGTGGATGACTGAGTGTTTATATATGAGCGAGCTCTACATGGATAAAATGTTGGTTGTTTGTGTCGTTAAATGTGACTGACCACTTGGAGGCCGTGAACATTGCGTGGAGTTATAGAGTACAATCTGCGACTGCACCTTTCACTTAAAGCAGAGTTCTTTAACTTGCGCAACTGCGAAGGAAGTCGTCTTTGTGTGTGTGATTAAAACGGGAGCGTAAGTTTTCCCTCTATGTTGTTTGTTTCCTCTCTGTGAGTTAGATTTCCAACCAGATTAGAAATAAAGGAGAAAGAAAGGAGAAAACCACCTGTGTGCGGCTCGGTACATCGAGACATTTTGTCTGGAGGAAAGCGGCCTACGATTTACCGTCAAGATTTGCTTGTCGAGCCAGAAATGTGACACATGACAATCTGCTGTTCCCCCGCACAAATCTTACATTAGTTCTTGGGAAAGCTGATTGACAAGCACAAGTCTAATCTGTTTTTTTTTTTTCCTTCACCAGTACACAGATAAGCTGATTGTAAGCCCATCACAGTACTCACCGCCTACGTCACCTTTACCAGGTAACAACACAGAGTATATGTTTCTGCGTGTGTCCACAGGTGTCTTTTGTTTTATCATTAAGAAATATGTGGAATGAAATCAAATTAAATCCATCTTTAATCAATGATATGAGCTAAACTTAAGAGGAATTTGCACGACACTTTGATTCCAATCAGGGAAACTGCACAATAAACTGGGAAGATGTGGTTTGGAAGACTCTAAAAGCAAAACTGGAAATATAATTAAATACAGGAGGAGATAATGCAATGAAAGTGGTTTAGTTTTTTTTCAATTGAGTAAATCTGCACATTTCCGAGCACGTACTAAATCATTCCGAATAATCGTTCCATTTCAAAATTTGTTTGTATAAAATTTTCCATTTTCTTCCCATTTTCTTTTTTCCGTACCAGCTTCCTTCGTTGTTTACATGAAAATGAAAGCAGTGTGTCTGGGACGCTGCATTATCTCATTTACATACTGGCTACTAAAGCACTCCATCAGACTTTGGATTGTGTTTCCTTCAAGTTGATCTTGAGTCGGATCCGGGACCCACATAGTCGTTGGCAGTGTGAACATGGGTGCATGAAGTGCAATTAACTTTGTGAAAACATACATATACTAATCATACGCTCATATAGTGACATGGGGGGTTTCTGGGGCTTCACATCCCTCTTGACCCATATCCGCTTCATGTCTTTGCTGTATTATATTTCTGTCTTAAAGCACAAAAAAGTATCATGGTAAGTTGGAATTCTTTGTGTGCGGTTGGAGTCACTTTGAAAACAAATTATGGTTTCTCAGTAATCAAGGAAAACAAAAAGCTCAAAGCACAAAATAAAACAAACCCCAAGAAGCCTTTGTCTTCATATACAGATACATTTCAACCATCAAAAGTGTAATTAAGAAAAAACATAAAATAAATAAGGTCCCAATTTACTAAATATTACAACATTTTTCTTGCAGACAACCTCGTGGTGGCCATTTACAGCTATGAACCCAACCATGAGGGGGACCTGGGCTTTGAAAAGGGTGACAAGCTCAAGATCCTCAACAAGTAAGCTGCTCACTTTACACTTTACAATTAGTAAAGCTCGTAAAGAATGATAATTGTATTTCAGTTCCTGACAGCAAGTAGTTCAACATCTTCTCCTCACGCCCGACAGCAACAGAAACTTTAAGTGTTCTGGACCACATGTGAATCTTTACCAGCCACAGTGAACTCACAGATGAAATATATGCAATCTATATATCGCACAAAAATGGGTTGTTATGATGACAGAAGTATTCTAAATCATATTGTGTCATTGTGAATGCACGACGTTTCCTGACTCCCTGTGCAGCCGACAACTGACTATTACCAAAGTCGTGAATAAACCACTAAAACGAAAGTTTCTGTTAAGAAATGCAAGTAATAACTATAATATGACATCTCGAGCAAGAAATATTTATGTAATTTACAATTTTTTCTGCTTTTTATTGTAAAACATTGCATTTAAAAAGTCATGGATAACAATAATAATTATATTTTAGCATTAAAAATATCATATTGGTTAAAGAGCTTCGACATGTTGGTGCATTAACCATGACAGAAACACAAACAATGACTTTTTGTAATTACCAATGCTGTTAATTTAGAGTAGCTGTAGCATAAACCTGACATTTGGTGGTGGTCTAATACATTTGTTGTGTATATATATGTGACTATATATATATAAATACCTGTGAAGGACATACAGTTAAATGCCACATCTGCGGTACATCTATTTGGTTATATATACATTTTTTTTTTTTCTTTAAACAAAAAAGTTGTGTGAACATTTGCAATTCAAAAGAGACAGAGATGTGTGTGCGTTTACATTTCTATATATAGTTTGGGCTCATGTACATTTTCCCTTCCTACTGTGCTGATTGCGAATGCAAATTTCCCACCTGGTGACTATCTAACGCGATCTGTAAAAACTGAAGAGGACTAGTTTATCTGGCGTCCAGCAAACTCTGAGTTCCGACAAACACACGCATCGTAGATACCACGAGAATGCTGAGAACTTGTAAAATTTCTGGAAATTCTGGGGTTCTTATAATGACATGAAGAGGAGTTTACATTCTGTGATTAAGCACAAATTGCACACGCGGGGATTTAAAGCTGATTATAACTATTTTAAATTAGTTTTAAATATAAGCTTTTGGAACTAAAATGTCAAGCTATATATGATAATGGTTTTAAAATAAAATAAAAGTTCTGTTACCTGGCACTTGGTAGTAATGCTGAAGGAGCTAATGGCCAAAAAATACAATTTGATGGTTAAATAAATAAAAAGGAGTCTTTGAGACATATACACAAGGCTTCCTTCCAGGTTCAAGAGTGCACCAGGTACATTTTAAAGTTAAGATGTATACAACGCGGTGAAGTTTAAGAGTCGGTCGTGAGCCTGTCTCTTGTCTCTGCGTCTCTTCTGCTAATATGTAACACAAGACACTTCTATGCCGACTAAGTGTGATGCGGTTCATTTCATGCACTGATCATTTACACTGAAAGAGGCCTTTTGCCTGCAGGGGGCTAATTGAAACTACTTTTGTGAAGCTGTGCCCATTCATCCCAAACCAGTCTGTGAGGCTTAACGGATATGTAGACTAACCCGTGGTATTCTTTCTGTCTCCTCTGACATGCAGGGATGACCCAGAATGGTATCTGGCAGAATCTCTCACCACAGGCCAGCGGGGCTACATCCCACACAACTTTGTTGCAATGACCACAGTGGAGACTGAACCGTACGTCATACAGGAAACAACCTCAACACCACCTCTTCTGACGGAGTGCATACTGTGCCCCTGAGGAAGGGGAAGTGGTTAGCGCAAAATGTGAAGCATGTTGTGTGTTTGTGCTGCAGGTGGTTCTTTAAGAACATTTCTAGAAACGACGCCATGAGGCTCCTCCTCGCTCCTGGGAATACGCAGGGCTCCTTCCTGATTCGAGAGAGCGAGACAGCCAAAGGTGAAAAGATCTTCCCTACATGCTACACTCACATACTGACCCCAGTGGCTTAAAGTCTGTCTTTCTCTTTCGCTTGGAGTGTTAGTTAAAGAAGACCCATTTCCCATCAACTCCCCTTCTGTTTCTCAGTTAGTTTCATCGACTTCATTTAAGTTTTGCTTTCCTGATAAAGATAAAAATACTGGTTGAGACTTGTGCTTTGGCTTTGTCACTTTGTGTGGTAGACCCACAAAGTGAGTCAGACTGAGCCACACAACACTGTGCATGTTGGTGCAGAGATTTTGAGGGGGCAATATGAATCACAGGGATGGCAAATCTATCGAACTATTAACAATTGTTCTCCAGAATCTTAGACTGCACTTTCACTTTGACTATCTATGTTAAAAATGAGGCAGAGACGGTGGAATCCTAACCCCACTACAAGTGTTAATATTTTGGACCATGCCTCCACATTGCTCAATACGGCAATCTTAAATGAGTTTGTTTAAGATTACAAAGTTAACATTATCACTGTGAAAATATTAGCACTAAGCTTCAAGCATCATTGCGTCCAAGTGCAACCTCGCAGAGCTGCTAACAAGGCTGTACACTTTATTTCAAGAATGTGCAGCCCACAATTTGGATGAAAGTTCATGCTCCCTCCTGGAGTCGTATCTCAATTATACCGGAATACGCAAACATGATTTAGATTGCTTAGTGTGACTTAAAGTTTCCAGGAATATCTTAGATGTCTATTGCAAATAAATATCCGTAAATCTTAGAAATCACAGACATATGACGCCCATTATATCTTCTAAGTTTGCAAGAGAATCACCATCAAGTTTCTTTTCGTATCAAAGTAACGAAGGGTGACACCCATATGTACCTTTCAAACAGGAACTGCAAGTAGCTCATTTGACATGCTTTTGATGCTGGCAGTGAACCAAAATGTTGAGGGTTCAAGTTGTAGCCCACAGTTAACTAACCCGGCTTCGTGCCACACATATACTTCCTGTTTAAATCTTACAAAGCATCATGAGAAAAGTACAACTTCTAAACTTAATAAGAGACAAAATCATTCTGTCGCTCTGTTATCTACGGATGCTTTATCTTGTAGAGCTGCAGGGGGCTGGATTTGGATACACCCTGGACAGGCCGCCAGTTTATTACAGGGATAAAATATGGAAACAGACAGCCATGCACAAAAATGCCCACAATGTGGCCAATTTAGAATCAGTGATGAACCTACCATGCATGTCTTTGGACTGTGGGAGGAGGAAACCAATGCAGGAACACTGAGAACATGCAAAGTCTGCACAGGCACAACCACAGGCAACCACAGCTTGAACACAGAACCTTTTTGCTGTGGAGCAACAGTGCTAACCACGGCACAACCGTGAGAGATCATTTCTGGTGTTACACTATCAATGTATTTTTACATTGGAGTCGATGGTGCAATTGTTTTAATTTGATCCGAGTGGAGGGCCACAGTGTCAGACTAAAACATTCTATCTGAAACCTGCATGTTCTCTCCTCTGTGTTTGTTCCAGGATCATACTCCTTATCGGTCAGGGACTTGGATCACAACACAGGTGAAGGAGTGAAGCACTACAGGATCCGCAACATGGACAGTGGTGGCTTCTACATCACCGCCAAGATCTCCTTTAACTCTCTGAAGGAGCTCGTCCAGCATCACTCACGTGAGTTCAGCGTCTTATTTGAGACTGCTGAGAACTCTTCATCTGAATTTTTCTTTTTTTATAAACTTGTCTCCTCTCCGTGTCATGCAGGAGAAGCAGATGGGTTGTGCACAAAGCTTATGAAGCCGTGCCAGTCGAGGGCACCTCAGAAGCCCTGGTGGCAGGACGAGTGGGAGATTCCTCGCGAGTCCCTGAAGCTGGAGCGCAGGCTGGGAGCTGGACAGTTTGGAGAAGTCTGGATGGGTGAGTTGTTTTTCCATCTGAGTGAGTCTAGTGCAGATACATGGCATGTAGAAAACCCAGTTGCTCAATCTGGTGGTGGGCTTGACTATGTGTCTGCTGGAAAGTTATAGCCAGGCTTTTTCTGCAGTGTATGCAGAACAGTTTCCTCAGTGCAGTCTTAATTGTAGGCTTGTTTAAGCTGGTACACTGAAGAATGATGTGAGGTATTAACCCTGTTACGCAACATCGCTCCAACTACACTAATGTAGCTTTCCTATGAGCTCGTGGATTGGAGGAACTGTTCTTCAACAATGCTTCCATAAATTTCTATTGTGATTGTGGAGAATTAAATTAAACAGAAAAGCGAAATGTTTTGATCACAAGGGTATCAGCTCAACTAATCTGTGCCACATTCCCATTATTATTCATTTGGAGGCGTAATTTCCCCTCCATTTTCCATCCGCATTTGCCAGCTCCATTTAACATCCCAAACAAACCACTGCCCAAGAGCTAAACATTACCAACCATGGAACTTGTCCTCATTTCACAGCTACTTTCTATTTACAATATTGTCTTGCACGTAGTCTGGGCACTGTGTTTGTTTCTCTATCCTCCTCCAAACATTGGCTTTTTGGCATGCTGGAATTATGGGAGTGACTGTCATTGGCTATGAAGTGTTTATTCACATTAGTGAACGTGAAAATATCTACGTGATAACCGTCCATTATGAAAGGATGATTTCTACTGCAGATAAAAGAGACGGAGGAATGCTTTGAACTGTACATTTAAGTCGTTGCCAGCATCGCTACGCTTCATGCAAGGGGTGAGATGTTTAGTTCTTTATACAAATGAAGGTAAAATTGGTTCATTGTGAGTCTGGCTGGCGTGAGGTAAATGAATGTTAGTGTACCAGAGCATGAATGAGATCCTATTTGCATGGAACTGTTTTGGTGGGGCACATGTTTGGTCACAGCTACTAAGATAAAACTTCAAAAAAGGCATAAAACCATAAAAGTTGACAAAAGTACCAAACACATACAGTACAGTTCAGTTAACGAAATGTAAAAATAAGTGTGTGAAAGAGAAACAGTGCAAAAGATTTTAAAAAACCCAAGCAGATTTATAAAGAATGAAGTAAACTATACACAAAAACAAAGTATATATATGAAGGACATTAGGGGACGACTCTATGAGGTCAGTGTTAGATGATCAGTCCACCACTTTGTTACAGACTGAAATATCTACTGATTCCGTATCTAGTAACTATTGAATAAATTGTCACAGACTTTTGGACAGACATTTACAGAAGATGAGGCCTGCTGACTTTTTAAATTTCCAGATAGCTCAGTAACTATCCATGATCTGATTATCTAGTCAGGATGTATTCCAGAGAAGTAGCTCCATCATTTTCCTCTTACGCCACCAGCAGGTTTTTTTTTGTTTTTTAACCAAATTTTCGGAATACACCACTTCACTCGATGAAGACGCGACTAAACATTTTGCACGGACATTCCCAAATGGATCCCAAAAAAATGAACTCCCTGACTTTTCTTTAAGCACCTCAAGGTGAACCAGTTATGTGAAACTTTCCCAGTGGTTTGCTTCATGACCAAACACCAGACAGTGTAAAAAAGATGGACCTCGAAAAGTACCAGTGACCACCACTAGGTGCTGGCTAAGTTAATAATTCATGCTAGTTTAACTGCATTCACATTTGCATAGTTCACATACCATTAAGCCATTTTCTTTAAAACTACAAACAACTTTGGGCTATAAAACTAATTGCGTCTTCGCCGTAACTAAGCCTTCTTTGACGAGCTGAACACCCATTTTCTTTGATCTGACCTCTGTGAAGGCATGCTCAGTTGATGCATTGGTCAGGCCGTCACCACAACACCCTTGACCTTTGTACAGTGTATGTGCAGAAGAGCGGGTGGGCGTTTCTCAGGCTCACACAGTGACAACATCATCATGGATAAACCTCTGAAGTCTCTGCCCACGGAAGAGTCACCATATATTTTGTTTGAATTTTGTATGACATGCACATAGTCAACGTTTTGTAGCTTTCCTTAACCAAACTAGATTTCTCTCTTGGGTAGCTTTGCTGTCGTTGAACTCCCTTTGTTGTGAAATAACTGGTAGCTTGCCAAAGTGTTCAAAGCAGTTTTTCCTACACTGACACTAACACACCTATAGACTTATTAGTCATGTTTTCAACAGAAACTCAGTGATTACTAAATGTCTACTTTCAGGTGTCTACAACAATGACAGGAAAGTGGCGATCAAGAACCTGAAGATGGGAACAATGTCAGTGGAAGCCTTCTTGGCAGAGGCCAACATGATGAAGAACCTGCAGCATCCCCGCCTCGTCCGCCTCTTCGCTGTGGTTACCCAGGAGCCCATCTACATTGTCACAGAGTACATGGAAAATGGTAGGCAAACATGAAACTATGTGTCACAACCTGGGGCATTTTACTAATAGGTTAATAACACTCAACCCTACAGAGGGGATTCCAGGTTTCAGTAAAAGCATCAAAAGAAAAGCAAAACCTCGTCCCAGGGTATTTCCATTAAATGATTACTCTTTTGAAGATATCCTTCTGTAATCACATCAGCTCTGTTCAGGGCAGTTTAGTCAACTGAAATATGTCTAAGCCTGTCTGAAACGATCATTTCCCTTAATCTCCTGCTCTTTTACCCTGAACACCAAAACACAGTGTTGTTAGGGTGAGCTCTGTGCCTGGAGCAACGGCAAAGAAACGGTTTTAGAATCAGCGTAAGGTTCGAGATGTTCAGGATTAAACATGTTGATCTGTTATCGGACTCTGTGCGAGCGCACATGCTTGAACAAAAGACCGGGTTGCCTCATCGGTTTCACCCTTTTCATGAGTCATAATGTTTTCACTTGTAAACTCCACTCCAGTGACTTTCTTGAACTACTTGAATGCGGTTTGATCACACAGCTGGTTTCCTATATGTACGGTTTTGATATGAGATGCACATTACTGGAACTAATAACTGTATTCATCAGCTATGATTGGACGTGAATGCAGCTGTGTGGGCAAACCAAAGTGAGGGAGGTGCAGCAACTCGTGAGCCTTTCCCCTGAAAGCAGGCTGCTCTGTTGAAGTGGCTTCTGATAGGCTATTTTCAGCTTCTCCACATGACCCTCCTGTGTTCGCTGCCATGTGCTAAAATGTTTCAAAGCAAACATGAACTTTCACTTCTTTTCCGGGCCCCTCCAGACAGGTGACTGATGTTTACACACCGAGGGGAAGTTTCTTGTGGCCGGTCTGAGACGAGGGGTGTTAAAATAGGAGAGGCTGAATCACCACGTTATTGTTCACAGAGACCCCTGATGATGTCTGGCTCTCGTCCAGAGGCTGCAGTACGCACATGCTCAGACACATGCACGCAAATATTGGCACGCTGCACCGCTGTGGCAGTAAACAAACATACTGTAACTTTTACAATGGCAGTTTGTTTAGCATCTCGCTGCTGGATCTTCCTCTTTTTCCCCTTACATAACAGAGCACATCAGAAATAACAGATGATAATAAAATAAGGTCATTCTGGCAGTTGTGGAAAAAAACTTTCCATATCACAATATTTATGCACCCAGATCCTACACTGATATGAAAGCGATCCTGTATCTGTTTCACTTTAACCTCAAAAGTCTTTGTGATTCTTTTTCGCTGGGAGGAACAATAACAAAATGCACAGAGAGATGCTGTCACAAACACGACAACAGCCTTACAGCTGAATTGAATGCCGTGCCTTTGTATACTCTTCTGTGTGCAGCTTGTAAACCACCAGCAGTGGTTCTACATGAGGCTGCCTCTTTGTCTGCGATCCATGTGTGGACAGGACACAATTGCGGCTTCTGTTGCCGAGAGAAAGGATGGCTCGGAGTTCCCGTCTTTTCAGTTTGTCGCTGTCTTTTTTTTTTTTTTTTATATTGTTATCAAAGACAACAAAGATGGAAAATAACGGGCGTGTCATCCCAGCTTCCCTTTGTGACCTTGACAAAGAGCTCAGGCCCTCAGACATCAAAAGCAGCCTTCCGGACTTAAGCAGAGGAGTTAATGCCTCTTCTTTCCTGGCACAGTCTGCCCTCTTAAAAGTGTTTCCTTTGGTCTGACTGGGTTGCGAGGCATGCGGAGGTATTGTTCTGCGCTAATCAAACCCAACACAAAGTCAGCTGTCAGAAAGTATGCATCAGCTTGACTGATGCTGTGTGGACTTCCTCAAAGTGTTATGCTCGCTGATTTGAGCTGCTATTCTGGTCTATCTCAGTGTATTTATGTCTCTGATAAAGGAAAATATCAGTCATCTTCTGCACAAAGCACGATTTGTTCTCCACCTCCGATTACCATATTGCATAATCTTTTGTGCAAGACATGTGTATGCATCTGTACCTGCGCCTAGTTTATTCTTTATGAGTCAAATAACATGAATTAAAGCTTCACTAAAACCGATAATTTTCCTACAGGTAGCCTTGTGGATTACCTAAAAACGACGGAGGGAAGCAGTTTGCCCATGAACACCCTGATAGACATGGCATCCCAGGCAAGACATCTCCTTTTACTATCCGTCTTCTCATCTGTACACACTCCTTTCACTCCATTCATTCATTCCTTGGCTCCTTATTCTCTCACCGTGACCCTTACAGGCAAGAAACTGGCAGCGATTGTAGTGTGGCTTACATTCAACACTAATCTTGGAGTAACAAAAGACCTGGGTGTGTATGTGGGCCGGCATAAATGAACTTCAGGGTAGACACAGTGGCACAAATTAAAGCGCACTACTTATTACCAGACAAGTCTGAGAGGGGGCACATTCCCGTCTGCTTTTTTTTTTTTTTTAATGAACTACATTTTTTTTTTATCCTCTTACAAAGGTGCCAATTCAGCTAAAATGCCACAGTCAGGGCATTGTAACAGAACTCAAAACTAAATGGAGATAAATTAGTCTGAATTAGTCTTGATGTCTCTCCTCAGTAAGCAGCTCTGTCACAAATTTGCCAAAGCAATAACTAGTTTTTCAGTCTGTAAAGGGTTACTACAGTTCAACTTCATTCAACTCCTGGCAAATGACTCATTTGGTCGGTTAAACCAGGTGGATAAAAAGGCAGATTTGTCACAGAATGCAAATCAAAGTTACTGTATTATGATAAGCTTAACTCAAAAACCGAACGCAGGGTGTGTTAAATAGAGAGCGTTAAAGTGCTAGTGGGTGAAATGTTTTCAGAACAAAACAAGCTGCTCCTTGTGTTTCCAGGATTAAGACGAAACCAAGTGGTGGAAAGTACGTTTACTGAAGTACTGCACTTATGCACAAATTTGAGATATTTGTATTTTACTTGAGTATTTCTATTTTATGCTACTTTATATTTACGCTCCACAGCATTTCAGGAACAAGTATTGCACCACTACATTTATCTGGCCGCTCTAGTTACTTTTAAGATGAAGATTTTACACAGTGGATGATATAACACGTGGCTCGGTGGTTAGCACCGTTGCCTTGCAGCAAGAAAGTTGTCGGTTTGCGTCCCGGTGAGGACACCTGGGATCTTTCTGCGTGGAGTTTGCATGTTCTCGTGGGTTCTCTCTGGGTTCTCCGGCTTCCTCCCACACAGTCCAAAAACATGTTGAGGTTAATTGGTGATTCCAAATTGTCCGTAGGTGTGAATGTGAGTGTGCTTGGTTGTCTGTCTCTAAGTGTGGCCCTGTGATAGACTGGTGACCTGTCCAGGGTGTCCCCTGCCTTCACCCTGAGTCAGCTGGGATAGACTCCAGCCCCCCATGACCCTAGTGAGGATTAAGCGGTGTATAGATAATGGATGGATGGATGATGTAACAGGACTATTAAATACAACACATTAAAGAACAGACTAGTGATTTACAATCTTTTTGCCCTACGACATCTCACAAAAAGCAGCATGTAGTCGGTGTCATATACGTTTTTAACAGCTCTACCAAACAGGGATTTTCATAATTTCACCGATTGTTAAAATGATGCAGCAGCAAACCAATAATTTGATATTAAATAAATAGAGATTGTTCTGCTGCATCTGTATATACAACTGGATACAAAGCATTTCAAACTAGTTCTACCTGCAGCAGCTACACCTGTAACACACCCATGCTTCACTGTTAATAATCTAATTATGTAATATCACATATTAGTCAGAAGGAGCAAACTGGACCTTTTATTTTAATACTTTAAACACGTTTTATTGCTAATGCTGATGACCGAAGCTTCACTTTTGCTTGAGTAGGATTTTTCATGCAGGACTTTTACTTCTAATGGAGTATTTTAAAATTGCTATATTGGTATTTTTTTACTTAAATAAAGAACCTGATTCTCCACCGCTGCTACACTAACTAACTGCCGGCTTCATACAGATGTGGGTGTCAAATTTCCCCAAAAAGTTTTACTAGGCTGTTCAGTAAGAATTTTCAAATCATACCCACATCTACATCTTGAGATGCTTCTTGTCAGTAAAATAACTTTGACTTACATATATTGTGGGTGTGGGAATGGAAAAGACAACCACAGGAAGACAGACTGAAGTTTCAAAGTCTCACATGACAAAAGCGTCTTCGTTTGCAGCAGGCAAATTACCAGACGCCTTAGAGCTCGGTGCAGAGAGGTAGACTGTATAAAAGGCAGTGCGGTGAGCGTATTTTACAGAAAGAACTCTGTCAAGCCAGTCGTCATGCACTGATAGCATTTGTGGTAATAGGAACTCTAACCGCCCCGTGATGGACCATAAAATTTCAAGTGATTAAGGGCTTTGCTCTTGCTGCAGTATTGGAAACTCTGACCACATCCATACGCTTAAATCATTAAACATTTATATAATCAGAGGATTTTCCTCAGATTGTTGTTAGCTACAGAAGTGCAAAGCAGATATGTAATAATGAAAATTAACGTGTTAAATGTTTCGATTGGTTCCCTCCCACCGCCATCAAATGAATGAAACAGAGAGTATGGAGGAGTCAGGAGGAGGTGGGAGTCATGACGACGCTAGAAGTTTGTAAAATACACAGACATACGTACATGTCAGGTTTCTGACAAGAACCCCACGGCCGATGACACCTATGTGATAGATTCTTACGTCTGAAATATGCATCACTGCTCCTACAAAAGCCAATACCTAGATAGCTGAAGATAAAGACACAAATAATTCAGATGCTGTTTAACTGTGGGAGGAGAATTCTGCGGAAATCATCATTGTTTTCTCAACACGGATACCTCACACACCAACTTCCTCATTCGTTAGATGTAGCGTCAGGTTCTCTCAGATCAACATATGTGGAAATGAGTCATTTAGTATTTGATTGAATCAGAAACTCAGAAATAATCAGCCAGTACTGTGTAAAGGCAGAAAGGCATGACTGCAGCCTTTTGTATCAGGAAGCAGAGCCGGTGTTGAGCAGGCACAGCTGTGTACCTGGGTGGAGTACTGCACAGAGGTATAAGGAACTGACCTGGGGAAGTGGTAAACTCCCTGGTTTGGGAATCTCACTGTTCATCTGTCCAACATACACAAACATTGCACGGTGGTAGAGCACACAGACGTCCCACACAGCTCTAGATGTCATGTTTGATCACACGCACACGCCGTGCTGCCTTGCTTGATGATGTGCTGTCCCCTGCAGGTGGCTGACGGCATGGCCTTCATTGAGCAGAGAAATTACATTCATCGAGACCTGCGAGCCGCCAATATTCTGGTTTCTCACGAGCTCATCTGTAAGATTGCTGACTTCGGACTCGCAAGACTCATCGAGGACAACGAATACACAGCCAGAGAGGGTAACGACACCTTTGTGTACAATGTAGAAAGTGGATCTGAGCTGTAGTTGAAGTAAACTGTTTTTTTTAAATCAATCTCATTAATCTTTTAGCTGAGGTGATGGCAGTTCAATTTTGTGTATTCGGTTAACTGAAAATTACATTTTGTCCCTTTAAACTGATATTCTAGTCTCTGCGAAAGTGTGAAAATGAGTTTCACTACCTCTTTAGCATTGCAACTGCTGTTTTCTTCAGTAGGATTACAGAGTAAAAAAAAGAAAAAGAACAGCAAGTCTAATGACGCAATCATGTTTTTACTTCTGGGTTAAGCAAATATTTGGGTTCATTTGACTTAAAGTTGACCTTCTCATTAAGTTGCAGCAATGCAAACTGTTCACTTAAGAGGAATCAAACAATGACACTTAATTTTGATAAACTTAATTCAACTGCATGTTCCCAGATGAAGAGATTCATTCAGGTTCTCTTTTTTTCAGCTGATATCACTTATCATCTTTTCAGCCCTTACCCTCAGAACCTTTTTATCAGACTATATCAACTAAATATTTCCTCTACTATAATTACTTTTTCTAGAGTGCATCTCGATTGAAATTTTTTAAATCATGCAAAGGTGAAGTGAGAGGAAATCTGTCCTTTAGCTCCATCAAGTGTCTTTATTGAGAGATAGTTTGATTTTTTTTTTTTCCCACAGGTGCAAAGTTCCCCATTAAATGGACCGCCCCAGAAGCTATTAACTATGGCACCTTCTCCATAAAATCTGATGTGTGGTCATTTGGGATCCTCCTCACAGAAATAGTGACATATGGACGCATTCCTTACCCCGGTATGTACTCATTCACTTTTATCGTTCTCGTAAATAGCAAGAATATTTTACTGGTCTTGCATGTGTTATAATTGCTGACAATATTTTACCTTGTGTTCAGGGATGTCCAACCCAGAGGTGATCCAGAACCTGGAGCGGGGCTACAGAATGCCACAGCCGGAAAACTGCCCCGATGGGCTTTACGGCGTCATGTGTCTGTGCTGGAACGAGGGCCCAGAAAACAGACCCACTTTCGAGTACCTGAGGAGTGTTCTGGAGGATTTCTTCACTGCCACAGAGAGGCAGTACCAGGAATAACTGCGGTGGAGCAGAGAGACATAGAGACAGACAATAAATATATTCAAACTAAAGGTCCAGCCTGTCAAAGTGGATGCTGGAATTTGTTTTATTCTTTGAGGAATGCATGCCTTTCTCCTGATAAGGTACAAACTAAGATTTTCCAAGTAAGACTACTTTGTTTCTGCATCAGATTTTTTTGCTCAAGTGGCTTTTCAGATACGATACGATCGCCTGTGGAATGAATGAACCAGAAACAGCTGGATTGCAGCCAACAGCAGAAAGGAGAGTGATCACCGAGCTGCTTGAATAAACTGGGGACTGTCTGATGTGGCTGGATAAGCAGCCATTCTCCTGGTGCTCGTTATTAACATGTAAATACTGTCAACTGCTTCCGCTGTGTTTTACCTCTGCAGTCTAAAAATGTGTTTAAACTGTTTTTCTTAAAGTAAAAAAAGCTCCGTATTGATGTTGTTGTTGTTACGTTGCATTCAGAAGAACCAACACCACATAACATAAACCACTGGTGATGCTTTATATCATTACATAATACATTCCCTGAAGGTTATTTGTGCATGAAGGTGGCACCAAAATGATGAGAAGCGCTCACAATATTTATTTCTAAGTCCTCAACTTAAATGTACATTTTTAATACCTCCATTTACTTAATTTTACTCCACACTCACACTGTCTGGGAGGCAAATGTAATACCTTTTACTTAATTTGACAGCCAGAGTTAATTACATATTATAGGATTTTACATGCAAAACTCATAACTTAAATATGATGCCTTGCCATAGTAGCATTATGTAACATGTAAGTGCTTAAAGTAGGTTACATTAGCTCCTCTTTGGTCAGCTGCTTCATTTAAATGCTGTTTAAAAGCTAGAAGACACATAAAAGGCAATGCCATAGCTAAACTTTTCACTTTGTGTCTGCAGGGTATTGCTGATATCTCAAAAATATAGATTCAGACCTCAGAAGTTTCATGTGAAACAAACCCGAATCATATTCTTCCTCAGAATCACTTTCAAGTTCATAGCATACGGTATGCTACCTCAAGGTACTACACATAATAAGGTGAAGACAACAGGGAAGTATACAGTGTATTGTCTATGTATGGAACCGAGTCTTTCCGGCAGACTCTAAGTGGACTAGAACAGCAGTATAATAGCAACAATTTTGCATCTGTAGCGTTAACAACTGTCTGTGTATGCATCCATAAGGGCGCACATCCAGGCGTAAGTCATTTTAAGGCAGGAAATGATCACTGACTGCGCATAAAAGATAAATGCAGCCACTGTAACGTCACCCAGTGGTTTGTGGACTCCTGTTTTACTGTCTCCAGTTTGAGTTTTTAGAGCCAGAAGTGGCCAAATTTTGCAGAGAGGGTGGATCTGGAGAGGACCGAGGGGTGGGACTGACTGAGAACTGGAGGACATTCTGACCTACACTGGCCTGGCTCCCCTGCCAATGTGTGAAGCAGCTAATCATTTCTGACTACATGTCAGTCAAGCTATCGTAAATCCCAAATATCATGCACTTTGATGCCCTATTTCTACGTAGTTATAGAAATATATTCAGATCAAACTGCCAGAGCACTTATCACTTATTAAATATTAGGACTTTTGTATGGAGTGTGTATGTTCTCCCCGTGCAGCATGGGTTCTCTCTGGGTTCTCCGGCTTCCTCCCATACGACCAAAAACATGTTGAGGTTAATTGGTGATTCTAACTTGTCTGTAGGTGTGAATGTGAGTGTGATTGGTTGTCTGTCTCTAAGTGTAGCCCTGTGATCGACTGGCGACGTGTCCAGGGTGTCCCCTGCCTTCACCCTAAGTGGGATAGACTCCAGCCCTCCATGACCCTAGTGAGGATTAAGCGGTGTATAGATAATGGATGGATGGATGGATGATGTAACAGGACTATTAAATACAACACATTAAAGAACAGACTAGTGATTTACGATCTTTTAGCCTCATGATGTCTCACAAAAAGCAACATGTAGTCGGTGCTATATATTTTTTAACAGCTCTACCAAACAGGGATTTTTCATCATTTCAACGATTATTAAAATGAGGCAGTATCTCACCAATAATTTGATATGAAATAAATAGAGATTGTTCTGCTGCAACTCAACTGTATATACAACTGGATACAAAGCATTTCAAACTAGTTCTACCTGCAGCAGCTACACCTGTAACATGCCCCCCGCGACCCTAGTGAGGATTAAGCGGTGTGTAGATGATGCACGGATAATGGATGTTTTAATTGAAAGCTGTGGGAGCCAGAGCTTCCTGGAGCCAGCACCTAGTGGTGCTCAGTGGAAATGCATTTTTTGACACTTGGCATTGGGTTGAAATTTGAGAGCTAGTCCTTACATCTATCTCTTGTTTATACAGTATAGGAAAGGAATTATCGTCATGGAAAAAAACAACCAAACTTGTAAATATGTAAGCTTGATACACAGAAATTAGTTTTAGGGGTGTAATCAATGACCAGAGAGGGGCTTTAATATATCATTTGAATGCAGGGCCTTTGTTTTAAATGATGTTATTTTTGTTTTTAGAAAAATAGGGGCTCTAATTTCTTGTCCCATCACTAATAATTAAAAAACAAAGGTGAATGATTTCCACTGTCAACACGACCACATCCAGTCAACAGGAGCACTCACTGAGCGGACAGCGTCGCTCTGTCGCCCCCTGTCGGCGGCGGCCAGCATCACCTCCCATAGACCGTCCGCGATGCAAACTCTCCGCCTCTCGTCGCTGTTGTCTCCTGCCGTGTGTGTGTGTGCGCGGTGAAAGCCAGCCAAAAAGGACTAAAAAATGGCGCTTACTTCCCAAGGAACAAAGAAAAAAGTTTGCTACTACTATGACGGTGAGTACTAACGCCCCTGCAGCCCACACAGCGGACGCACCGGTGAACGAAATCCGCCACTTTTTGCACCGACAAAAGGTTACGGTTTCTTTCACCTCTTGCTAACCTGGCACGTTAGCTAACGCAGCTAGCTTGAGTTGCTCGCATCATCTCAGCCTGGCACAATGTCGGCGGGTCCACACGGAGAGTTAATGCCCAATAATGTGCGCTCCGTTTCCCTAAATGCGTAGGTTACCGGTAAATTACCGTGTTGAGCCCTTTTAACCGGCGGCTGGCACTTTAACTGGGTTAGTTACCGTTACTAGCTAGCGTGCTAACAATGGGGATATGAGTTCTTTATTGTCGCCGCAATTAGTTAACACGGAGCTAACAATGAAATAGCCCGCCGTGCTACATTCAAATGTGCATAGTTGTGGGGGGTACAAAACGACATTAAGTGATGTGTTCCTGTGTGTAGGTAGTTTGTTTGCATTATTTCAGTATTTTGAATGAAACGAGAGCGAGAAGTCTCCCAACAGACGTGCAGGGTAGTAATACTGAATTCCTTCACTACCTCCTTAGTGCATCAGTATAGTCTGCGCAGAACAGTGTTTACTTCAGTTTGCATTGCCCTGTTGATATTATAAAGATAAAATAAACTAACACTTATTTTGTTTTTTTTTTTCTTTTTATTTGCTCTCTTCACAGGTGATGTTGGAAACTATTACTATGGTCAGGGGCATCCCATGAAGCCCCACCGAATCCGCATGACACACAACCTGTTGCTCAACTATGGCCTCTACAGAAAGATGGAGATATACGTATGTGAAGTTACACACTGCATAATCAGATAACCTGACTTCAGTGAGAATTTGCTGTGGATCTAAGTTGTCCTCTGCGTTTCAGCGTCCACACAAAGCCAGCGGAGAGGAGATGACCAAGTACCACAGCGATGATTACATCAAATTCCTGCGTTCGATCCGGCCGGACAACATGTCAGAGTACAGCAAGCAAATGCAGAGATGTAAGTGTGCTCACAGAGTAATACAGATGACGTTAATCACAACTGTAATTTTGAGCAGCAACAAGACTTTGGTTAATTCTGTGCTGTTGCTTTGCAGTTAACGTGGGAGAGGACTGCCCGGTGTTTGATGGTTTATTTGAGTTCTGCCAGCTCTCAGCAGGGGGCTCCGTTGGTAAGTTGTCTTTATTTAAATATTTCTCATACAGACATGCTGCGTTGGACTGTGATCGTGCCCCAGTAGTCTGTTAAATTCAGTAGAAACAGACTCCTAATTCTTGCCTCCTCGCTGTGCTCCAGCTGGTGCCGTGAAGTTGAACAAACAGCAGACAGACATTGCTATCAACTGGGCTGGAGGCCTGCATCACGCCAAGAAGTCAGAGGCCTCTGGGTTTTGCTACGTGAACGACATCGTACTGGCTATTCTGGAGTTACTGAAGTGAGTACAAACCCCAATTCAGCAGCTCAAATGCAGTTTTATTTTGACTAAGTGGATGAAAGTCGACGCAGATTGATGGTGGATTGAGTTTCTCTCCCAGTAAATGATAAATATGTAGTTTCAAATATTTCCAAGACCACAAGTCCGTGGATGAAACATTTCTAAACTCCAAGATTGTTCTCCTTTCCACAGATACCACCAGAGAGTTCTGTACATAGATATCGACATCCATCATGGAGACGGTGTTGAGGAGGCCTTCTACACCACAGACAGAGTCATGACTGTGTCCTTCCACAAATATGGAGAGTACTTCCCTGGCACCGGTGACCTCAGGGTACGTCTTTAATAAATACAATTTGAAATTTCAAGCAATGATACAGCAAGTTGACCCTTGTGTTATTCTCTGCAGGACATCGGTGCTGGAAAGGGTAAATACTACGCTGTGAATTACCCACTGAGGGATGGGATTGATGATGAGTCATATGAAGCCATATTCAAACCTGTGAGTAGATAAAATCAGTTGTGCTTTGATAGTTGGGATCTCCTTTGATGTACAGAGACATTCTTGAGAGCTGATGATGTTTGTTTGTGTAGATCATGGCCAAGGTAATGGAGATGTACCAGCCCAGTGCAGTGGTCCTCCAGTGTGGAGCCGATTCTCTGTCAGGGGACAGGCTTGGCTGCTTTAACCTCACTATTAAAGGTAAGACAGCGGAAAAATGTCTCCATTTATGAAGCAGATTGGTTTGAAAGTCTCTTGTTATGTTTTACTAAGAAACCACAGTGTTTGCTTCCTGTTTTTAATTGTTTTTCCACACTGTGTTTAGGCCATGCCAAGTGTGTGGAGTACATGAAGAGCTTCAACCTGCCGCTGCTCATGCTGGGAGGAGGAGGCTATACCATTCGTAATGTGGCACGCTGCTGGACATACGAGACTGCCGTAGCTCTGGACAGCTCCATCCCTAATGGTGTGTCTTTATGCCCTGGTTGCACTGAATAATTGATCTGAATAGTGGTGGTAATTAAAAACTTAAACAGTACATATATAGAAAACATTAAAAGATTAAAGGTTATCAGAAATAAAATAGATAAAACTAATGATTTGTTAATTGATACAAGTAGATTACATTTTTTGTTAATCTATTATAAAAAGCTTCTTAGACGTAGTGATTAACATACATCCCCAGTTTTTTAAAATCATGTAGGTTGAATATCTTTTTTTTTTTTTTTTTTAATACACAATATAACACAACAACAGCAGCTATTTCAGGGTATCTCTTTTGGCTGTGCTAACTTGTCAACGCAGGTCTTAGTGACTTTTTATGGGTACATGATGTATTAACCAGTACACGAGTACACATTACTTGTTGAACTGGTGTTGAACTACATCAGAAGACCGTTTTGTCATAGACAGAATGTTTGAATTTGTTGATTTGAAATTTTAAAGTCTCATAGAAGGTGATAAAAGTAACCTCATTTGAATTATTTGCAGCAGCTGCAGCCTAAAAGTATTTAAAGGATTTCAATAAAAATGCACATCGATCTTTAAAACGTTCTCTCAACTCCGCAGAGCTCCCATACAACGACTACTTTGAGTACTTTGGACCAGACTTCAAGCTGCACATCAGCCCCTCCAACATGACCAATCAGAACACCAATGACTACCTGGAGAAGATCAAGTGAGCCCATGAAACTGTTCTCTGATTTGTTTGAATATGTGTTATGAAATGCCAGGTTACATACCGCACAGCATCACCAGAGTCCTCGTTCATTAGTTCAGGCAGCTTTTGTGTCTCGTGTAATTTTGTTTTTGTTAGTGGTTAGTATAATAAACCTGAATTCTGTCCTTTAGGCAGCGCTTGTTTGAGAACCTGCGTATGCTCCCTCACGCCCCCGGAGTTCAGATGCAGGCCATTCCAGAGGATGCTGTGCAGGAGGACAGTGGAGATGAGGAGGAGGATGATCCCAACAAACGCATATCAAGTAGGAACTTCTGACATAGTCACACTCCCACACTGACCACAGATCAGGTGTCTTGCTGTTCATGCTGGAGAACAGCAGGGTAACGTGTTTTAATCTTTGCCCTGTCATCTGGCAACATCCAGTCCGTGCTCACGACAAGAGGATAGCCTGCGAGGAGGAGTTCTCTGACTCAGAGGATGAAGGTGAAGGTGGACGCAGAAATGCAGCCAGCTTCAAGAAAGCCAAGCGAGCCAAAACCGAAGGAGAGAAAGAGGGAGAAGAAAAGGAGAAGAAAGGTGAGGAGGAAACAAAAGGTATCTATTATTTTTTTTATTCTCATTTCATCCTTTGCATATTATTTTGTAAGATTTTATTTTAAGTAAGATCTTATAAAACACAAACTGGGTGTTTTTATGATGGCTACGAATGTGTTTTTTTCCCTGCATTATAGAAGTAAAAGAAGAAGAGAAGGTGCCAGAGGAGGAAAAAATGGACACATCAAAGTGAGAAAACACAGCACACACATATTGCCCAAGCTGTCCAGGGAGTGGCTGATTGGCGGCGTTAACCATTTCCTTACTCTGGGTCCTTTAGGCCAAAAGAGGAGTCCAAGACACCCTGAGGTCCTCTGCACCCAGCGATGCCAACGCAACAGATCAGATCTTAAAGCAAGATTTTTTTGGATCAATCATCTTTCCAGGCTGCTGCAGTGGAACTCAGTGAAGGACTGTAAATGTAAACTGGGATCTCATTCCCTCACATTGGGATGGGGATCCAAACATTTTAGGTTTGTGTTTTTCTAGGACACCTTTTCAATCTTGCAGTTTATGGACTGAAGTCAAACCGAGTGTTTTTGAGTATTGGTTTTGTATACGTTCTCTTCACTTTTTTTGTGCTGGATCTTTTTATGCTATGAAACTTGCTTTTTCCTTATGAACTGTAAAAATGGCTTAGCACATGTCTGCTTTTTATATATCTGATGGATTTAATTTATTTAAATCATAGATATTTTTGGCTACTTTGTTTTATGTCTTTCGGTCCCACTTTTGTCCCGTGCCTTTGAATATGTAGTTGAAGCATGTTGGAACAATAGATCATTTTCTGTAATATATTTGTGGTCTTGCCTGCCTAGGTCAGTGAGAGGGTTTCCATTTTCCTTAATAGCTTTTACATGGCACAGTGTAAGCAAATTACACTCTTATATTTTAGGTTATGATTTAGCATGTATCCTTCACAGACACATGGACGTAGTTTGCAAATTTGTGAGACTCTAGTCCTGTCAAATGATGCCTGTTGGACTTAGATTCCCTTAAAATTTGGACTTGAATGTCCAATGGGAGGCAAGACAAATGTCTAAATTCATTGTTGTATATATTTGTATTCTGAAAACATCAGTAAAAGTGTTCCACAAAAAAGTTTGCAAACGTCATTGAAATCTGACTGATCCCAGTGTGTGTTGACCACGCTTTGAATGCCACATTAAGTTCTATGTTGAATTAAATCTACTTTTTATAGGATTGATATTGTTAAACTTCCTGTCTGGTCTCATCAAGTGATGAACACAACTCAGTTTTAAATAACTCATGAACTCAACATACAGGAGACAGCGCTCTCTATTTTCAAGACATCAGTACAAATTAAAACATTTCAAACCAAACCAACAGCAGTATTTTACGAGATTTAAAAAAATATTTCCCATTTTGATACAGAGGGAAATGAAAGGCCTTTGCTTTTGCTCAGCTCAAGTCCAACAAATGCCTTCTTTGGACATCTCAGGTGTAACAGACACATGCTACAATACACACTCACAGATGACATTGCATTTTATCCAGTTGAGCCCAGCACTTTGCAACCGATCTAATTAGGCTTAGCTGGTTCAGAGCCATTCACTCTGCTCCACTGCAGTGCTGTCGTCCAGCAGATCATCCTGCTCTGCAGGCTCAGCTTCAGCCTCTGGGTCTGGGTCTGGTGCTGGAAGTGGTGTTGAGCTTTCAACGCTCCTCTTGATTCGCACCTGAAACGTTACATAAAGTGTCACTTTTATTGAAGAGCAGCGTTAACCCAAGATGACAGAGTTACGACCTGACTGATCCAACCAGCTGAGTACATTCATATTGCTCTTAAATGTTTTGAAAACCTTTCACAGCATGGAGCAGTAACAGGAAGACTTTGCTGTGAAGCACCAAATGTCTGTCTACACTTGCAATGTCAAGAGAAATCTACAAAAATAGAATTAATGCTATTGCCTGCACAGTTACCAGATGTTGTCCACATGTGGAAGATTTTGAACCAACGGGTTAGACAGGACTCTCTGATACCATCATCAAAACACCAAATGAAGGACTAGGGTTTGTGAGAATGCTGTTCATTCCTGCTGTAGAGTTCCAGGCACTTGCGAAACCAATGCTGAGAAACAATGCAGCTGTTCTGTAATTGCATGATGACTCAACTCCTTATTAAGAAACTTTGTGTTTGTTTTTCCTTTAATTTGTCACTCATCTGTGTTAAAATATAGCAAAACACAACCATTTGTCATCTCTCAGATAACCTTGAAGAAAAACTTGAGCAGCTAACAACATCAACTATCCCATTACATGACTCTACAAGAGCTGTGACCACAGGAAAGTGGTGAACAGCTCAAATAGTGAGTGACTTGTTATATCATGAGCTGTCGTACAACAACACATACAAGGTGTTTACCACAGAGTTTGAAGCTAATTTGAATACAATAAAAAAGCAGCATTCTAGCATGTTTTAAGCTGAAATATTTGACAATAAAGCAGGCCATTCATTGAGATTATATCAGGCCAGGAACTGTCTGTGCCAGTGATATCCATCAGTTAGGATGACAATTTGATGTGCTTTTCAAACTGCAAAGTTGCAGACAATAAACTCAGTGTCTCTAATGTGTTTTTTTTTCCAGTTGACTACTTTGATTTCACTTTCAAGATGAAACCATGTGATTGTAGACAGAGACAGACACAGTTACCACACGGCCCTGCTCAAGTTTGCCTTGTCAGCAGGTCTGCACCACCGGCTTCCATTTGTCTGCATTAAAATCAATGTCTCACTGCTATTTGTGGATGTAATGAAACCGAGTCATTTTACTTTTAAAACTTCAGCTTGATATAAGTTGTTTTTTTTTTATGGCTTCTTAGTCACGCATTCTGATGATAATTGGTGTCATGCATTAAATTAACTCAAGTGTTGCCTAATGGTGATGATATTTTTCAGTGCAGTGTTGTTAGTCTTTTTTTAAGACATTTTTGTGCAACCTCGAACATGACTGTACAACATTTTGAGTTAGATTGTCAGACTCAGGCAGCAAAGTGCTAATTACTGCTGTCCAAACACACTTCACTTGTAGTGAGTCGAGGTAACAGCAGCCTGTGTCATTTCAAGTTTCTGTTAGGATTTTCTTGAAATTCAGGTTTTTTTTTTCATCTTTGGAAAACCCCAGTAATCACTGACCTATTTACATTTTTCAGTTGAATGTTTTGAAATTGTTCACTATAATGTGGCACAATACAGGCACATGAATCCATGCTCTTGCACACGACAAAGGAAGACACTAGCTCAGGCTAACACTGTCTACAGAGTCACCGATCCGACATCAGCTCACCCTCTTAGCCCGGATCGGCCTCCTTCTAACGCACGGACAGAGGTAGAGGAATGAAGTGCAGGCAGCAAAGCAGCGGAAGGAAAACACCATTTCCGCAACAGACATCAAGATGAGTGGCACCCACAGAATGATTGTAGTCCCCTGAATGAACATAAAGACACGTGACTGATCACTGAACACTTCTCTTTTTCAGCAGTTAACATCATTATGAAAACAGGCTTCAGGGTAAATATGTAAATCCAACTTACATAGATGCGGGTGGGGTCAAAGGGGCACTCATACGTGATGCTGGAGGAGCCAACATCCTTGTCATAAAACTTGCAGTGCGTTAGCAGGCCCCATCCTTTATTCAGAATGGCTTTCACCATAGAAACTGACAATCCTAAGGTGGAGGCAACCGCCAGGAGGCCTGAGAGGAAGCTGAAGATCAACAGGACCCACTGCTGCAAGGAGAACATGACATAAGTCTGTTAGGAAGTTAAAGTTGTTTTCCTCACGCGAGAAGACAAGATGTAAGAGGGAATACGGGACGTGCAGCAGGAAACACAGGTAAGTCTGCATTCCGTATTTCACAAATGTGTAATTTCAGTCAAAAACAAGGGGCAAGTTCTGACAGGCTGCAGCGAATGACTGATGAGTGCCGAGTGGAGAAGGGAGAAGCTGTGCCACAGAGAGGGGAGCAGTATTTACCAGGATCCTGTTTTTCTTGTTTTTGGAAAGAACGATGGCCGTTATTCCACTTATAATTCCCTGAAAGGACAAAAAGAAAGCTTCAGGAAGAGGGACAGATCATCCATCACGGCTAGATAATACAGTATTACTATTGAAACTGGTGCCGTTCGAGGATTGACACAATTTACACACAATGTTATCATCAGATAGTGGATTTGCGGCAGCACACTCGTAAATATTTATCTCTACTTCCTTTTCCATAGTGATTATCCGTTTCCAGCTATCATCCTCTTAGATCTTTTACCGTAAGTTCTTTTTGCATATTTCCTGCCACTTACCACCAGGCCTGCCGCAATGGCAATGACATTGGAGATGGCGTACACCATCGTCCTGGCCTGAGAGTGCACATTGATGTGTCTGAGCACAGCACCGTGCACCAGCGCTCCCAGAAGAAAGTTGACATGGCCCACCAGCACCAGCCCCAGCCCCATCTTCATCAAGGTTTTGTTGTCCTTGAGGCTGGCACAACATACTCCTGGAAGAGGAAGAGCTATGTTATTTGACCTCATAAACCTATATTAGCTTTGAGCATCGCGACATCTTCCAAAAACTAAAAGATAAACAACTAAGTCATCATTACACTGTGTGTGCAATGATCCATACTGTCTGACTGGTGTTTAAATAATCTCAAATTAGAGTAGGTAAATACAAGCTGTGTGCACACCAGTACATGTTGCTGACAGGAGCTAGTATACAAGATCAGCGAGCACCCTTTTTCAAATAAATGTGGTCTAAAAATATAGAAAGAGCTGAGAGTGCACAACACTGAGAACCTGTGTGAGTTGACTGCAGTGTGTTGTGGTTTCAGCAGAGTAAAAAGGAACCAGGACAGCGGTTAACACTCTGCGTCAGTTCTTGCGAACAAGTCATTTACCACAACGAACCCCAACCCCTGCAGAGAAGGCTGAAGATCTGAGCCACAGCATGCAGCTAAAACCTGCTGCAGCTATGGCGAATGTGGCCCGCACGGGATTGTGTTGCACTATTTTGTTCCTGCCTCTGGAGAAAGGTGAAGCACCCACTAATGGAGGCCATGAAAAGCCAATCCTTAACCAAACAAGACAAAGGTTTGGGTGGGGCATTCAAACATTCCCCCCTCCTACTTTACCAGGCCTCGGGGTCAGGTAGATATCTGCTGCTCGACTGTCTCATTCATTCCTGCTGGTGGCTGCTGTGGAACCTTTAGTGTTTTTGGTCATAATATTGTGTCTTGTGTTTGTTGCCATTCAAGTACACAATATTACACAGTGTCAGTGTCGTGTACGAACCCAAACGGAAACCCTGTGACATAATATTCATAGTATTTACTTATATACATAGTTTAATGTGATAGTATCACCAAGTGTTTTCTGGCAGGGATCTTTGGATTTGTTGAGTTTCTGTGTATATTTTTGTAGAGAAAAAAAAACTTAATTTTCAAACTAGTCATGTCATTTGGTTGGTATCCTTTTAACCACGTGTCTCCAGCTATTAAAAATCCTTTTTTATCCTTTATTATTCAGTTTCTTTTTACTAGAACTTTAAAGCAGTGTTTTTATGTTTGTTTTTGTGCTATCTGTCTATCTATCTTTGACAGGCAGTTAGAAAGATTAGGAAGTGAAAGTTATTTCCTCCTCCACAAAGACAAGATGCAAGTAGGGATAAGGGATGTGTTAACGTGTCATTTCAGTCAAAAACAAATCTATCTATCTATGAGCATATAACACACATAGTACTGTAGGGTTTAAAACTCATTACTTAATTTCATTGGGTAAAACTGTATAATAAACAACACTGTAGGCTCTTGACCCTAATATTTAAATTAGTTGGTAAATTTGCATTATGTCCTAATACAAAATCCTAATACTGGAGTTAGTGAAGTAGATTTACTTTATGTAATATTGTAGGGTCTTAAGCTTATATTGATCCTATTTCTCTGTTACAAAGCGTTTGTTCTGTGTTAAATGTGCCATATTATTAACTTTAACTTGACTAAAAGTATTATTATTAGACATGAATATTCCAGTGTGATATCGTGCTGTTATAATCTTGGGGCACTTCTTTCATCCTTCTTGGTGATATCTTATCATTTTATCTTGTTTATGTCCACAGTGATGACAGGATGTTAAGTCTCCATACGTGTGTATCTCGAACCATCTGCATCTCATGATCAACATCTATGCCACAGGTTTCACTTTTAAACTCTCAACAAAATCCCATCCTAAGGTAAGGTTTATGAACACAGCTAGTTAGACTCTACTGATATAGGGTAGGGGGGAAAACCCCCACAAAAAACAAGACAAATGCGCCAAAAACACCAAAAGCCTCCGTGTCTTCTTCACTCCCTTTCCAACTGCCCTGACCACGCCTAAACCCTTAGCACCCACCGCGGCCATGCTGTCTGTCAGTTCATTAAAAACACACATTAAAGTGAACTCACCTAAGTTCACCATGGTGCCTCGATGTCCCCTCAGATCATATTATTGCTGAAGTTGTATTAAAGTCATTATTAGCAGGGTTTTGACACCGTGCTGTTGTTGGCTCGTCGTCCTCCGCCGCCGCTGCTCACCTGCTGACAGACAGAAGCACCTGGGCGGAGGCTCCGCCCCCAACAGCGGCCCCTTGCGGTGGAAGGAGGAACAGCATCTGTCAACAGACGCAGCTCTACTCATGCCAGCTGCTCAAATGAGGACTCAGACTTCAGGATATGTAAAAAACAAATTCTATAATAGTCAGATGCTCCTCCCCCATTAATAATTCAGTGGCTTTTAGCTTCTCTAAATGCTCCTAGTATTTTATGTTTTTATTATTATTATTATTGTGGAAATTGATCTTACAAGTTGTTATCCTTTTTTCCCCCTCCCTGTTTTAGTATTTTGTGCTATTCTATTTTGTTTTGCTTATTGATCTTACAAGTTATATATCGCCTAGATTTTTCTTGAATTTTTGCATGTCCAGCACTTTTGTTACCTCAGGTTGTTTTTGCTATAAAAGTAATTTTGATTTGATTTATTAAAAACTTAAAAGGACAAAAAGGTAAAGAGCACACTGAGGCAAATTCAAAATCATACAGGAGTCTCGTGGTGTCACATTTTTAGGCGATAGTGTTTTAATTGCCTGAGAATACAGCCTGATCAAACGCTTCGCCGCCAAGCAGGAAGAGTTTATTACTGTACTGTTGGTAATTATTGATTAAAAATTATGATAAACGCTGCTGCAAGACTCCTAACTGGTATCCAAAAAAAAAAGAAATAAATCCCTACACTTGTACTCCCTGCACTGGCTACCTGTTAAATACAGAACTGATTGTAAGGTTTCCTATTTTGATTATAAAAACATACATGGGTCCAGCTTCAGATCGAGGCTGGTTGATAAGGAGGTCACGCCTTTTCAGTTCCAAAGCTCTGGAATAGTTTTCCTCTCTCAACCAAATGTTTCTCCTATAATGAGACTTTTAGAAAAAAATCCCAAAACGTACATGTTCCAATGACTTTTTGTCTCTCCAAGCGGTCTTAGTATTTTAATATTTTCTATTAATTTTCTTATAAAATTTGATTTTACAAGGTGTTGTCCTGTTTTGCCTTATTTTTTAGTATTTTATATTTGTTCATCTTTTTTATTTTTGACAAGTTGAAGTCTTCATCCTGTTTCCTGTCTTGCTTTTCTGCACATATTTTTGTTCCTGCTTGTCTTATAACACGTACAGTCAGCTCTGATTATTTTCAAACATGTTGTAAATTAACTTGATTAGCTCTGCCTGGGATTTTGACTTTATGTATTGGTCCCTAGGTATTTTGTTGTGATGAATGAAGAATTATCCCTCCTTATCACAGATGGAGAAGCTATTATGATAATTTATTTATTTATGTGAGCCTCACATGTTTAGGCCTATAGATACCTTAGCACTTAGGCTGGTGTATATACACTTTTAATGATAATCCAAATTATGCTTTGTAATCAAAATTACTGTTATACATGCAATTAATTGATAAAAGTAACTGTGGTTTTGTAATTGTACACTTTACCCTCTCTATACATGCTCCTCTGTAGGTATTTGTGCCATTTGTCTTTCTTTCTGTTATTTTTTTGGCCAATATTTTCATATAGTCTTATTTTCTAAATGTAATGATTTAATGTATATATTTTATTTAGCTCTCTAAGGAAGGAGGAGGAAAATTATAACACAAATAAAACTACTTTTAAATGAAAACATTAATTATACACACAGTTTCCTTTTTAAAGATGTTTCTAATGATAATGTAAGAAAGTCACACCAAATGTAAAGCTGGCTTGGGCATATGTAGGCAACACAATTCAGACGTTTCATCATCAGCAACACAGTTCAAGTGACTAATGCTGCTTCTGCTGCCGCCAGGGTTGAACATGGACCTGAAGTCAGGAATAAAATGAACAAAACACACAATTTTCTTTGTATCTTTAAATCACAAATGCTTCAGCAAAAGACACAAAAATATGACTGGTTTCACAATCTGGATGCAGGATAGTAGCCTGTCAGCCTCATTAGCCTGATTGCCAACACATGCCTCTCCTGCCACACAGCTTCTTATTGACACACTTGGAGCAGGAGCGTAATCAGAGTTGTTGGTCCAGCGTGAGGTTCACGATGGGGACAATACAGATATTCCTTTGCATGCTTCTTGGACATTTTGTTTCTGCCCAGTCTGGTATAAAATATCAAGATGCCACATTTTCCCAGGATTTTTCAGGATTTTTCGAGAACATGATACCTTTTCCATTTGAAAGAAATTTTGATTTTCCTCCCTACGACAGCTTCTTCAGCTCCTGGCGAACCTGGACCCCTGACTTTCAGATGCTGTCTGGATTCCCTCCCTTCATGAAAGCTCCCAGAGTACAGGTGTTTTGTGATGAATCGAGTCTGACTGTGCTGGTTGATAAGGCAGCCAATGGTTTCAAATTGACTGGAGAGGAAATACAGCTGGGCGATGGCTGCTATAGCAACAGAGAGCTGCCACACCAATTTGCCTTCATTTACGGTTTTGATCAGTGTGGAACTACACAGGTGGTGAGTGCACCAAACTCTTGATTCTTATTTCATTTTGTTTTTTAAAATTTTTTCTGACATCATGCTGCCTTACAGATGCAGAATGGTTTGGAGATGTTCAGCAACTCTCTGCACTTAAACTTAAAGAAAACATTTCCCTCCTGGTGGCAAATTCCCTCCACAATCTACGTCTCCTGCATCCCAACAAGGTGCGTCCCCTTTATTACAAAAACATCTACAGCCTCATCACTAATCATACTAAAAGCTAAGGCGTGTCTTTTCAGGTCATATGGTGAGCCGAACGCTCTCGTCCCGACACCTCGTGTGATTGAGAAGAGCTTTAGCATGAAAGCCATGACTCGTGAGTAAAGCCACAAGTCAACAAGATGCTGCTTGGCTGGATGTTTTCATGTGCTGACACTGCTGTTTTTCCTGCAGAATCCTGGACCAGCACAGCGAAGTCAAACATCTATAAAAGAGGCCAGGTTGTCAACCTCCAAGTTTCTGCCGAAATGAGGCCAGATCACCAGCTTTTCGTCCAGTCTTGCTTTGTCTCTGCATCCCCTGAGCCCCAGACAAGACCCAGGCATGCAGTCATACTGAACAAAGGGTGAGCGATCAGTCGGGTATTGATCTTCACTGTTCTGTTTACTTTTCTAATCACCTGATATATTACCTCTCTGCCAGGTGCGCTTCCCCTTTGGGTTCCCCCCATGCTGTCGTACAATTCGTGGCCTCCAACAGAGCGGATGTGGTTAATTTTGTTCTGAACACATCTCATCTTATTTCTGAGGTTAGTTTTTAGAGACTGGTTTCACTGACAGGCTTCTGCTGTTTAACTCTGACCCTGAAATCTCTTCTCCTCTGTAGCTGTATATCCACTGCAGTGTGCTGGTGTCGGACCAGGGCGTCACCTCTGGCTCTAAATCCTGCAGCTACAACGTGATCCAATCGAGGTATTTGCATACACATAACTTGCACGTGCGTTTGTAATATAAATACTGAGTAATACTGAGGCTTTATTTTCAGATGGGAGGAACTAAGTGGTGATGTAGCGGTGTGCAATTGCTGTAAATCCAAGTGTAAAGGCTTGTCAGTCAACAACCTTCCTAATGGTAAAAAAAACAACAACACAGAAATGTACTCTTTAATCTCTCCCAGTGACTCATTGAGTTTGTCATTTCAGGTGCCAAGGCTATAGTCAGCACTGGTCCCTTAGTCATTGTGGATAAAGGCAGTAACAAAAGTCCTGCACTTCCAGTCTCTAAACCACAAGAAACCTCCAGCGCCCCTGTACCCAACACCAAGCGGTCCTATGTTCCTGATCTTACTGAAGATGTAATTGCTGCTGGTAGTTCTGTATCTAGAAGCTTCCCACAGGGTGTCGTGGTTGTGAGTCAGGACCCAGCGTCCAGGCTGACGCTCTGGCTACCTGGAGAGCTGCAGAACAATGAATACGATCCCGGTTCCCAGTCTGTAGAAGGTCTGACAGTTGAGCTGCATCCGAGCGCCGACATATCTGACGACCCTGACCTTCAGCCGACAACCACGGATCGAGAATCTAACCTGAATCCATCCTCAAACGAGATCGAAGGTCAAAGTTTAAACGAAGCTTCCGTGTCAGGTCTGAATTTACTTACGATGGTTGATGGATGGCCAATTCCTCCACAGCTAGACAAGGCAGTCGTTGCAGAGGAATTGCGAAGGAAAAAAAGGCTCGGAGGATCTGAGAAGTTTGGCTCGAAAGCAGTGGACTTGTCTCTGCCAGCTGAGATTAGCGTAAATTACCTTATGTTGGTTGAAAAGCCCAATGTAGCAGACGCGGACAACATGGCCATTGCAGAGGAGTCTCAGAGGAAAAGATGGTTTCCAGCTGGAACTGACATAAATGATCTTAACCAAATGAGAGACGAGCTGGCTGAAATGCAGAGGGATGCAGCTGTGATGACCGAAGAAGGAACATATGATGACCAACCAATAATTCGCTCAAAACTCGAGTTCTTCAAAGGTACAGATGGGTCGCAGTTGCTCAGTTATGAGGAAGAAGTGAAGCAAACAAAAGAGGGGAAAAGTGTAGCTGGAAGATTTGGGCGGGATGGGACCAAAAGAAAACAGAAATATGGACTGAAAGGGATGCTCTCAACTTTCCTGGATTTGCTGAGGTATACAAACTTTTATTTTTCCATTGTTTCCAGTCAATTAACATCAAAATAATCTATGTATGTGAACTAATGTAATTTCTCACTCAACAGGAGGATGGACAAAGCAGAATAACTGCAGCTTTCTTTATAAGGCTATCTCATAGTGAGACTTTAATTTAATAAAGTTACTGAATTATCTAACTGTTGGTTTATTTTAACATTTGAATGATATTTACTAGTTTTCCCAAGAAGCAAGGAAGAGAAGGTCATACTTGAATTGTGTTTTTGTTGTTTGTTTTTTTTAAACATCCCTTACTGTACTTCTGGTATATCGCTGACAGCTTCAGAATAGTTTCATCATATTTATAAAATGGGAAGTTCTATGAATTTATTTTCTTTTAGGTGTGCCACAGGGGTCGGCTTTGGAGCCAATTTCATGGTCTTCAGATGATTCCACTTGTGCACGTTATTCACAAATACTTTGTATCTTTTATTTATTATAAACACTCAGATGTACCTGCTAGTTAGCTCCTCAAAGCTTGGTATGCCAAGGTCTCCATGTCTGTTGTTCTGATTATATGAAAGTGGACGTCATAACTTGGATGAAAAGGATCGGTTGCAGTGGCTCTGGGTCGCAGTGCATGACAAAACCTATTGTGACATCCAATGAATCTTAATGTCTGGTTTCATAATAATTTATATTTTGAACGTCACAGCACAAAGCTTGTGAAAACATGTTTTAATCATCTTATATATAAATGTATATATTTTTAAAAGATTGTCTTAACAAGACAGTGACCACAGACTTTTTACCTGCCTGAACCTACAACCTTTTCAACTTCAGACTGTACAGAAATCGGCTGCCAGAACCAAGTAAAATGACCACATCACTCCTGTTTTAGCCGCTTTACTCTGGTTCCCAGTATGTTTTAGGATAGATTTTACCAGTTGCTTTAAACCCCCTTAATGGCACCTGTCCTGTTATATTTCTGACCTTTTAGTATTCTCATGTATAGTCTATCCAAAGGAAATCAGGCTGTCTGAGATCTAAAAAAAAAGGAAGAAGTTTGGACTCAAAAACACTGTATTCAGTAGTTCGAATCAATGTTTTTGAATGACTCTGTTTTATGAAATTATGCTCAACAATTTGATTTGGGAGCCAGAAGCATTTTTGGGAGTTAGCTTTTTTGTTTGTTTTTCCCAAATCAAAGACTTTAATACTTGGTAGCATAAACACAAGCTTTTAAGTGGATTACTTTTTTCTTTTCTTTTTTTTTTTTTTTTTAAAAAAAAGCTTGTTCCAACTTGTATTTCCATTTTATTTTAAAATGAACATTTAAGCGCTGCATACTTAATATAATTAGGAACACAAGGTTTAAAGTTTGTAATTAAAAACAAAAAAAAAAGTTGCTCCAGTAAAGAAAAATGAAGGCAAACAGATAATTCAATGAACTTACCTCAACTTGATCTTACTTTAAAATCAACTAATGCAAATTTTCTAGCTTAAATTATGTAAATCTCTTCATCATACATCTCTTTAAACATTTATCTGAACCTTTCCTGATTGTACTTGAGTTTTAATTGCTTTTGAACTATTTTATTTCTCATATTTTTTTAACCACATCTAGCACAGTTTTAATACAGGTTGTGTTTTAATGTCTTTAAATCAGATTTTTTTTCCAGTTTTGCTGCCTTGTGAAGCACTTTCCAACCTGGATTTAGATTTTTTTTTGCTGCATAAATAAAGGTTATCAATATTATTTTGGAGCCTAAAGAAAATCCCTGTGCACAGTGTGGTTTCCCAGCCTCCTGTATTCCCACCCAGATGTCGCTGTGGGGAGCTGGGCTGTGTAGTTGGGACAGCTCAGTGTGCGCTCTCCCTTTTACACCGCATGCTCGCTGTGTTTTTTTTTCTCGCCCAGGTTTGACCCTGGCCACTATTTCCTCCGCACCGCCACTCGACGCTATAAAGTGCCCATGCTTTCCTCACGCAGTCTCTTTCCCCGGCCACAAAACAACCGTGAGTGTCTAACTCACCGTTCTTGAAAAACTTAAAATAAAAATAATATAAAAAATATAAAATCTACAAAATCTTCATAAAAACAAAGCACAGCAATACTTTAAAAAGAAATACAAAAAAAAAAAAAAAAAATAGCAAAAAAAATTTAATTTTTTAAAAAACACAAACAGAAGGCCTCGGGCTTAACCCGAAGTTGTCGTCTCTGAAGGAAGAAATACTTGACATCGATCTTCAGCGTGATTATTATTTTTTTCAGGTTTTTTTTTTCTTGCCCCCCCACCAACAAAGCTGGACCTCAGAGCCAGCTGTCTTTATTAGCGCAGTTTGGACCCGGATTACACTTCATATCGGCTGTTTTTATTTTTTAATACTTTTCTGAGGGGAAGCTTTGCGTTTATTTATTCTGTGAAGTCCGAGATATGAACACAGCGACGGGGAGTTATCCGATGGCTTCTCTCTACGTTGGCGACCTGCACCCAGACATCACGGAGGCTATGCTGTACGAGAAATTCAGCCCCGCCGGACCGGTGCTCTCCATTCGGGTCTGCAGAGACATGATCACCCGGCGCTCCCTCGGATACGCTTATGTGAACTTCTCCCAGCCCGCTGACGGTAAGACACGAGTGGACTCCGTGCAAGGCTGAGCAATGTTAGCACTTAAAGAGCCACAAAGCGTGCATCTCTGCAAGTTGCCAATGTCATCATATGCTTTCAATGTCAGCCCTTACACTGTCTATAGAACAAGGTGCACAGATTCATGACTGATGGAGTGGTATGCTGTGTTTTTTTTTTTTTTGCACTGGCAGCTCTTCAGACTGGTTTGAGCAGTCATTTGACCTACATAAGAATGTCCCAGTTCTTGTTAATATATGTCTCTAACATAGTCAAAGCCCTCAGCAGTTAACATGCATAAACTGCTCTTTAAAGTTGGCATAATTGTCATTTTATTGGCATTATTATAGCACCGGATTTGGGAATATGAAGCCCTTTTCCGCATCTTAAACCCAAAATGACCCATTTCTGCTCCTATTTTAAGGGCCAATGAGTGTAAGAATTCCCACTGCCCTCTGCTGCCATATTCACTGAAAGCAAGAAAAGGGACAAGCACAGCTGAACCCCTGAACATGCCAGTGATCGTGGATTCTTGTTTCTACTGGGATTCAACGCAGCTTGGGATCACTTTATTGGTTACTGGACCACATCAGCGACTTGTCGATCATCTATCACGATGTGCAAAAGTGCATATCCGTGCAAACATACCTACAAATGCATCAGCAATGTTGTTTAGGGGTCTTTGTTATAAGCGGCTTCCATTTACACTCGGCGGTATCAAAGCCTTGAGGAAAGGCAGCAGGTGTTGTGGTCGCCTTTTAGGGCCTCTGGTGACAATGTTTACATTGTGTGAACTTTTCTTCCTGCCGTATCAACAGAAAACACCTGCCACAACTTATCTGAGCTCCAGTCAAAAGCCCAACGTAACGATAGGTTACGACTGGATGGCTTCCTGGGAGGTACACTCGTTGGCTTCTGAGTGTGAGAAGATCCACAAGTGAAGTGAGAAGACACCATTTGTTACTGGATGTGTAGACGTCGGGGGGGGATGGTAGCTGTGGGGTGTTTAAATGGAGTTCTAACACGTGTCTGTGGGGCAACAGACTGCTGCTTGAACAATACAGATAGTAGTGGAAATGACACCAGAGCAGAGCTGTGAGCGGATAGTACGGCAGGTTTCATGCGGTCGGGGTTGTTATCCATCCCTGTTGGATTTCTTCACGTCACGGTCGTGTGTGTAAACACTCACGAGACCCGGTGTTGCTCATCTGAGCATTCTTGTTGAATGTGTCTCTTCCCCATCAATGGTAGAGAATGCTCTACTCACACTCCATGCCAGCACATACCTCTCAGGACCCCTCTCTAAATATAGAACTTCCCTCTGAGCAGCCCAAAATTTGCCTGCTTCGTTAAATGACAAATGATTAACAATAACAGGTATTTCAAGACTGTTAACAGTTTACAGCGCTGACTATTTCATTACTGTGCCGTCCTAAATGACTGAATTACCACATATATTACAGAGATCACTTCTAAATGAAGATTTCCGCTCTGAACCTTCCAGAAGTCCACATATTTGACAGCGGTCACACACCTTCTCTGAGCACACGGGTTGTGAAGTACAATTGCGAGCCAAACTGCTGATGCCAGCAGACGCAAGGCAGCTCCGTTTTGTTTACCAGACACTTTTAGCTGGAAAGCCCGGCCTGTGTGTGAGTGAGTGTGTGTGTCGGTTACTGTGGAGTGACCGAACAAAAGGATGTTTGGCACGTGTGCCCACATTGAGAGTTAAAGCAATAGCCGGAGAGAAAAATGGTATAGGTGGATTCAACTGGGCTGACCGAGCACGGAATCATTTGAGCGCATGCAAAGTAAAGTTCCCTGCGGTTTTATTACTCCTTAACTCAACCATTTCAAAGTATATTCTGAAAATGTTTATGCGAGGGCCTGCTGTCCTGCTACTGCAACTGGCCTTGGTGGCCCAGCAGCATGTGGTCAGTCAAAAAAGGGGGAACATGTGCTCCCGACTTGCCCACTGCAGCTGCCCCCCAACACTTGTCCCAGCTGCTCGCAGACAGCTCATCAGCCACATGCTCTACTGCAGTATCTTAACAGTGTTACACGTGCTTTGTTAATGGCCTGGCGGCAGGGATTCTCCATTGTGGCACACGCTGCATAGGAGGACAAACGGTTTTATTTCAATCAACTGTAGCTCCATGCTGCTTCTCTGTTATTAATGCAGTGCAGGTGTTGTTGCTGTACGAGCTGCGTTAGAATCACTGTTGCACCGACAGTACAGAGAACACTGTACGTGACGGAGGCACCGCACATACTGGTGGCTGATATGTTTTCAGACATGAGGCGCCGTGTAAACAACCACCTGTGACCTTTCCCTCCACCTCTGCGTTCCTCCCCCCTACAGCCGAGAGAGCCCTGGACACCATGAACTTTGACGTGGTCAAAGGGAAGCCAATCAGAATCATGTGGTCCCAAAGAGACCCCTCCCTCAGGAAGTCGGGTGTAGGCAACGTGTTCATCAAGAACCTGGACAAGTCCATTGACAACAAAGCCCTCTATGACACCTTCTCTGCCTTCGGTAACATCCTCTCCTGCAAGGTACAGTTGTCAGTCATGGCCAGGGATTGTGAATACTGTTTAAATGTGGAACTTTTACACCTAAAACCTCCTTGCATACTGTACACCTTTTCTCATCATATTTTAAACTTAAGAAGCTTGTCATTGCATCTACAGGAAGTCAAATATTGGTTAGATTTTTCTTTTAAAAACAACGCATGCACACTGCTGTTTATCTCACTTTCTGTAGTATGCAATAAGTATACCCACAAATAACCCCCAATATGTCCCTTTTACACTTGGTTTTTATATGAATTAAATAAATGACAATCCTGTAAGTAATCCAGTGCCCATTAGTATCTGTTTGACTCTCCAACATAGGAACATACAATACAGCTGTGGTTACTCACACTCTCTATCCACCTCCCTACACTGGTATTTTATTTATTCATTTGCAAAAACACATAATAAGCAAAGTTAAAGATATATATTTTTAAAGATATCATAATATTATCTTGAATTATTTTCCTCTGGATAATTGTGTAGTGAGAATCTGATATTGCGATGGCCCTAAATGTGGTAGAACATGACAATTTTGACAGAGTCGGGCATGTTTTCCCTTCTATTTCCACCCTTTATGCTAAGCTAGGCTAACTGGCTGCTGTCTGTAGCTTTATATTTAGCGGACTGATACAAAAGTTGTATCCATCATCTTATCTCACTCTCATAAAAAGCGAATCAACACATTTCACCAAACTGCTGCACTCAGTTCAGGAACTGCTTACATTTATAGATATATCTTAAACTCTCGTAGGTGGTGTGTGATGAAAACGGCTCCAAGGGCTACGCCTTCGTCCATTTCGAGACCCAGGACGCAGCTGATCGCGCCATCGAGAAGATGAACGGCATGCTTCTGAATGACCGCAAGGTGTGAGTGTCTCATCGTCTTTGAACTGGACATGCGGTGTTTATTGCTGTTAGTGTTTTTTCGGAGGACTTTTGAAGGGTTTTTTTCTGAACTTTAAACTGACTTTGACACTGTATGGAAGCTATCAGGCGTAGAAGCTGCAGTACAATAATAATAGCGTATGTGCATCAAATGGTGATGTATTTAATGCCTAATGTATAAACCTGACTTGACTGTTTTGACATTTGTGTTGAGTGAACTGACTTCTCGTGTCTTTTTTCAGTTGGTGAGTTTGTGTGTGAATAATATGACTAATACGCTCATCTCCTACTACTGCCAGTCTGAAGACAACCTCTAAACTCAGAGATAACAAACTAAAACCTCCTTACACTCTCTTTCCTACCAGACGCCTTTTTCTGTTGCCTCATTTGCCCACTCGCTGGTCACCCATCTTAGAGTGTTTGTGTGTGTGTGTATGACCAAGCTTGTGTGTTTTAGTGATGGATCGAATGCAGGAATGCAATACTGGATGGCGGAAGGGGAGAGGTCATCGTAGCAAGGTATATAAGATCATTTGGTCCTCCTCAGCTTTCCTTTGTACTGTGAGACTCTGTTCCACCCATCCCTCTCCATCCACCTCCTCATCAAGTTTTGGACCAAGAATTAAGATGGTTGTCACTGTGTTGTCTAGCATGCCAACATATCTGCCTGCCTTTGGTGATGTTAACAGCAGTTGGATGTTTTATTTTAATCATTGGTTACCCCAAGGAATGATGATGATGATGATGACATGTAGCTGTGAACTTGTCTTGTGGATGTTGTCCTTGTTTTTGTGCTTGCGGGGTCAGGTTTTTGCGGAACGTTCTTTACCTGGAAACCCGGATTACCAGTGTTTTTAAGATCGGGAAAAAGGAAGTCAAAAGAGATGGAGCCTGGTTTGCTTTCTCAGCTTTGCCAAGACTGTTTTACAAGAGTGTGTTTCGATGCTCTCCCTCCAATCTTCAGGTTTGTGGGTCGTTTCAAATCTCGCAAAGAACGGGAGGCTGAACTCGGCGCCAAAGCCAAGGAGTTCACCAACGTCTACATCAAGAACTTTGGGGATGACATGGATGACGATCGGCTGAAGGAGCTTTTCGACAAATACGGTAAACTAAAGCTATGCTTCCAGGTGTTATTTCCAAATCCTGGTGTTGTCAAGTTCTGCCATCTTATATTCACTTTCTTGGCCTTTGCAGGTAAAACACTCAGTGTGAAAGTGATGACAGATCCCACCGGCAAATCCAGAGGCTTTGGATTTGTTAGTTATGAGAAACACGAGGATGCTAACAAGGTACTTTGGACTTTTGGAAAAGTGCCAAGTGTATCTTTATCTGTTAGAAATGTTCTCTGATAACTATGGTTTCATCCAAAGGCTGTAGAGGACATGAATGGCACCGAACTCAATGGCAAGACAGTGTTTGTGGGCAGAGCTCAGAAGAAAATGGAGCGGCAGGCGGAGCTGAAGAGGAAATTCGAGCTGCTGAAGCAAGAGCGGATCAGTCGTTATCAGGTGTGCAGAAAATAGGTCCTCTTAATCCAAACAATCCCATATTTTAATTATATTTTTACTAAAGAATTTTCTATTTGTGATTGCTTTTTTGCGTCAGGGAGTTAATCTTTACATTAAAAACCTGGATGACACCATAGACGATGAGAAACTGCGTAAGGAGTTCTCTCCGTTCGGGTCCATCACAAGTGCTAAGGTGAGAGAAATCAGGTTTGATGGCTTAAATACACAATAAGAAAGTAAGACACTTCTCTGCGTTGTCAGCATGGCAACAGTATGTGTATGTTTGAAGATTCAATGTTTGTATATTTTAGGTGATGCTGGAGGAGGGCCGTTCCAAGGGCTTTGGCTTCGTCTGCTTCTCCTCACCTGAAGAGGCCACCAAGGCAGTGACTGAGATGAACGGCCGCATCGTTGGATCCAAACCCCTCTATGTGGCCCTCGCTCAGCGCAAAGAGGAGCGCAAAGCCCACCTCACCAACCAGTACATGCAGCGCATAGCAGGCATGAGGGCCATGCCAGCTAACGCCATCATCAATCAGTTCCAGCCCACCAGTGGCTACTTCATGCCAGCCGTGCCGCAGGTGTGAGAACCAAATTCAAAATTGTATTTTAAAGAGGCTCTAATCAGTATTTTATATTAAAAAGTAGATATGAAAGGAATCATTTGTAGTGACAAAACGACAGACTATTATCTCTTTATTCTACAGTTCCCTTCAGCATTGCAAAGCTTTTAAGCATGTTAGCTCATTATTTAGTTTAATGACTCTAAATTATACTGTCAGTCTGACAGGCAGGTTTCAGTTATTTTTTTTTTTTTAAAAGAAGCTTTAAAATCTTATGTAGACTACTATCTATTGCTGAACAAGGTTTCAATTTGAAATTGTAATTTGAAACAATGCAACTAGTGAATCACAAAGGCTACACATCAGGATATACAAAATATACTTCTATTAAATAATGCGACTAATGCTGCATTTCAGTTTTATTTAAGCTGAGCAGATTAAAACTTTCAGGGGTTGTTTATGCTCGTTGATCAATTTATTCTATGTGACTGAGGCTTTACATTGTGGTTTGACTGACATAAACCCAGTCTTAATATTTAACAGCCCCACCTCGTACACATGCAACACATCTGACCCAGAGTTAAACGGTCGTGTGAGTGGTTTAACAACTTCACGCCTTTGTCCTCGTGTGACAGTTGTGCCTTTGTGTGCCATGTAGTGATGCCCCATCACATGTTTTAAATCTATGACACATAATAATGAAGTGAAGCTTGACTTTAAAAAATGACATTGCAAATCACAACATCAACATTCATTAAAAACCTGCAATTAGATATTATTCCAAGATTTTTCTAGCTGACTACTAGCCATACATCAGAATGCAGACTGGCAACGTTATTGACAAGCGAGAGAACTCAGTGGATGATTTAGAAGATGAAGAATTAGATATTTCCTCTAGAAGTTGGTGGAGATCAAAAACAGAGCATAGAAGCAAGGAAATATTTAGTTTAAGTTTATCAGGTGGATACAACCAGGACTTACATTGAAAGTTAGTATTGTGGTGTGAATAACCAACTGTGTGTGAACAACTTTGTCAACTTAAAATGAGGATAATAAGTCAGTGTGCTCACAGGTTCCATTGCTTCCAAGAGGCCAAAAAATCCCTTTATAAAAGTTTAAAATTTGGCCTTCTAATGTTGTATATTATATGTATAATGTTTCCCAAATCTTCCAGGAGACGTTATGCAGAATTCTGGACTGCTAACAAAAACAGTTTCTATTTTGTTCAAGTCACATCTGCCCTTTCAGTGTGTTTTTTGTTTTTGCAATTAAATTATTTTGCTTTCTTGTGCCTATCAGGCCCAGAATAGGACTACGTACTATGCACCCAATCAGCTGGCCCAAATGCGTCCCAACCCACGGTGGCAGCAACAAGGTGGACGAGGTCAAGGTGAGCGTCAATATATTCTGTCTGTAATATAGTAAACCATTGTAATGATGGTGAAATGGCCAAAATGTTTACGTTGTTTTGATCTCTGCTTTCATCACTCCCAGGTGGTTTCCAAGGAATCCCCAGCTCGCTGCGTCAGCCAGGACCCCGAGCCAACCTGAGACACATGAGTCCTGGCAGTGGCCAGCAGGGCCCACGAGGTGCGCTAGCTAAAAACACATGAACATCATCAACTCCCTGCTTCTGGCTTTGAAATATTATTGATGCCGTGTAGAGATGGTTTTCTATACAGCATCCAGTAAATTCCACTATATTTTCCTCTTTGCTGCTAGCTGCTGGCCAGGCCATGGCTCCTCGTCCCTCCATGGGAGTCCCCGGCCCCCGGGCCATGCCTCCGTACAAATACGCCACTGGTGTCCGCAACCCCAACCCCCAGGTGGTGCAGCCTATTGCCTTACAGCAGGTATAACATTATCTTTCTGTCATAGTAAGCACCCAGATCTATAAATATATATAAATATAATACCGTGTCTTTTATCCGTCCCTTCCAGGCTCAGCCAGCTGTGCACGTTCAGGGCCAGGAGCCTCTCACAGCCTCCATGCTGGCTGCTGCACCGCCTCAGGAGCAGAAACAGATGCTGGGTAAGACTCCCATCCCACAAAGAATAGACTGTGATGCTGTATCATTTTCATTCGATTGATTTGTACTCTTTTTCTTTTAAAAAACAAAACAAAACAGGGGAGCGTCTGTTCCCACTGATTCAGGCCATGCATGCCAACTTGGCAGGAAAGATCACTGGCATGCTGCTGGAGATCGACAACTCTGAATTGCTCCACATGCTGGAGTCTCATGAATCCCTGCGTTCAAAGGTACTTTTAACCTCAACCTTTGCTATACATCCACACTGTCATATGTCATATACTCTGTTGTGCCATTACTCATGCCTGATGTTGTGTTCTCACAGGTAGAAGAAGCTGTTGCAGTGCTACAGGCCCACCAGGCAAAGAAAGACGCCACCCAGAAGGTGGGCAGCTTGACTACTACCACTGCTGCTGCCACATCCTGAAGACTGCGTGATATAATGACTTGGTATGATGATACACAACCAGTCAAGCTGTTCATACTATAACTAATATTGTGGTACTAATGAGAGGCCATTGTGTTGTTTCAGGGCACAGAAACGTGAGCCGAGATGGGGAGAGAAACACTACACTGACTCTAAAACATCAGAGTCACACAAAAACAAAAATCAAGAAAAAAATAGCAAATGTAATTTTAAAATATACTTGAATATTTTGAAAAAAAAAATTACAGTTCATAATTTTCTAGTTCTGTAATACTTTTAAACTGAATACCAAAAGCAATAATGCAAATAAATCCTGAATGAAGACCCTTCATTTTGCAGAAAAGGAAAGAAACCCTTTTTCTAAAAGGAACATGAGCCTTGTTCTTTATCTTTGCTTGAAAGCTTTATGTTTGATTTGAAATGATGGACTCCTCCATCCTATCATGTTATCATGGGTGTGTGGTATTGTCAATAAAGGGATGATATATCAAGGTTACCAGTGTTTTGTTACTTTAATGATACATGCAACTTATTTTGTTTGTAGATTAAAGGTTATATGTGTGTTTTGGACACTTTTATATCCCAAAGTGTGGCAAAGAAACAAGGTAAGGGGAAGAGTAGCATATTTTTTGCAGTGCTGATTATCACATATTTTGTTTGGCTAAAGGGTATTATTTAAGGTGTTGGATTCAGATAGATGGCTGATAAAACCAACACAAGAAATGGAAAAAATAAATAATTGCTTGCCTTTTTAAACTGCTTTTTTTTACACTGAAAATGACAGGAAATGAAGACGTCACCTGTATCAAGTGATCAGTTTGGGGTTTTGTCACTGAGCCTTTGCACGGAAACATCACATTAAAAACCATTGTCATACCTTAAAGGTCTTACTTTTTGCATGCTTTGATATCAAGCTTGAAAAAGTCAAAATTGCTAATTTTATCTGATTTTGTAAATACGTAATGTGCTGAAGTAAAAAAATCTACATTTTTTAAAGTTGTCTAAATAACAGTTTCTTGACGCTGGGAGCATTTGTTCCTCTTGCTGTTCTTTAATTAAATTCAAATAAAAGTGTTGCAGTCTGTGACTATCACTATGAAATCTGTTACACAAATGTGATTCTTCTTTCTTTTGTTTGGTTTTGAGTAGATTAACAAAAGCAGATATTATTTTTTCCTGGGCAGGAGAGAAAAGGGCAAATCAGTGGAGTTGGAACAGAGATTTAGGGCAAATTCCAGTTGTGCAGATAAAGGCGCAAACGCACAATAGTATGGATACACTGTCAACAAGGTGAACGACAAGAACTTCCTGATTACATTCTATCACTTTCGAGGGGGAGGTTCCTTCCGGTGTGGACAAAAGGTGAAATATTTGAAATAACTTCACCATAGCAGGAAAATCACAGGTGTGACCGATGACATAGATACTTTCATTATATTAACGTGCCTCAGTGAGTCACAAGTTCACTGCAGATAAGTTAGCAAGTCAAAGTGAGACAAGTAAATATTGAAAGTAGTGATGGCTGAATTCCATTTAGCTGCCGGTTCAGGGTCCTGACAATGTGGTTTACTGTCATGGTGTCATGATTTACTGGCACAAAGAACAACAGAGCTATTGCTAGTGATATCGTTTACATCTATGCCCAGTGACATCGTTAGGCCTGGGTATCCGAAGCTGTGAACAAATGTTTTATGAATTGCCCCGGATCTCTAAAACAACAATAATGAATAATGCTTTGTCATCAAACCCCTCCAAAAAACAAAAGACATCACATAAAAACACATTACACACCTGTGTTCTGGGTCATCTGTGAATCATTTAGGTATGAGGTCGACTTGACTCTTACTTGTCACTTTCATGTTTTGTGTGGGAATATCAGAGATAACACCAGTTAAAGGGTTCGTCACTGTTGGTGTCTGGTGGTAGGTGATTCAACTAAGGTAAGACTTTAAAACTATGGATAGTTTTGTCAAAAAGAAAGAGGTTGAAGGCAACGAGGTGCCGGTGATGCTAGAGGAGGTGGAAGTTTTAAATGTATTTTTTGTGTGTGTGTGCTTTAAGTCAGCAACACAGAAAACTTATTTGCTCTGATTATAGTTACTTCTCTTCACCAGCACCCGTATCTCTTTTTCTGGGCTATTTTAGGGTCAACTTACTATTAAATGACCCAATTATTTAAAGTTTCATTAAGCGTTTACAACCTAAGAGATGTAACATTGTCTCAGACCAGGTGGTGGGTGAAACTGGTGGCTCTGGTCTAACTGTGAAAACAGGTATTTTCAAGACACACTTTTGTGTGTGACTGTAGTTCTGTAAATCACCATAAACAAGACTAATTCCAAGACACACAGTTTAACATCGCTCACTGTGATGCTGAGTATAGAGGAAGTGGGATGACCTTACTCTGTCTATAGCACAGTTCTTCACATTTTATTTTAATTTTACTTCGAAATAAGTTGTAAATGGTGCAATTATCAGGTTAGAATCCAAAGATTTCAGGGCTGACTCCCAGTGTTTCAGCATCCACACAACACATCTGCCTACACAGTGTTCTAGATCCAATATTGATGCATCAGTGCATCATCTTGTCCAAATACTAACCCAGTACTGACATGCTGCTGAAAAACTGTTTGTTCTGACATATGAATCATTTAACACAGACGTATTATGCACACTTTATAAATGTTGAGAGCATAGCCTGTGTGTGGCGGCGCTGAGGAGGCCGACAGGGGGCGCTGTGACGCAGCAGCAGGGGGCGGGGCCGCAGCTCCTCTCCACCAATCACAGCTCGCCGAGGTCATAGTTGAAGGGTTAACTCCAACATGGCGGCCAACAAACGAGTGCTGTATGTCGGTGAGTTACTTTATTTTCTACTAAAGTACGTTAAACTCATGCTATTTAAGTATATCTAACAAATGTGCTCAGTACACTGCTGTAAAGTAATAAAAGCAGACGCTCCAAAACAAGAATTAAGTGCATGTAGCGAATACGAAGAACATATTGGAGGGAGAATTAACCGGCAAACTATGTACACGTCAAACATCGACTGTTTAAAGCTAACCTCTTTGCTAGACCCCTTTTCTAAACTGTGTCATGCAGTGCTGTGTGATAGACTTAAATGAATTTAGATAAAACAGCTAATAATTTTTAAAGCTCCAACTTCCGAGTTGTTGCTGTGTCTTGAACGCAGCACGTAAACATGCTTCGTTATCCTCTGAAACACGTACAGCGTGTTTACGTGTCAACAATAAAGCTTTCAGTTTCAGTGTGTTTGCTCACTGTCAGCTCCGTGTGTTTGTGTCAGGTGGCCTGGCAGAAGAGGTGGATGAGAAGGTGCTGCATGCAGCTTTCATTCCGTTTGGAGACATCACAGACATCCAGATACCGCTGGACTATGAAACAGGTGAGAGCAGCCAGTGGTGGAAAGTAACTAAGTACATTTACTCAAGTGTGGTACTTTTCAGAGATGTGTTACTTGAGTTATTCCAGTTTGTGCTGCTGCATGATTCTGCTCACCTACATTTTGGAGGGAAATATCCAACATATTCTACATTATATGTGTGTTTGTATCGCACCACATTTTTAAAAAGCTTTCGTTCTGTTTTGGATGAAGATCTTCCCCAATGCATAATATCCACATATCAACTATACCCACTTTATCCTGTAGAGGGTTGCAGGACGCTGGAGTTTATCCCAGCTGACAGTCAGTGAGAAGCAGGGTACAGTCTGAAGAGGTCACCAATCCATCACAGGGATAACACAAACAGACAGATAATCACGCACACTCAGGCAGGTTAGAATGCACGTCTACCAGGCTTGTCTTTGGACTGTGAGTGTGCTTGTTTATGTGTCTGTTTGTGTTAGCCCTGTGATGGACTGGTAACCTGTTCAAACTGTACTCTGTGCTGCCCTGTGATGGACTGATAATCAAGCACACTCAAAGTCACAGCCGAATTGGAATGCATGTCTACCGGACATGTCTTTGCACTGTGAGAGGAGCCACTCGCAGAAAATCCACACAGGCACAGAGAGCGCATGCAGACTGCACTCAGAAAGATGTCCGCTGACCACCAGGTTCAAACCCAGAACCTTTTTTCTTCAAGGCTAACCACTGCACAACGATAGACAATATAACTTACTTTTAAAATAAAACATGTAGTTCAGCATAGAACCACAAATTATCTACCGTTTGACCCTCTGATTTCCCAAACAAAAACAGTGTGTTGTTGTGGTTACAACTTGATTGCAGTTATTGGCTCAAAGGGTTGTTCAACAAAATATTAACTTATGGTTCCCATCCTGCTTGTTTTTTTGTTTGTTTTTATATTTCTGTTGAACCACAATTTAAAAGCGATGCCATGATTTTCATTACATTTTTATTCATTTTTACTTTGGCAATTTCAACTTATTTTAGTGGCAGCTGTTTTATTCCTTTTTTAATGGGAGGGTATGAATACATTTGAGGACGACTGTATATTCAAAATCAAAGGTCAGAGAAAAACACTGGATTAGAACTTATTTTTTTCTTCTTTCCTCTACCATAGATCACCTGACCACTTACCTGCCATCCCTGTATATGCAACCTTATACAAAGTATTTTAAAGTATCTAAACCTGCAGCAGCTACAACAGTAATGTGCTGCTGACACACGGATGCTTCACTGATCTAAGTGGTGGAAAAAGTATTACATAGAAAATACATCACAGGGACTTCAACTAAATTTTTTTTAGTACTTTTACATGTCTTGGAGCATTTCTTTATTGGTACCTTAACTTTAGTTAAGGATCTTTTTACTTTTTCCACCACTTAGATCAAGTGTTTTGCTGTTAATGGAGACACCGCTGCAGGTGTTCTCATTACGTTCTACACTGCGGGTAACCTAAATGTTAAAGTCTTTTGTGTCTTGTTTTCAATTTTCAGAAAAGCACAGAGGATTTGCATTCATTGAATTTGAGCTGGCGGAGGTATGTCCACGTTTCACTGCTGCACAACTTTCTATATGCCCTTCAATACTGTGATCTGAACACATACATGACAGTATTCTGAATGAACTGACACCAACACAGCACATTATAATTGCTTTAATCTGAATGAATGAAAACGTTTGTAGTCTAAGTGCATTTTGCAACACAGAGTAGGACTAATGCTTTCTGAAAAGGCTTGTTATGTGCAACCATGGAAAAAAAAGAATGCACTTAGCCTTAGCCTTAGAAGAAACACTGGTTAGCATAGCAATGACGGATGCTGTGTAATTTAAAATATGGTTTATGGGAGCTTGGTGAATTCAGTGTAAACATTTGATTGTTGTTTAATAGTAAATATTACTGTAAATATTGTTGTATTTATAATCTATTTATGACTTTTTTTCAGGATGCTGCAGCAGCTATCGATAACATGGTAAGCGACTCACATCACTGCCATTCCAGTAAAGTCTATTCCTGTTTCTGACCTAGTTTTATTGAATTTATCCTAATTTTACAATGAATCGTTTCCTATTTGAAATGTAATGCTGTTTGTTTTTGTTTTTTTTCAATACTAGAATGAGTCGGAACTTTTTGGACGGACTATCCGCGTCAATATCGCCAAGCCCATGAGAATCAAAGAAGGTTCCTCCCGACCAGGTGACTTTCCAAAAACCTGCTCATAAATGGCTCTACCTCCACTCCTTTGTTACAGTCCATAGTTCTGACTTAAAGTCTGTGTTTCTCTCAGTGTGGTCGGACGATGACTGGCTGAAGAAGTTCTCTGGGAAGACGGCGGAGGAAGCTGAGGGAGAGGCAGCGACGGGAGAAACGACCAACACTGCAACACAAGAAGTGAGATGGCTTTCTTTCTCAATGTGTTGTTGTTGGGTGTTTACTGTATATACATTGAGGTCCTATATGGTTTGTTTTTGCAGGCTGAGCCCCCAGCAAAAAAAGGCAGAGTAAACCCACAGGTCTACATGGACATCAAGATAGGCAACAAGCCAGCAGGAAGACTGCGCTTCCTCCTCCGGGCTGATATTGTTCCCATGACTGCAGGTCTGTATATACATGCACAATGCAAGAATATGGAAAATTCACTGAATTGATCTCAACACGTGTAAGAAAGGAACTACAAGTGGCTAATTAAACAAAAACCTTTTACAAGTACGAAAAGATCTATCTTTTCTTTCACTTTGAATAGAGAACTTCCGCTGCTTGTGCACGCATGAAAAGGGCTTTGGCTTCAAGGGCAGCAGCTTCCACCGCATCATCCCTCAGTTCATGTGCCAAGGAGGCGACTTCACCAACCACAACGGCACCGGCGGCAAGTCCATCTACGGCCGCAAGTTTGATGATGAAAACTTTGTCCTCAAACACACCGCTCCAGGTGAGTTTTGGGAGCTGTCAGAGTGTTTGCTGAAGTCTGAGAATGAGGTTCCTGGTGTGTGTTTACTAGCAGATCCTGTTGGTAACTGGCTGTTTCTTGTCTTGTGCACACAGGGCAGCTCTCCATGGCCAACTCCGGGTCGAATACGAACGGCTCTCAGTTCTTCATCACTACTGACAAAACAGACTGGTTGGATGGCAAACATGTGGTGTTTGGAGAGCTGGTGGAGGGGATGGATGTGCTCCGAGCAATGGAGGTAAGGGCTGAAGTTGCAATATGATGTCCTATTTCATGAAATTGTGGGTTTTTAAGTAATAATAATGCTCTTAATAACCCACTGCAGTTGTTACCCAATGTGTTCTTTCGCCTGTAAATTAAAAAAAACTTTATAGGATCAAGCGAAAACTGAACTGTCCATACAGGGGAAAAATAAAAAACAATCATGCTGTTTAAAAATAATTCTAGATCATAATTCTACACATAAACATGGGATTGAAAAATAGTCGGCCGTATTATAAGAATAGCTTTTAGACTTTCAGGATAATCGGGCTGCATTTTGCCATGGCAAATAGTTTCCTTGTCATTTAAATCTGTTTTCTTTCTGCAGGCGCAGGGATCAAAAGACGGCAAGCCGAAACAGAAAGTGATCATCTCAGACTGTGGAGAATACGTGTGAATAAAAAAAGAAAGTGTGTGTTTGTTTTGTATGTGTGTATGAGGGCAGAGTGTGTTCATGGTCTTTAGTACTTTGAAGCAACATCTTCTGCCATGTAAATATTTCAATAAACACTTTTTTTTTTATAAAGAAAGCATAACTCGATGTATGTTTATTGTTTTTTTAAAAGCAAATATTGTCAAACTAATCTCCATGGTCCAGCTTGTTTAAAAACCCGAATGATCCTGATTTGTAAATCCCATGTTTTGATACCCAGGATCAGGTAATCCAGCTTAATCTTGTGCTGTTTGTTCAAATACCAGATTGGACTCATCATCCCGATCCAGACACAAACATGTCAAGATAGCTACATTTGGTCACCTGTGCCTGGAAATAGAACCACATATCACAATGTAGGATGCTAACTGTGTAAAGAACAGAACAGCCAGCTTGGGGTCACTTCACCTGTTTTTATTTAAAGAGGCAGAAAACCACAACAACACAAACATTCCCTTTAATTTTCAAGAAATAAATACAGACTAATATACACCATTCACAAACATATTGTAGATATTTTGAACATGTTTTCTGAAGCATAACAAGGATATACGTCCTTGTATGTTAACAAAATAAAGACTGTAATAAAGAGGTGTTTGTGGGGAAGTCCACACAATGACACAATCATGTCTAACACAATAGTCTGATGATTGTGTCACATCTTTTGTATATACTCTATGCTGTATCATTGTACTTAATACATTGATGGATGACAGTTAAATATATCAAATTATTTTTGCTTGGCATGGAGAACTGTTTGGGGGACTATTTTTATAGGGACAAAATGACATATTTTAAAAATGTATATATGGACTTTACTGAAAGGCTTCATAGGCTTCTTACTGTCTACCACATCTCTATCATGGCAATGGTTAAACAAGTGCAATATATCGATAAGTGTACACACTATACATGATCATAATGTTGTATTATTTATCCAGTTTTAAAATGACACTACATTTTGTTTTTTAAATCCACCCTGAATCCACCTTGATGCTGGGATCAGGACAAACCTGATTGTTTTGCACCACAGGTACTGAAATCCTACAAAACCGTTTTGAACAACACACACTGAAATCAGATTAAATTATCCAGTCATGATTTTGACCTGGATCAAACCTTCAATTTTTTTTCTAGAAAACATCCCATTCTCAAGATTTGATGCAATCTGAATCTACTCAGAATACCGTAGATAAAACTGGCTTATTCTTTTATAATTATATAATAAATTTATAATTTTGGCCCATGTTTTCTGTAGTATGCTTTGGGAAAACTTTATTTAATTTGTTTTTTTCATTTTTCATAGATAGGTGTTGTATAGAGCTATCCCCGGAAGATATCAAATCTATTTGTAAGTGTAAGTGCACCGTTTGTTCTGCTGGTTTTACGCCGGAATGTCTGTTTTGAGCAACAGCAACAACAAAAAAGATACAATCAATGCGCTACTAGAAGCCGCCTGATCATTGCACTTAAATGGTCGAACAGGTCTTAGGTGGAGTGGAACTGCCACACCTGAGCAGGTTGAGTGGAGCGAAGACATGGTCGGGAACCAACTCCACCCCCTCTCCACTCCCGTCCTGTTGAGAAATCTACTGAGATTCTCATCGGCGAGCTTCATCCAACGACTGCTCCTCCGCTCCGAAATCTGATCCGGAAAACAACGGCGTGTAAACCGTGAGTATTTAAATCTATATGAAAAGAAAGGAGTCCGATCGTCTTGTTGTCTTACTTGGTTTTAGACGTGGTGGTTTTTGGATACGCGTAATTGCGCACGGAGTGTGTAAATCTGATCACCTTCTAACGCAGTCACGAATGGCTTCTTATAAGAATTTTAAGTAAGATTGTATCTCAACATTCGGCAAAGGTGAAAGTTTGTGATTATATACGGGAAAATGTACAAGTTGAAGGGCTATTTACACTTTAGAGCTCTTTTACGCTTCTTTTATTTTTGCCTTAAAGCTTTGTAAACACGCTGATTTATCTTTTGACGACCGAGCTCCACCTCACTTTCTTTCTTTGTTGTCTTGCCCTCTTTAGGTATGTGTGCTATAACTGTATTTCTTCTTGTTTCATGCTGGTAAATACCTGAAGTTTGCCTGTGCCATTTCAGCTGAAAAGAGCTTCCTCTGTCTTCTATCAGCAGGAAGAGAAGACAGAGTGTGAACAAACCTCGTCATGAACTGGGCATTCCTCCAGGGCCTCCTCAGTGGGGTGAATAAGTACTCCACAGCCTTCGGCAGAGTATGGCTCTCTATTGTGTTCCTCTTCAGAGTCATGGTGTTTGTGGTGGCGGCGGAGAAGGTATGGGGAGACGAACAGAAAGACTTCAAGTGCAACACGGCTCAGCCCGGGTGCCACAACGTCTGCTATGACCACTTCTTCCCCGTGTCCCACGTGCGGCTCTGGGCCCTGCAGCTCATCTTCGTCACCTGCCCCTCACTCCTGGTGGTGATGCATGTGGCCTACAGGGAGGACCGTGAACGGAAACACCGCCTCAAGTATGGCGACAACTGCCGGCGTCTCTACCAGAACACTGGCAAGAAGCGAGGAGGCCTGTGGTGGACCTACGTCCTCACTCTGGTCTTCAAAATAGCCGTGGACGCCACCTTTGTCTACCTCCTGTACCACATCTACGAGGGCTACGACTTCCCCTCACTCATCAAGTGCGAGCAGAAGCCCTGTCCCAACAAGGTGGACTGCTTCATCGCTCGGCCTACTGAGAAGAGAATCTTCACCATCTTCATGGTGGTCACCAGCTTGGCCTGCATCCTTCTCTCCATTTTTGAAATCCTCTACCTGGTTGGCAAACGCTGTCGTGAGTGTTTCACCTCAGGCCATCACTCTCGCCACATTGATACCAACACAATGTCCAGTGGAAGCAACCTGATGGAGTCCAACTCAATGAAAACGACAGGCAAAAACACCCCAGAAACACCTGCACCCTCATACAGTGTCGCCGTATCTTGAGACACTGAGACTTTAAGGACTTAATAATAAAACAAAGGTATGGGGAAAGGAAAGATGTCTCTTCACTCCACAGACACTTCCTTAAAGACTAATAAGCAGAAATATGCCTACTCAGAGACTGAACTACCAGGGAGCTAGTTCCTTAGTGTTTAAGAATTTAAAACTCTGGCCTGCAGGATACATGTGTCATTGATCAGGAATGTGTGCACTGTTGGGTTTTTTTTAAACAGATTTTTTTTGAACAGATGAAGTTCCTTACAAACAATTAAGCCAAGTTTGCTGCTGCAGTGCCAGATTCAGCCTTTAGATCAACTACATGAGTCACTCCATGGTTTGGAGTTCAGGGTTTTACAAACACATGTGGTTTTCTGTGTAAGATTTTCCCTCTGCTCGTGCCCAGCCTCAGAATGTTTACTCCAGATTGTACTGAGTCTTTTCCCGTCGCTCTGATGTTCACGTTGGACTCTTAGTGAACCTTGTACGTTTTATAATTTATCAAAAGTTTTGAGAGGTTGTGCTGTTGTGAATGTTACTGTCCTTCATTGTTGAACTACTTTCTGTGCACAGGCAGCAGAGTGCAAAGGCATGCACTTTTGCAAACACAGTCATAAATAATATCAGGATGTGCACAGCACTGAGGTGCAACGTGGATGTATATTTGTTAATATTTTTCATTAAAGATTGTTATTTTTGTGTTTTCAAAAAGAGTTGTTTTTTTCTTTTACAAGAACAAAGCAGACAGTTTAGAGAGTGGTGCACATTGCATTAACTAAAGATCAGGTGCTGTAATTGCAATAAGCAAACAATAAACCGTCTGCAGGCGAGTTGTAACTTGGGAAAAGGAACAATGCACGCCAGCCACCCTCTCTACAGAGCAGGATTTGTTGACTCTGCGCAAGTTCTGTGGTTTGACAAAGATCTGAGACTTTCTTTTTTTCTTCCACTTTTTTTCTGTGTATTTCATAAAAGCCTTCCTCTGGCCGCACAGATCGCTCTGTTGCTATGAGCAGTGCCCTCATTGTTTGGCTTGATTGGTACTTTGAGAAAGACAGGGGCGGAGTCTCCCACTCCTCCATTTGATTCATCTGTGCTGACGTGTGGATCCACCCAGCGCAGGAATTCGTTAGTCCGGGTAGCCTCTCAATGGGTTATTCCAGTATTTACACTGCTGTGTGCCATAGGAGAGATGTAGTTTAAAAAAAAAAAAAAAAGCGGCATATTTTCTTACTCTGTCTTTGCAGTATTGAGGCTTACAGATTTAGTTCCACTTGGCTCAGCTGAGGTTTTGAAAAGCCTGTGACTACCTCGGCCCCACCACGCAGTGAAGAACGACATTTACAGAACTGAAACAGTAAAATGTCTTTCCACAAACACTGATCGGATAATCTGCAGGCACCGCTGTTAGCAGTTCACTGGAAGCATGAAAGTCTTCAAACTGGTGGCGTTTCCAATGAAGTCTGGTAATAAGTGAGATCTGTTGATTGTCATACTCAAGTTGCTCCTGAAATGTCATTTTTCACTCTTATAATGGTGCTGGCATGGCGGCAGAAATGTGACAGATAAATATCTGTGTCCTCTCTCAGATGAATGTGAAGATACTACAAGGACTGAACGGAAAATGTGCTTTGTCTGTGAGAATTAGGTCAAGCAATCTGTCACTGTTTGAGTTAATATCAGTTTTAGATCTTCCTTTGCACGAGTGGAAATATCCAAACAGGATCTAGGAACTAAACTGTCAAATGCATGAGTGGATGAAACTCTTTGGGAGACTCGGCGCAACAATCAGTCCATGGGCCCCTTCAATCCAACACGGTACACGTTCGCGCCATTATTCTATCCGGCACCGAAAAATGAGCCAGCACTTTAGAGATGAACTGATTAACTCGTGTCAATTGGTTAGTCAAGAGAAAGTTCATTGGTAACCATTTTGATTAATTGTTTGAGTCACTCTCTTAATAACCTTTTGTAATCCTTTAACTTTCGTCATCAGAATGCTGCAAGACCCAATTTACACAGGTCCTCGTGACACTGGACAGCACGTGTTTATGCTGCTCATGTGCAAAATACACAAGAAGCAAAAGAAAACTGATGCTTTTTTTGCAATGGCGAGGACTTCCTGAATCCTGCAAGACCAAATATGTACATGAACAGAAAGGGAAAAGAAAAAATGCCCCAAATTCACAGGTACCGCTTCTTTTATGTAAATATATTATAGTTTCCCTAGTTTTATATTATTTATAAATAGGTATTATTTTATGTTTTAGTCTTGCAATGTTGGGAAGAAAACAAAAGCAATTTAAATGTGTTTTTGTTCCTCTATTGTCTGACATTATGTTAATCAGTTAAAAAATAAAGATGTACTGTGTCGATAATGACAAATGTTGTTGGCTGAAGCCTTCCAGCTCTTCTGTGATGGAATTACACAACTTTATCAAAGTGTAATAGAAACAATTATCGTGTTTAAAAACTAGATTTTGGCACAGAATCCCTTCACAAGAGACGAATGATGTGGCTGATGTCCAGAGGAGGCTTTGACCACTTGGAAATCCAGCCTTGGTGACATTACTGTGGTATCTACTGGCCTTAAGCAACCTCCAGTATGTCTGTCTGTAGTCTGTCTGTCTGTATTCTGCCTGCCCAGCCTGACTGTGTGGTTTTGTAAATGAGCCAGCAATCCCTCTCATTATGAGACCCTCCCATCTCTTCAGGGGTATCGTTTGTCATCTTTTCCAAGCTTCCTCTGTTCTGATGCACTTCCTTCCTTTCACAGTGGCAGCAGTGAAAAGCGATGTGTTTATCCTGTTGTGTTGGTCCGTCTTGTTGAGACTTGTGGCTGACAGCGGTTGAGTCACAGTGTGCATTTCTGCAGGCGTGTCTGCTGCAGACTGCCGGGACCAGTTCTTCATCTGGAGCCAAGAGGGAAGGTTTTTTTTTTCAACCTTCCACCCCCGTCGTCAGTTTTTGTCCACCAACCTGTTAAACTATTAAATGCTACAAATACAGCTGTTGTGTCGATGAGCCCGAGCTTAAGTCCACAGATGGTTTTCCTGAAAAGCAGAGCTGAAGACCTCCAAGTGCCGTGTTTCAAACAGAGTGAGCAATCTGCTTCAGCAGCAGACAAAATCCTCCTTTTATAACAGGAAAAACAATGCTCATGCTTTTGTAAAACATTCAAAGTTGTAAACTGGTCACATTTTAGCCTGGATCCAGACAACTGAATTCCATCCACATCTGTTTCACATCTGATTTGTTTCAGAAAAGCTGGCAGAGAGGAAAATCAAACAGCAATTTAGCTTGATTATGAGGCCTTCTTACACTTTCTGGGCTTCGCTTATGTGAGCCGGAAACAAGCCCACTGAGACGTTGTGTCTTATACTGAACAGTGCAAATAAACTTGACTTGACTTGAAGTAATGATGTGGGACTTTTATTTGCAGGCATGTTATGTAAACACTGGATTCAATAGCTCTGACTGTGTTGGTCTGCAAGAACTGGCAAGTTCTGCCCAGGCATTTTTACACAAGCAGACATCTGATATTCCTCACAGCATTTGGTGGCTTCAATTAATCTGCTAATGTTATTAATTATGAGCTGTTTTTGGCTACACATCAGAAACACGGTACTGGCATTTGACTGGGGAAAACTTGCCAGTAAAGTGCAAGAAAAATAATCCCTGTTGCAAAAGTAGGAGGTGAAGAAGACACAAGAGCTACAGTGTAGAATGTGACAATGAGGACGAGCTTGAGCGCACTGGGAGTTCATGAATTGTGACAGTGTTATCTGAGTAGAGCACGGGTTTGAAAAGGATCAAGGAAATACAATACTCCTTCCTTAAAATCTGTAGTCCAAAAAAAAAGAGAATAAAAAGTTAGGGGGAAATTTATTATAGGCTGTAAACGAAAGAGGAACAGGGAACTTGATTATTTTTGTTTACATTATAACAAATCTCCCCATCTATCATCTCTCACCTACCCCATCGCTAACATTCCCCCTTTAAGCATGCCAGATAAAAAAAAATACTTCCTCGCACTTGTCATGCTTTTGGCAACTTGCAACCAAAAGATCATGAGGACACACACAACAACAAAAAAATGCATTCACCTCAGGGTGTGCCTGCCTCTTACGTTAGGCGACAAGTTGAGACAAGGAGCCAGTCTTGTTCCTGGAACATGAAACATGAACATGAAAACAATGAAGTTAAGCCTGTTGCCCCTAAAAAATGTTTTAAAGTGAGCACAAAGACCCATTTCAAGGATGTTTTGTTCACATTAACTCTGTCTGAAAAGACTTTTCATTCTATAGAGTTGAACCTCTGAGATGTATGTGTTGAGATAAAAAATGTTCACCCTTTGAATTCACCCATTCATAGTAAAATGATTAAAAATCTGCCCAACAGTTTGCTGTAGAGCCTCACAGGGACTTCTGATTTGCCAGCCTCACATCTGAACATCATGTGGTCTGAAATGCTTGGTTTGGTTACCAAATTGAATTGATGGTGTGCAGGCCTAACTACAAATTCCATTCAAAGTGCCTGGAGATGGTGAGTATAAACTGTGATAACTGTTGTGCAAAAAAAAATATTTGAATTGTCTTGTAGCACTGGCGTGTGAGAGAGGCACAGAGAGGGAGGGAGAGAGAGGAGAGAGAGAGAGGTACATCTGGGGAAGCTCCAGTCTTTCTGCTTTAACCACACCCACAGAGGCGCATTTCTCAACACTGCGCTCCTCTACCTGTCGAGGGGAGCCAAATCTGTGCGTTAAAGGACGCAAACGGCCTTAAAGCAACAAGAAATTCACTGGATATATACACACGCTAACGTCTCTCGTAACTAATTATGGACTAATCCCCTTTTGGTAAGTAAAGAACTCACTTTAAAGAAACTTTTCATCGGTCTCAGATGAGTTAAGCGTTCCAACTACGCGTTTTAGCCAATTGGCACTGAACGTAGTCGGTGGTGTTGAGCCGTTGACTTTCATAAAGCAGTTTATGAAGCTATATGTATGATTAGTGGTGACTTAGAACGACCTCATGTCGATAGAGAACCACGGAAATATGTCAAAATAACGCAAACAGCCCGTGCGTAAAAGGCAGTTTTTTTCTTACGGACACACAGAAGTCAAGGGACTGAGCTCCGTTTTCTATGTGAACAGATACACAGCAGAATACTGATGATATTGAATTTGTTTTGAGAACGAACATTTACATAAAAGTTCTGAAATAAATACACTGTTTTCATTACATATATACAAGCTCTGGGTGTGTTAAGAACGTTGGTCCAGCTTGTTTCCTTTGCCAACAGTTTGGCTTGAGGCCTGCTCAGAACGGTGTTATTGTTGGTGGTTGTTTCTGGTGTGGGAGATGTTTTTAACATTACATCAGCTTTGTAAGATGAATTACTGATTGTAGAACTTACAATAAACCACTATTTGTAATTAGGTAACAAATAGGAGAGCCTGCCAACACTGATGTTCAGACATGAAAGCAAAAAAATCTGTGGAAACCTGTTGACTTATTCTTCATTCTGCCACATTCAGGTGTGAAGATAGACGACTGCCAATAAGAGAAGAATTCCACAACGGAAAGATCTGACTGCCAGCCAGAGACATGGACTGGAAGACCTTCCAAGCCCTCCTCAGTGGGGTGAACAAATACTCCACAGCGTTCGGGCGGGTATGGCTGTCCGTGGTGTTTGTGTTCAGGGTGATGGTGTACGTGGTGGCAGCGGAGCGAGTTTGGGGTGACGAGCAGAAGGACTTTGACTGCAACACAAAGCAGCCCGGCTGCGCCAATGTCTGCTACGACCACTTCTTCCCCATCTCCCACATCCGCCTGTGGGCCCTGCAGCTCATCTTCGTCACTTGCCCGTCCTTCATGGTGGTCATGCACGTGGCGTATCGTGATGACCGCGAACGCAAGCACAGGGCCAAGTACGGCGACACCAGCAAGCTGTACAACAACACGGGCAAGAAACATGGCGGCCTTTGGTGGACCTACTTGGTCAGCCTCTTTGTAAAGACCGCCATCGAGGTCTCCTTCCTCTACATCCTCCACCGAGTCTACGACAGCTTCTACCTGCCGAGGTTGGTCAAGTGTGAGGTGTCTCCTTGCCCCAACCAGGTGGACTGCTACATCGGTCACCCCACTGAGAAGAAGGTGTTCACATACTTCATGGTTGGAGCCTCGGCCCTCTGCATCGTCCTCAACATCTGCGAGATCATCTATCTCATCTCCAAGCGTATCGTGCGGATTGCAAACAAGATGAAAAGGCGCAACCGCAACATGACCACGTATCCCCAAGACTACAACGACGACTCCTATAACAACTGCAACCGGCCTGTCTCGAGGCAGGACCTGAAGGACAAGCCTCCATTCTTAAAGACCACAGAAAAGCCTCCCTACAGGCTGTCTACACTCAAACTTAACGACAAGATACGGGCCTCTGCTCCCAACCTGTCTACGACATCATGATCCTTGCTGAAATCGAGCCAAGAATCAAGAGCTCGGCAGTGCTCGGGCTAGATCCCAGTGACAAATCTCAAAAAAACAGACTCAGAACTATGAGCCAAGCTGCAGTGTGTGTCAGAGCCTGGATGTTGAGTCATCGGTACTGGATTCATCCTGTGGGCCCCTGTGTCCACATCTAAGACTCTTACTGAGCACGTGAACTTTGGTTTCCAAGTCAACACCCACAATTCAAGCCGACTAAAGCCAAACTGATTTGTTAATGATATTTGGTTTTCCTTTTTAACAGTAAGACTCTGTGGGCCTTTTCAGTTTTCCCCCCTATTAGAACATTCCAGTGAAGGTTCACTCAGTCTTTCTTGCGATCGGAGTTTTGAGACGGGAGGGGAAGCAGGCAGGACACACCTGGCTGAGGTATTCACCCTCCCTGCCAGTGTCTACAGTGGTGTGTCAGAGATCTCCATTGTCACTGAGTGGTTGATGAGCACTGCAGTGATCTCTTTTATTTAATTTAAACTCAAATCATTGCTTTGTCTCCACAATTTGATGCCTTGATAATCCCAAGTCATTGAAGAATAGTAAATAATTGTGCACTAGTGCGAGAATACTCCAGAGTTATGGCTGGGCAATACTTGAAGGTGTGCAAATCAGCCCAAAATGAACTTATTATGGCGTGTATGTCTCAGATAATAATAATTACATTAACAAAATGCGTATGCGGTTGCTATATTGCTTTAGCCACATCCTTGGCAGGCATGTTGCTGGTCTCAGGTTTATGCTGCACAGCCACACACTGTACATAGACTGCCTGTGTTTTGACGTGCTTGTACACAACTTTGCCTGATCCACGACCACTGTTGATTTAAATGAGGCCAAAGGAATGCTGCTGTTTAATTCTGTGTTCGTAGAGCTGGAGCACAGTGGAGGAACTGGGAGGCAGGCTGGACAAACAGATGGCTCATTGAACTATTTCCTATTTTAATGAGTCGCTTGTCATCCGCCGTGGACATCAGGTGGAAATGCATTTTCTGCACTTGTTAATATTTCATATGTGCCATTTTTATACATGTAAATATAATAAATCTATTGAATATGTGTTTGTGTTTGGGGTTTTAACAGTATTGATAATATATGTTCAACTTTTTTATGAAACAGGGTTCGCAGTGAAGCTTCAGATTTAGACGCAATTTAGAAAATTATTTCAAACTTACTTACAATTGCTACCTTTCTAAAGATGAAACCATCCATGCTATCTAAATATAGCACAAGGACTTTTAACTTCCACAGTGCTATCTGGTTGTTATCCTACCCATCATTGAAGCAGCTAAATTTTTCCATTGCTACTGACTCATAACTAAATTTACGGCAAGAACCAATACGAGGCTTGAATGCCAGTCAGAAATTATTCATTTAAATTTGCGGTGAATCATCATGACGTGCTGTTTTCTTGTCTCAGGTACACGAGATGTGTTTCTAGGTGTAGTGGAGGCCTGCAGTAAGAATCTCAGTCTGCCTGTCAGACTTGTCAGTCTGGTTCTAAAGAGGTGCAGCAAAGGCAACAGTTTTTGTTTATTCTGAATCATTTCCGCAAACTGGAAAATTACTATAGATCAGAAAGATC